AGCCATGCTGGCTGTCACCAAGCACCTTGTTGTTGTTCATGTGCCTTACCATGACATCCAGGAGAATGTGCTCCAAGGTTTTGCCAGGCACAGAGATGAGACTGACTGGTCTGTAATTCCCTGGGTCATCCATTTTCCCCTTCTTGAAAATGGGGGTTGTATTTCCCTTTTTCCAGTTGGCGGGCACTTCACCTGACTGCCATGATTTCTCAAATATGATGGACAGGGGCTTAGCAACTTCATTTGCCAGCTCCTTCAGGACCCGCGGATGGATCTCATCAGGCCCCATGGACTTGTGCACATTCAGGTTCTTAAGATGGTCTCAAACCAGTTCCTCTCCTACAGTGGGCCTAAGGTCTTCATTCTCGCAGTCCCTGGGTCTGCCTTCCAAGACTTGGGTGGTTTGGTCAGAGCCTTTGCCAGTGAAAACCGAGGCAAAGAAGTCATTCAGAACCTCAGCCTTCTCTAAATCCTGTGTAGCCAGTTCTCCTGATAGCTTCCAGAGAGTGCCCACATTGTCCCTAGTCTGTCTTTTATTCACTACGTACCTATAGAATCCCTTCCTGTTATACTTAACATCCCTAGCCAAGTTTCATTCTAGCTGGGTCTTAGCTTTCCTAACCTGGTCCCTAGCTTCCCAGACAACATCCCTGTACTCTTCCCAGGCCACCTGTCCTTGCTTCCACCTTTTATAAGCCTCTTTTTGCAATTGAATTTTCCTCAGGAGACCCTTATCCATCCAAGGAGGTCTCCTGGCCCTCCTGCTGCACTTCCTTCTGGTTGGGATGCAACACTCCTGAGCTTGCAGCAGGTGATCCTTGAATATCAACCAACAGTCTTGGGCCCCTCTGCCTTCTAGGGCTGTATCCCATGGAACCTTACTAAGCAGGTTCCTGAAGAGGCCAAAGTCTGCTCTCTTGGTCCAGGGCAGTGAGCCTGCTGCACGCTCTTCTCACTGTCCTGAGGATCTCAAATTTGAGCATCTCATGATCCCTGCATCCAAGGCTGCCCTGGAGAGTCACATTTCCAACGAGCCCCTCCCTGTTGGTGAGCACGAGGTCAAGCACGGCACCTCTCCTTGTCGGCTCCTCTGTTACTTGCAGAAGGAAGTTGTCTTCTGCACAATTGAGGAACCTCCTGGACTGCTTGTGCCGGGCCGTACTGTCCTTCCAACAGATGTCAGGGTGGTTGAAGTCACCCATGAGAACAAGGCCGTGTGAGCGTGAGGCTTTTCCTATCTGTCTATGGAGTGCTTCATCCGCAGGTTCTCCTTGAGCAGGCGGTCTGTAACAGATCCCCACAGTAATGTCTCCCATAGCTATATTCCCTTTAACCCTGACCCACAAACTCTCTGTGGACTGCTCACCTGTCCCCAGACAGAGTTCCATACTCTCCAGCCTATCCCTAACATAAAGGGCAACTCCCCCTCCCCGCCTGCCAGGCCTGCCTTTCCTAAAGAGCCTGTAACCTTCCATTCCAACACTCCAGTCATAGGAGCCATCCCACCATGTTTCTGTGATGCCTATTATATCATACCCCCTTAGACATGCACACATCTCTAATTCCTCTTGTGAATGATTTTCTTTAGATTTTCTTTAGATATTCCAGAAATCCAAAAGGTTGGAATGTGAAAGTTCAAAGGTGGAAGGTCCCAGATTGATTCCAGCCTCAAAACCTAATTCAGCTCCCTGTTGGTGTATGTTCTGATTTGTTCTAGCTGTCTTTCTGATATGTGAACTTATTTTCCACCAGCTAATTCCTCCTCCTGCAATGCACAGCACATATTCTTTTAGCAGAGCAGAGCTGTAGAAAAAACAGAGGCAGTTTTCTGCAGCCTCTAGCTTTTCTACTGTAAAAAATCCAGAGGGTATGTAAAGAATTGGAAAGAAAGGGATTAAATTGTCTTGTTATTCCATGTCATTTCAAATTTGGAAGTGCAGATATGGCAAAAGAATAGGGATAGCTCTATCAGCAATTCTTAAACCCTACTGAAGAGCATCACAAAGCACAAACTAGAGTATGTGATAACACAGGCTCCTGGGGTTCACAGCACTTCTGTTCCTCTGGTCCAGAAGACATGTAAAAGCACTTTTAGCCCTTAATTACAGCAGGTTCTTCTATTTATCCAAGGAATTACCTGAATGCTGAGGACCCAGTGGGGGCTCACAACTTCAAATTTAAGAAACAAATCATGACTTCAAACAAGTGTACAGCTGGGCTGTACTGACTGGTAAGACTTCTTCATTTTCTAGGGCATCATCATCATAGTATCATCATAAACCCCCCTACAGCCCTGCATCCAGCTCTGGGGACCCCAACATATGAAGGATGTGGAGCTGTTGGAGCAAGTCCAGAGGAGGCCACAAAGATGCTCCGAGGGCTGGAGCACCTCTGCTACGGAGACAGGCTGAGAGAGCTGGGCTTGTTCAGCCTGGAGAAGAGAAGGCCCCAGGGGAGACCTCAGAGCAGCTTCCAGTGCCTAAAGGGGCCCACAAGAAAGCTGGAGAGGGGCTTTTGACAAGGGCAGGTATGGACAGGACAATGGGAATGGCTTTAAACTGACAGAGGGGAGATTCAGATGAGATCTGAGGAAGAAGTTCTTCCCTGTGAGGGTGGTGAGGCCCTGGCACAGGTTGCCCAGAGAAGCCGTGCCTGCCCCATCCCTGGCAGTGTTCAAGGCCAGGTTGGATGGGGCTTGGAGCAACCTGGTCTAGTGGAAGGTGTCCCTGCCTGTGGCATGGGGTTGGAACTGGATGATCTTAAGATCCTTTCCAACCCAAACCATTCTGGGATGATTCTATGATACACCCACAGTGTGTAGTGAGGCAGTGATCTTGGAGCAGTCAGGAAAGTGACTGTCCTTCAGTCTTTAAAGACTGTGGAGATTATCACCTCTCACAAAGGTTCAGAAGTATCTAAAGTTTAATTCATGAGAAATCAAGGGATTTGAAGAGTGACTGTTAGACAAGAGCCAGGTCAGGAACAGCATGGAGCTGTTGGCCTGCAGCGAGAAATGGAAAGTTAACCTTTGTTGTTTAACCCAGTGTGGTTAAAGACTTGTAATTCTCCTTTATCACCTGCTGCTAAAGCTCTTTCCGCCAATCTTCCCCTCATGTGCTGCAGCACCACCAAACGTCCCAGGGACCTAAACCAAATCAATCAGTAGCTACGGCCACCATCCTCAAAAGCCCTTTTCTTCAAACAGCAGTAAGGAAGCAGTCCCCAGCCAACTGTTTCTAGCACTGTTGTACCGTTAGGTACCAAACTGCGTACAACCAGCAGACTAATTAAGGACTTTATATAATTAAGGCCTTCATATACGAATCTCCCTGCACATAGCTCAGAATGAGTAAAATGACTTTAGAACGTGACTCAACTGAAGCAATGGCTTTCTGTAATGACTGGGTCAAAAATTAGTCTTAAGCCAATAAATACCTGTGGTTGCCACTGATACTCAGTGCCAGCAGGGAATGTAGCTCTTCCTTTCACTGAAAACCAGAAAATACTCCAGAGGGTATTTTAAACAAGCCCTGAGGCAGTGCCACAGGCTGTCAGGGCTCTTCCCTAATAATAAATGTTAACACAGGTGACAAATTAAGCTCTATGAATATCAAGAGATTAATACTGTGGGATTTTCTGCAGCAATGAATTTTCTGCGATGTCTTACATGGGGTATACATATGTTGTAGCTGCACTTTATATCCAAGTACTGTGTTTGTGCGTGCTTGCCTTTGAGTCTGTTTTAATTTGCCTTCCAATCTAACACCCATCTTGCTGGCTGAGACATTTTGCAGCTCACGTCACGTATAAACTCAATCGTACGCATCTGCTGCCAAGGGAAATAATTAAGTTCCAGCAATTTGTCGCTAGATGGGATCACAGCCCCAGTTACATACACAGGGGAGAAGGCTGAGCTGAAGTTCAGCCCTCGGCTCAGCCTCAGACACCCACACTGTGGGCATCAACAGGTCACCTCAGTGACTCCAAAGGAAGCTTTTCCAAGCCTGAGGAGCGTCATGTACAAATACAGGACTGTGGGGAGGGAGCTTGTTCTGCAGTGTGAAGTGGGACTACATTTCCAGCAAACAGCAGATTTGCTCCCCAGGATGCTGGAGAAGGGCTCTTCATCAGGGACTGTAGTGATGGGACAAGGGGTAACAGGTTCAAACTTAAACAGGGGAAGTTCATGTTAGATGTAAGGAAGAAGTTCTTTACTGTGAGGGTGGTGAGGCACTGGAACGGGCTTCCCAAAGAAGTTGTGAATGCTCCATCCCTGGCAGTGCTCAAGGCCAGGCTGGACAGAGCCATGGCCAGCATGGTCTAGTGTGAAGTGTCCCAGCCCATGGCAGGGGGGTTGGAACTGGCTAATCTTAAGGTTGTTTCCAAACCAAACCATTCTGCAGTTCTATGATTGAGGCATAAAATTGGAATTTGAGTGCAAAGAGCACCAAGATACCTTTTAATTCCCAGTGCCACCTCTGCATTCTGCATTCTAACCCTAACCACCCGTATCCATACTGCTGCTCCCCTGAAGGGCTCCAAATGCAAATCTTTTTATTCAAGGGAAATAAGGACAACAGCAAACATCTTAATTACCCTTAAAGGCTCAGGATTCCAGATTTGTTTCCAAGATATATTACTTATCCTACCACAGAAACTCTGCAGCATTGCTGACGAGCCAATTCCCATGTTCCCCCAAAAGGAATTTTTTGGGAATGGCTTCTTTCAGCAGTCAGTTTTTTCTCATTTTTAAGGGCTCAGTTTCAAAAGAGCTGTCCTCAAAGTGCTTCAGACATAACTGCTGGTGCTTGGATGGTGTTCCCACATCCCAGCCCATGTTGTGAATCCACTGCTTCAGGGGAGGCTTATTTTGAGGAGGAAAACCATAGGCAGCAATGGTGCTCTTCTTGTACGTGGTGGCATTCTGACAGTTCAGCACCGAGCAATAAACCATTGTAAAATGGGAAACAGGAACAAATCCCTAAATAACAAGCCAGGAAGAGAGTTTAAAGAGTTCCTAATGAACTTCGGTATTAAACAGGATAAAACTTCTCAAGAAAACATGTGGGTTTAAAAGACACAAAGAGTTGAGGTCATTGAGATGTGAAACATGGCGCTGAACTTCGTTGCTGGAGACATGGAGCCAATGCCTGCGGCACATGGAGAGCAGGAGCCAGGTCTCTTTCACATGCCGCTTTCCTTCTTCAAAGCCATGTGTAGAATCTGAAAGGCAAAAATCTTTAAAATCAGCATAACAGACTATTATGATGCAGATTTACATTTAACGCAACTTCTGCTATGAAGACCCATATGGATATGCTTCCTTAATCTGCATATCCATGAGGAACACTCCCATGTGCCACAACAAAGCTCGTTGTAGTTATTCAGAATGTAACAACAAAAGGGCAATAGCCCAGTAACATCAAAAAAAAAGGAAGGCTTGGATTTATAGGTGGGGTCTGAAAAAGGATTTTCCCATTGCATGGGCTGCAGGAGGCAATATTGGGATGTCGGTCAGAGAGGAGATCCTTGGAGAGGCACATTGAAAAGAGGAGAAAACCACACAGAGGCACTGCTAGAAAAGGGAGAGAATAGAAATCATCAGAGCATGCACCTGCAAAAGAACCAGGAAGACAACAGGGCCCTGGCAGAGCACACGGGGGAGTGTTTCTGGGAACACGGATGGGATGCTCCACGACACATTCTGGTATCAGATGTAGAAGGAAATCATGCAGCCCTGTGCCAGGGCATTGGGACAAACCGAAGCCCTGCTGTGGACCCTACTCACCACCCATTCCTGTGCACCAGCGCCCAGCGAGTCAGGAGGAGACCATTACCCCCCGAGGGCCGACATCTGAGCTCTGTTAAACTGACACTAGAGGAAAACACGGCACCCTCGCTTCTCTAGCAGCCGCTGCTGCCTTCCCCTGCGTGCCCCGGCAGTGTCTGCGCCTTCCCACAAGCTGCGAACCCCGGGCCCTGCAGGCCACCCTCCCCCGCAGCAGGCACAAGCCTCGCAGGGGCTCGGGACCCCAAAAGGCGGCCATTCCCGCCTCGCTGCCACACTGCACTGGTGCCGACGGACGCCTCCGCTCACGGCCCCGTCTCGCCCTCCCCGGCCGCGGTACGAAGCCCCTCATGCCGCAACCCCTCCGCGGCACCACGCCACGCCCCCCGCCAGCGCTGCAGCCAATCGGGCGCTGCGCCGTCCTCCACGCGCAGCCAGCCCTGGGCTGGGCCGCCGCAGCCCGCTTTTCCTCGCCATTGGCCTGTCACTCCTAGCCTCCGCCCTCCCATTGGCGAACCGGCGTCCCCACAACCAATCACCGCGGGCACGTGCGACGCGTCCTCCACGAGGAAGGTCGGGCAGACACATTCATTCCCATTGGCCAGCGAACGAAGAAGTGGGACGCTGATTGGAGGATAGTAAGCGCGTCCTCACAGGGCGGGGATGACGAGCCCGCGTTTACTTGTTGTCATAGCAACGCGGACCCGCGGCGGCTCGGGCGGGACCGAAACGGCGCCAAGAGCCCGAGGGGGATGCGGTGTCCAGGGGAACGGGCCTGGCTCTGCCTGTTCCCGGCCCGGGGTGGGGCCCCGTTCCAGCCGGGGAGGCCTCACTCAGCAACGGAAGGGGGACCGGCTGCTCCCCCTCGTCACGGGTGGGTCACTGCAGCAAAGCTGTGACGTGGGACGGAAGCCGCAGAGCTTCTCCCCTGGCTTCAAGCTTGCCCATTCTCCCTCCTTCCCTTGTGGAACAAGCAGTGAAATTTCTCTTAACAATTTTAATTAAAAAGGCCCGTGACCTTTCCAGCAGACGCGAACCCATCCTCACAGAACTGAAGCAGAAACATGCATGTAAAAAAAGGCTGATGAACAAAGTCTGTCTGGCAACGTTGGAGCCCTGAACCAAAACAGGCTCTTCCGAATCCAGCCAGTGCTGCTGCTTCTGCGTTTTCCTTCTGATACCATCGACAGGGTGACATTGGGTACATCCAGCCCTGGATCATGGAAAAGAATAAATCATGTCCTTGCAGTGCCATGGCACGTCAGAGCCTCACAGCCCTGTTAAGAGGCACCAAACAAAAATACATTTTTCTGTAGGAGAATGTTTAACAAGCATCTAAGGGGTCTGCTTTCACAGGATTTGGCAAACTGAACACACGCAAGACCCGCAACAAGGAGGGAAAGTAACTGCCACATAACTTTTAAGGCAATGCAAAATCAAAACCCTATTCCAGGTGAGGATCTCAGCCTTCAGGAATTCACAGTCAGGGTTCAGCAGCACAGAGCCCCATGAACCCCATGATTAACTGCAGGAACAAGCTGCTTCTTGCACTCTGCACCCCTCTGTCCCAGTTGCCACTCTTGAAGAGGCTTCTTCCAAAGATCCACAGGTTCAGTGCTTCCTTCCTCACAGCATTTCAGAAAAGTGGGTCTTTCCTGATACTGTTTCACCTGGAAAACTAGTGTTAGCAACTTCATTTCCAGTCCAGTCCCTGGACTCTTCAGACTCTCCACAGCCTAGGAGTAACACTGCAGACTTTCTCCAGCCTGAAGTGTTACAGAATGTTCTGTGTGTCAATGAGCTTTCTCTCCAGTGTGGATTGACAGCTAGCAGTAACTCTGAGCACCGCAGACTTCCAGCACAGCTCCAGCATGTGCCCAGCAGCAACAGGCACTGGTGAAGGTGGTGAACGGGCTCCACACACCATTTCAATGCCATCTGTGGAAAATAACTCCCCAACCTTCTCCCTTTGCCTTGGAGCAGGCTCAAGATGGCTGTTCCACAGCTGCCTCCTCCTGCCACAGCCCAGCAAAGGGCAGGGGGATCTTGCCATGGCCCTGCCCAGCAAAGGTGGCAGCTGAGGGTGATGCAGACTATCCTAGCTGGGAGGGATTTTCTATATGGAGTGCATTACAGCCCCCCTGATCTCTGTGCAGGGCCAACTGGCCAAGGCCAGGTGTGTTTCTTTCAAGTGACTTTCCTGATGCTTCACCAAACTCCTCCTGAGCACAAACCTCTTCCTGCAGATGGAGCACTGGAAGAGCCCCTCTCCTGAGTGCCGGCGCAGGTGGTTTAGAAGGTAATCCTTTCTCCGGTAGGTTTTGTCACACTTGGAGCACTTGTATGGCCTCTCTCCCGTGTGAGTCATCTGGTGCCTGACAAGCCACGAATGGCACACAAAGCCTTTCCCACAGTCACTGCAAATGTAGGACTTGCCCCTGCCTTGGCTCTGCTGCTGTCCCGCGGGGCTGCTCCGTGGTGCCAAGTGCTGCTGGCACCTACTGCAGGCCTCTGCCTTGTCCTGTGGGTGATCCCAGCAGGGGCTGGCCAAAGGGTTTTCGGCAGGGAAGTTCTCCTCGCTTTCTGCTGGCGGCTGCTCCTCTCCACCCAGGCCATGGTGCTCATGAAGCCCCGGTTCACCTGCAGGGTTTTGTCTGCAGTAGGGATGGGTGGCAAGCTGTGGCCCCATGGGTAGCCCCTCATAGGAGGCAGAAGCAGGCCCCTGCCCGTCTCTTTTCTCACCTGCAGCACATGGCTGTGAGTGCAGCACACGGAATGCCCTTTCGTTGAGACTCCTCTCACACGTGAGGCCTGGAGACGTGTCCCCTTCTCGGGCTCCCTGGGGAGCCTGGAGATGTTCCTGCTGGGTGGAATTTTTCTCCCGTTTGTTGTATGAGCACAGTCTCTTTCCATCGCTGTTTTCCTGAGTGCTGAAGAAATCCAAGTATTCACCAAATCCTCGGGTGTGCTGAGCATCATCCCCAAGACTGTTTCCAGCACTGTTTGTTTCCATCATTTCTGAATTCCACTGACTGTCCCACGTCACCCTGGGGCTAGGATCCTTGGAAAACTGCTCTCCAGGTCTTCCTGGCACCTCTGAGTCATGTGCTGTGCTTTCAAAGCAATCTGCTGGAGGGTCCCTCTTTGTGTTTTCATCATGCACTGAAACAGATACATTTCAGAGTCTTTAACTAAAATAGGGGAAGTTCAGGTTAGATGTAAGGAAGTTGTTCTTCACTGTGACGGTGGTGAGGCACGGGAACAGGTTGCCCAGAGAAGTGGTAAATGCTCCACGCCTGGCAGTGCTCAAGGCCAGACTGGACAGAGCCTTGAACAACCTGGTCTAGTGGAAGGTGTCCCTGACCATGGCAGGGGGTTAGAATTGGATGATCATAAGGTCCTTTCCAACCCAAACCATTCTACAATTCTATGATTCTAATTAAAGAAGCCTCTCAGAGTCTCTTCAAGCCTACAGCCACACTAAGGGACAAAGTAAATAAGGTAGGAGGTTTCAGTACCGATGGGGGAGCAAGTACCAGAGTTCCACTGAGAGAAAATCTTCAGGAAAACAGAAGATTTATTTTTTCCAATTACTTTTTTTCTTTCAAATCTACACAACAAATCACTAATGCAATATCTTATCTTCCCCCTCTCACATAGATATCTGAAATGTGAGGTCTAAATTCCTTGACAGAGTGGACATGGCCACCCGTTGGTGCTCTCTGCTGCTCTCCAGGCACTCCAGCAAGCATCTAGAGCAGGAAGAGCCCAAGCCAAGGCACCACTGCCAGCTCGGCGTGTCCCTGGGGCTGGATCCCTTTCTGGGATCCCTGGCTAGGCTTCTACAGGGAGATGCTCTCTGGCTGGGTCTTTCTCCTTGGAGAAAGCTCAAGCAGCTGAGTGGAGGAAGCTCTTGCACATTACAAGTGATCCCCAGACAGGTGCACAGCTCTGGACTGATGCAGAGGCACGCCCTGATGGAGAGCTGCCTCTCACCTAGATGCCTCTCCTGCTTTTCTCAGAAAACATTTATGACTCCTAACAATCCAACCCCAAAAGGCACCTGGCACAGCTCTCACTCTGCCACTGGACAAAACTGTCCTGCTGACCTACAAATTCCCCCTGACCGTGATTGTTTCCAGTGTTTTGTTTTCCAGCTTATTTCCAACAATACTCTTCAGCCCAGCTTTCTAATGCTCCATAATTTTCCTGTCCCCTAAGACCTGTGACTCTTCCAACATCTGCCAGTTACTAGAGAAAGACTCCACTGAGTATCATGAAGGACCATGAGCCTCTCAGCAGTGTCACCCAGTTGAATTCAAAGTTACCTGCACTGCAAAAACATCTCCAGCCCCTATTTCTCCAGTGGTGTATCGGGACAGCAGCACATAAGCATGTTACCACAGGCTGAGCTAAAGCATGAATGCAGAAGGCACCGGTTGCTCTACAGTAGTTGCCTAAGCATGTCCTCCCACCCCAGTAACTCCAGGTTATGCGTACGCACAGGCTGGAAGGTCTGGCACAGGCAGAGTTGGCTGGGAAGCCCACCCTGTGAGCTCTTGGAGCAGTTGTAACAGGCTTCCCATGGGAAGGGGTGAGGTGGAGCAAATCCAGCCTTACACCAGGGTGATATTCTGCATGACCTTTTCTGGTGAGGCAAACTCAGGCACACTGGTAGTTTCAAAGCAGTTACCTGCATACCAAGAGTTTACCCCTTGACTTACTCTATAGTGACTTCACCATGTGCTATAAATGTTTAACTAACTTAGGTGAAGGAATCAGGCGTGATCCATACTCCAAGTGTGCTCTGCACTCCAAATGAATGAACGTCAGCATGCACATCTCCAAACAGCACATCCCAAAATTGTTTTGCATTAAAGTCACCTTACCTTTAGCTGCAGGACAGCTCTCCTGCTTGGGAATGCAAACTCAGGGCTCCTTATTCATTGGTACTACTTTTAAAAGCTTCTAAGCCAGAGGGAACCCTTGAATAGTTTGAGTTGGAAAGGACCTTAAGGACCACCCAGTTCCAACCCCTTGCTATGGGCAGGGACCTTCCACCAGACCAGGTTGCTCCAAGCCCCATCCAACCTGGCCTTGAACACTGCCAGGGATGGGGCAGCCACAGCTTCTCTGGGCAACCTTTGCCAGGGCCTCACCACCCTCACAGGGAACAACTTCCTCAGATCTCATCTCAGCCTCCCCTCTGTCAATTTAAAGCCATTCCCCCTTGTCCTGTCCCTACCTGCCCTTGTCAAAAGCCCCTCTCCATGTTTCTTGTTGGCCCCTTTAGGCACTGGAAGCTGTTCTAAGGTCTCCTGGAGCCTTCTCCTCACTGAACAAGCCCAACTCTCAGCCTGTCTCCACAGGGGAGGTGCTCCAGCCCTTGGGATCATCTTTGTGTCCTCCTCTGGACTCTCACCAACAGCTCCTTTGCATGTTGGGAACCCCAGAGCTGGATGCAGGACTGCAGAGAAGAGTCTCACCAGAGCCCCTTCAGCTGACCGAACCTCCAGTTTTTGAGAACAAACACTAACTAGCAGACTGAGGTTTGCTCTAGTTCTTTCGTATCCTAAATTACTAGCTCATGACATCAAATATAGCATAAACAAACAACCTAATTTAGATTTACTGTCCCAGAAATCTCAGCTGAAATCCACTACTAACCTGTGCTTGGATCTGCAGAGACTTCTTTCTCCAAGTCTTGTTGTTCAGGGCAGCGTGGCTCCTCTTCTTGTTTAATCCATGAGAAAACATCAGTTGCATAAGTTTGAAATCCTGCTCATGAGGGAGAATGTACACAGTTGAGAAACACTGAACACAGATGCAAATGACAAAATATTTGGGAATGCACAAAGACAAGGAAAGCACTAACAAAGCCTCAGGGAAGACTTGGCAGGAGGGGCAATTCCCTCAGTGGGAGTTTTTGCCAGGGAATCCTCACCATCAAGGTCTCCTGGGAGGTCCTCACCCTCCACTCCTGGTAGCTCCCTGGCATGCACCTCTTTGCCTTTCTTGGGCTGATTTGAAGACTCAGGCTCGCAAAATGCTTGCTCTGCTAAAGGAGAAAATTGAAGACGAGTATATTGTAACTGCATAAGCTCAGGATTTCACAAGGGTGGAACCTGCTCTGCTCTTGATTTTCATTTTCACATAAGCCAAGCTCCCAGAATCCCTGTTTCTTAAAGGTCTAAAAATCCCAGTTTGCCACATACTGGATGCCAAGTACAGTGATGATGGAGCCAGCAGGCAGAGCTGCTGCCCTTTGTAAAGGGTAAGGACAGCCGAGCTCCAAAGCAGGACAGTTTATCTGTACTACAAAGAGGTACCACCAAGTGAGAAGGCAAGAAACAGGTCCCTGGCCTGTTCAGGCTCGCTGTACAGCACCAGCACCCCCAGGAGCCCATGCACTTGCTTGTGTACGCAGAAAAAGCACAGGAGAGGAGGGAAAAGGCAACCTGAAGCCTCTGGATGTGCAGGAGGAGAGGCACCACAGCCCTGTGAGAGAAAGCTGCAGAGGCTGGGGAGCTGCAGAGCTGCCGCAGCTGCTCTGACTCCCCGCAGACACCCATGCAGTGAATGGCACCAACCCTACACATCATTCTGGCAGAGTTTTGCTTCTTCCAAGTTAACCTATTGGCCCCAAAAAGTGACCAACTGTGATGATATATTTAACCAGAACTGTCGATGTGAGGTAAGAAAAGTGAAGAAATTAAGGGAGAACAAAACATTTCCTATTCCTCACTGCACTGTCTGGATGGGAACCAGACACGTGCTTTGCAAACTCCAAAGCAGCTGTGAGAAGGGCAAGACAGAATACCAGCCTTTACCCGTCAGGACTGGGGGCAAGTCTGTTCAAAACCTGTGAGTTTTTCATAAAACACCTGGAATACATGAGAAGAGGTGGAAAAAAAACCCCAGCCTTGGAATTTAATCCTTGTGTTTCATTTTCCCTCCGAGGTATGCAGTTACTCACCTGGGCAGGGCTCTTCAGCAGCCTTTCGAGCCTCCACCTCCTGCTGATCTGCAGAGGCCAACTCTTCCTCTTGCTTAATATGGATTATGCTGTCTTCTGTTAATAGGAAACAATGTTATTTTAATTCCATACACAAAATTAATTCCAATTCTCACCCCAGCAGCTCTGTCGTAGCTCGCAATCTAGACAGAACCCTCACATCAGTTCTTGCTGAGAAAGGTCTCTCAAAGAGACCTCAAGTATTTACCACAAAACCCTCAGCAGACATTCTGAGCCTCAGAAACCCATAAAAATTTCACGCAGGTGGAATGTCCATTTTGTGGTGTTGCCCACCAGCAGCTGAAAACCCGGCCTATGCCACCCTGGGAAAGGGCAGTGCCACCTGAATTCCTGTTCTTGAGGTTTACTTCTCTTTTGGCTCTGCTAGAGTTGTGTCAATCCCTTTGCAGTCACTCTCAGTAAAACACACACTGCTTCCAGCCCATCAAAAAACCTCTAGTGAGAATTATGAATTTCATATATCCAAAAAATGCTATGAAATAAGGAAAAGCAGATGGGCTACTGCTCTACATGTCACCTCCATAACACAATCATAGAATCATAGACTAGTCAGGGTTGGAAGGACCTTAAGATCATCAAGTTCCAACCCCCCTGCCATGGGCAGGGACACCTCACACTAAACCGTATCACCCAAGGCTCTGTCCAACCTGGCCTTGAACACTGCCAGAGATGGAGCATTCACAACTTCCTTGGGCAACCCATTCCAGTGCCTCACCACCCTAACAGGAAAGAATTTCCTCCTTATATCCAATCTAAACTTTCCCTGAAAGTTCATTGAACACAGTGAACTGGAAGAACACTTCATGCATGGGTAAAACCAACTACATGTGGCATGTCTGTGCACACGGAATGGAAAGGCTTCTTGACACCCAGTGGTCAAGAACTGGCCTCCACCCTGCTCTGGCAATTCAGACATGGTAGTACAGCAACCAGGAGAGGGCAAAGAAATGCTTCAATGTAGCCTCCTGGTAAGGCTGGTAGGGATGAGGTGCCCAACAGCTACATTTGTAAGACCACACTCAACACAGCGAGTGCCTCGGAGAGACTGATGTCCCAGAACTGGCCGACCTGGGGAGGTTTTGGCACTCCATGTCCCAACAGCCCACGCACCCCAAAGCCACTCACCGCTCTCCGCAGGATCATTTCTCCCATCCCCATCCATGCAGTTCTGAACACACGGCTGGACCTCATCTTCCGACTGGGCCTGGGTATCACATCTGGGAGCATCCGGCTCTGCAGGAGGGGTGAACTGAGGCACAGCCACAGGTCCTGCTTGCACAGGGCTAGTGGGGACACGGCAGGGACCCTCTTCCTGCCCACCTCCCGCTCCGACCCTCCTCACACACACCCGGCTCGAGGTGGAGGTCGAGGTCAGGCCCTTACCGAGGGAGAGCAGCATGTGGTAGTTGCTCCTCATAACGGCTCGGTGCAGGGCCTGCTGCCAGCCACGCAGCGCCCGCCACTCCTGCTCGCTGAACTGCACCCACACGTCCTCCAGGCTCACCGGGCCCTGCCCTATCTGGGGCCGTGCTGCCCGCCGGCCGCCGCCGGCAGCCCAGCGCTTCGCTGACATTCGAGGGGCCCCGCCGCAGCAGCCGCTGCAACCGCCGCCGGTCTCCAGCCGCCGCTCCAGCGCCTGGAGGCGGCCGCGCAGAGCCAGCGCGGCCCTCAGCTGCCGCTCCGCCCGCGCCAGGCGGGCCTCCAGGCGGAGCAGCCGCGCCGCCACGGCCTGCGCCTCTGCTCGCTCGGCCTCCGGACCGGCCATGGCCGCCCCACCGGCACCACCGGCACCACCGACACCGGCCGCTGCCGCTTCCGCTGCCGGCACCGCAGCGCCCCCTGCCGCCGCCCTGCCACGAGCACTGCGGCGCCCCCCGGCGGGAGGGCTCGATGCGGCGCGCGGCACCGCCGAGTCGAGAGGGATCCGGGATTCTCCATGAACCACGAGGGATCGGGATCCCGACAGAGCCGAAATGGACTCAGGTTTCTCCGTGACCTGTGAGGGATCAGGGATCCTCAATGAGCTGAAAGGGACTGGGATCCCTTCAGAGCCAAGAGGAATCGGGGATCCTCTGTGAGCTATGAAGGACTGGGGATCCCCTCAGAACTGTGGGGGATTGGGGTCCTCTCAGAGACATGAGGGTTCAGGATCCTCTCAGAACTATGAGGGATGTTTCCCTCAAGGCCGTGACAGAGCAGGATCCTCAGGGCCATGAAGGATCAGGGTCCCGTCAGAGCTGTGATGGAACAGAGTCCCTTTGGAGCCAAGAGGGAACAGGATCCTCTCAGTGCAGCATGCCCTCAGAGCTGGGGGTGCTCAGGGTCCCCTCAAAGCCATGAGAGGTCAGAGCCATGAGCATGCAGGGTCCCCTCAGAGCTGTGGCGGACTGGGGCTCCCTTCCGAGTGATGAGGGAACAGGGTCCCCTCAGAGTTACGTGGGCTTAGGATCCCCTCAGAGCCATGAAGGACCAGAGGGGTCAGAGCTGTAATGATTCAAGATCCTCTAAGAGCCATGAATGTGCAGGGTTCCCTCGGAGCTGTGAGGGTTCGGGGTCCCATTCAGAGTCATGGGAGTACAGGATCCCCTCAGAGCCCTGAATCGTAGGGGCCCCCTCAGAGTTATGGGGGCTCAGGCTCCCCTGAGAGCCATGAAGGACTGGAGTTCCCTCAGAGCTGTGGATGGTGTCGTGTCCTCTCACAGCTGTGAGGGACCAGTCCCAGGCCCACCCCACAAAGGGGAGCTGGGGAACAGCGTTGGTGATATCAGTAGTGGAATTGTTCTGCTGCCTTTGGTGAGGGACAGAACTGTGGTGAAAGCCCGGCTGCCTGAGGGTGGTGGTGCTTCTTGGTACTTTGGTGTATTCTTCTTGCCTTGCATGTAATCATCATGTAAGGAGCTGGATGCAGGAGATGGCGGGTACCTCTCTGAAACACACAGAAAGGCTTTTATAAACAAAAACCTGAAGTCATAAAGCAACAAAAATCAGAGTTAGAATCATAGAATCACAGAAGAGTTGGAAAAGACCTTAAGATCATCTAGTTCCACCCTCCCTGCCATGGGCAGGGACACCTCACACTAAACCATCTCACCCAAGGCTCTGTCCAACCTGGCCTTGAACACTGCCAGAGATGGAGCATTCACAACTTCCCTGGGCAACCCATTCCAGTGCCTCACCACCCTTACAGTAAAGAACTTCCTCCTTATATCCAATCTAAACTTCCCCTGTTTAAGTTTTAACCCGTTACCCCTGGTCCTATCACTACCATCCCTAATGAAGTGTCCCTCCCCAGCATCCTTATAGCTCCCCTTCAGATACTGGAAGGCTGCTATGAGTTCTCCATGCAGCCTTCTCTTCTCCAGGCTGAACAGCCCCAGCTTCACACACTGAAGCCGGCTCATGTTCATTTTCTCATCAACCAACACCCACAGGGCTGCTCTGAATCTCTTCTCTGCCCAACCTGCAGCTGTGTCTGGGATTGCTCCAACCCAGGCGTAGGACCTTGCACTTGGCATGGTTAAACTTCATGAGGTTGGCATCAGCCCACCTCACAAGCGTGTCGAGGTCCCTCTGGATGGCATTCCTTCCCTCCAGGGTATCAACTGAACCACACAGCTTGGTGTCATCGGCAAACTTGCTGAGGGCACACTCAATCCCACTGTCCATGTCAGCGACAAAGACGTTGAACAAGACCGGTCCCAACGCTGATCCCTGAGGGACACCACTCGTTACTGGTCTCCAGCCGGACATTGAGCCATTGACCACAACTCTTTGGGTGCAGCCATCCAGCCAGTTCTTTATCCACCGAGTGGTCCATCCATCAAATTGATGTCTCTCCAATTTAGAGACAAGGATGTCGTGTGGGACAGTGTCGAACGCTTTGCACAAGTCCAGGTAGATGACATCAATTGCTCTACCCCTGTCCAACAGTTCTGTAGCCCCATCATAGAAGGCCACCAAATTGGTCAGGCAGGACTTCCCCTTTGTGTCTTTATCCCACAACTCATCTTGCTTTTCAAGTGATAACAAACTGCAACGCTGAAGTTGCTGGAAACTTTTTGCTGGCAGCAGGATCAATGTGATCTTCCTGCAGGGTGAGAATTGTACAGTGAGCTTATTTAAGTCCTATTTTTAGCTATCCTTACCATTCAGGCCCTGTATGGATCTCAGTATACATGTGGAAAACAATTCCTGCTCAGGTTCCACTGCAACATTAAAAAAAGAAAACACAATAAACCCCCCTTCTTCCTTTTTTCTGGTTCAAGGGAGACTATTGTCTCTCCATCAGTAAGGTACGATACCATAAACTGCCATTTACCAGGTCAGGTAAAATGATGAAGAACCCAAACAAACAAACAAAAAAAAACATAAATCAAAAAAGCAGCATTTCAAACTTCACAGCTTTAAGCTGATCCAGTTTATTGTTATTAAAAATCAATGGCTACAAATTTAACTGGCATTTTACAAACTGATAAAAACAAGTTCCCTGCCTTGATGGCTCACACTCTAGGTAACAAAAGTGTAAAACATGAAGAAGTAGTTTAACTGGAGACGGCAGGAAACCACTGGAGAAGCAATTAGTTCACGTGCTTATTGGACAAAACCCAAACCGCTTCTCTAGGTATCAGATGCCCCGTACTGTCAACTGCCAAGAGATTCTCCCTTCAGCACATCAAACAGCAGAGAAAAAACAGTTCATGTTCACTGCTTCATGGTAGCAAGCAGTCCCCGAACCCTGGGAAGTGGCAAATACAAACCCCTCTGTCCTCACAGATTTCTCATTTGGAGTAAAATATACGGATATGTGCACAGAGAGGGGCTCACCACAGACAGACCTATTCAAACATGTCAGGAGCTGAGAAATCAAAGACCTCAGCAGCACTAGGGATGAGAAAAGGTGCAGACAGGTCACCAGGCAAACACCTGCAGTGACTGAAGACACCCTGGCAGGCACAGCTCTGTGCCAGCTCCCACAGTGCAGGCTCAGAGAGGGTCACACAGGCTCACCCTGATCTGCTCTGGGCAAGAATCAAGTCAGCTTGAACAGCCCAGAGCTCTGAGCTGCTGAGCCAAAGTGGGCACAGGAGTTCTTGTCTCACACTCTGCTGGCAGGGCAAGCAGCAACGAACCTGGAAAAAGAAGACCTCACGTCTCTTGGCCAAAGTAGTTTCCAGACTAGAACACCTGCCACAGCAGCCAAATGGAGCGGGAAGAACACCTCTGCCTGGGGGGATGAGCCAGACACCAGTATCCTCCCCCTTCACAGTGAAGAGTGCGGTCGATTGAAGAATAAGGTGGATTGAAGAATGGGGTTGATTGAAGAACAGGGTTGTAAATAAGTAACCTCAAGAACCTTAGGCTTTGTTAGCAGCTATAGAGAAAACAAAATTACTAAGATAAGCTTTGCCAGAACCCCCTGGGGGTTACTGATATGACAATGATCCTAAAACGAAGTGATGAAGAAATAACCACCAGGGGTCCAAAAACCCACTACATCATTTTTGTATGCATACAGGAGGCATTGTCTAAGAAGTATGATGTAATGTATGTCATCTAATGAACATGTATGTTTAAGGACAATATAATCACAGCCTGGTTGATGCCTGGGAGACACACGCTAGGAGGAGCTATCCCCCGTGTCTCCCAGCGCCACAATAAAGAATACCTGCTTGTCAACTTAAAACTTTGTTGGCGAGCTCCTGGAGTTTTCTCTGAATCAGCAGACACTTTGGGACCAGAAGTGACGGAAAGGTTTCTAAAGCCCAATTCATGTCAAGAAAAAGAGCAGCAGGTTTAAAACAAGTCAAGCAGCATCACCACCCCTGAAGCTGCACTACATATTTGGGCAATTTGCTAAACACATCAGATACTGGGAGTTTTTTCTGAACTTGGAGCAAAGTCCCCACAGCTACTGAAGTGTAAACCCAGTGCCTTGCACCCCACATCAGAACTCCAAGCACAAGTGGCCTGGTTATCATAATTTACAGAAAACTAGCTCTGTTTTCAAGCTCTAAAGACAGAGCTGAACCTGTGTTTTACCAGCCAGCTTCCTAAGCAGAAACAGCAGCAAAAATATCATTCAGCCTGTGCCAAGGCACAGACAGAGTTGGGAACAGACTGGTTGCCCCTTCTTGGTGAAGGCAGCACCCATGCAAGCCATTGGTGAGGTCTCACCCTGTGCATGTGTGCAGTCACCACGAGTCTTTTGCAAACACAGAACTCAAACTCACCCACCGAACTGAGAACAGCAGAACTTTGTCAAGAGGAGCAGCCAGGACAAGTCCAGGTGAAGAACTTCAAAACACTCAACTTTGCTGGAACGAGTTCAAACAACTGATTCAAATTCAGAGAGGCCCAAACCACTTTCATTCTTGAATTCTGAGCAGATTATGAGGTACTGTGGTGTACCATCACCACCATGAAGGAAAGGGCACTGGTGCCACAGCAGATCCTAATTCTACTTTGCTTGGATCTTTGGGATAAGTTATCAGAGAGCCTTTAACACTGAACAGCAGAGATCCTCTCCTCCCCTCCAAGAGCTGCAAGGCTGTGTGAGCCTGCACAGCCTAGAATCAGTGTAGCTGTTTCTTCCCCACGCCAGGCACAGAGTCCCTCTTGTGCAGGTGGATCCTCCCATGCTGGAGGAGGTGCTCCTTCTGGGTGAAGCATTTTGGGCACTCATTGCATGTGTATGGCCTCTCATCTGTGTGGATCCTCTGATGCTGGACCACACTGGAGGAGCAGGTGAACCTCTTCCCACAGTACAAGCACCTAAGGATCTTTCTTCTTTGGTGCAAGTGCGTATGTTTGTGGCTGCCGAGAGTTTTCTTCTGGGAGAAACATGCCTTGCATTGATTGCACTTGTAGGGCCTTCCTTTTGGGTGGGCACTCGGATTTAGCTTACAGATAGCATTGGCGTCATTGCTTTTCAGGCACCTGGGACTGCTGGACACCTTGTCCACGGCTGGGACACTGGTGCGGGCTTTGGCATTCTGGTTCTGCTTGAACCTCTCTGTGGCCACATGGGTCCCATCCTCTTCCACATGAGTCTGGTGGCACAGCGGATAGAGGAAGCCGTCCTCGCCTCCAGTGTGCTCACTGCTATCCTCTGTGCTGTGGCCCTCCTGGTGAGGTGTCAGCATCTTCTTCAGACAGAAGCCCTTTCCACACGCTGTACATGAGTGAGGTCTCTTTCTGGGACAGTTTTGCCCATGGAAGTTGATAGCGTTGCTTTCACTGAGACCCTCTCCCTCTGGGGTGGATGGCACCAGGCTGCTCATGCTCTGGTTTCCCTGCTCTACAGGACAGCTGTACTGACTATCAAAGGACAGCACCTTGCTGGGACCCTGGGAAAGCAGCTCCTTTGGCTCCCTGGTTAAAGTCACAGGAGGCTTGGACCTTTGGGAGCATTCCTCCAAGTCCAGCTGCTCTACTTTGAACGTCATTGCCTCATTCGCTGGGACTGACAAGAACAATAAAAGGGACATTCACTGGTGTGAGATACCTTCCAAAATCTCCCACACTCCTTACCCCACCACCTGGGAAGCAAACAGGCCCATCTCACACAGGAAGCATAAAGGCAGCTGTGCTCACACAACAGCAGCCAGCTGAAAGACTGATAGAGAATACAAATGAAAAGCACAAGGAACACTTCCCTTTCAGCTGGCTGAGCTGCTTGAGAAGCCTCAGCCATGAGGGAGGGGGCAGAAGGAAGTGCTACCTTCCAGGATAGCAGAGTTCAGCAGCTTCCAAAATCACCTCCCTCAGCACCAAGAACTCATGGATCTGGGACAGCCCTTTGCTTCCGTCATAAGCCCATCTGCCTCCCTCCCCACTCTTCACTCTGCTCCCTCTCACTCTTCCGAGCACCAGACTTCTAAGATCCACCTTCCCTCCACACCCGGAACATGGTGACTTGCCTGCGCAGCACTCTTCTTGAAAGTGGGCACACAAACACTGGTTTTGACTTGAGAGATGCCTGCTACTGCTCAGGATGAGAGGAAGCCTCCTCTGTAGATGTCACTGAGGCAGTACAAATTTTTTCTGAGAGTTCATTGCTTTTCTTCACCAAATTAGGTGCCTGGGGTTTTCTAATCACACTAAACATGTCTCAGACTTTCGCCTGACTCTCATTCCTACATGAACATTTCATCTGAGTTGACCTGGATGTGAATATAACCCATTGGTGGAAAACCAATCAAAAGCAGGGACAGAAACTGCCAACACACAGCCATCTCAAATGCTGTCAACAATGTGAGGTCAAAATCTAAGCAGGGCTCAGCCTCCTGTCTGGAGAACTTCACTCCCCAGTTCACTCGTGCTGTGCAGCACCTGACAGCAGAGGGGTGACAGCATGGCACAAGGGTGATGAGAAAAAGCATGTATGAGTTAGCCAAAGCAGGGCAAATACCACCAAAAACTGAGCAAGTCCCACTGACACTTCTGATGTGGCACAAGGAGGATAAACAGAGACCAGGACTGAGTGTGAAGAAACAACTGGTGAGCTGGGCTGGTCTATTAATCAAGTAAATATCAAGTCATTATTATTTGGAATAGCAGAGACATCCCAGCTTGCCAGTGACTTCCCTCCATGTAGCCATCAAAGCATCACTCTGGAGCACAGCTCCCTCCTCTGAGGATGCAGCCACCAAACAGAAGAAATTCAAGGAGAAGAGCTACAGATATGCTCTGGAGGACAAGAGACAGGACCCACAGGAGAGAAGAGTGCTGAGAAGCTGGGGGACTGGAGGGAAGAGCTGAGCTCTGCACCAGTCACGACCTTACCAAACGCGGAGGTCAGCCTCCCTGCAGCCGGAGGGGAGCTGGAGGTGATGTTCCATCCAGGCATTTGCCCAGGCCCCTTCCAAGCTGGCTTTGCTTCCAGCCTTTGCTGTGTCCTGTTGCAGCATGTCCTACAGCTTGCACACATACGGTAACAGCAGTTTGCTCTGCAAGCGCCTGCTCCCTGGATCTCTGACAGTCAGGAAGCACAAAAGTTTGTTCCTTTGGCTCATGCAGTGCACCACTCACCCAGGCACTGACCCCCATTGTATCCCACTCCCTGCCACGCCTTCCTCGGGCTAAGGAATCCCACTGCGTTCCATCTCTCCTCATATGGAAGCTTTCCACCTAGCTTCTCTGCTCTGGACAGCATCCCTGACTACTGCATTCCTTTCAAGAGAGAATGAGCAGAACTTAGCTCAGCTCCCCGCGTACTTTGGCATAACACTGTCTTTGGAGAAGATCTTGAGAATTGTTCTGTTTCATTCCTAGCGTCTCCCTGTATTCTGACTGGAGGAGGCTCAGGGGGGCCCCTGTCACTCTCTACAACTGAGGAAGTTGAAAGGAAGTTGTAGAGAGGAGGTTGCTGGTTTCTTCTCCCAAGTAACAAGTGATAGCACAAGAGGTAACGGCCTCAAGCTACTCCTAGGGGAGGTTTAGACTGGATATTAGGAAACATTTCTTCACCAAAAGGGTGATCAGGTATTGGAACAGGCTGCCCAGGAAAGTGGTGGAATCATCATCCCTGGAAGCATTCAGAAACCATGTAGGTGAGGCCCTCAGTGACATGGTTTAGTGCTGGACTTGGCAGTCCTGGGGTAACGGTTGGACTTGATCTTGAAGGTCTTTTCCAACCCAGCTGATTCTATGATTTATTTCAGGGATTCCCATCTCCTCACATCCAGCACCTTGTCTACCCAGCACTTTAATCTTCCTACCAGTAAAACTGCCCGTACCCTTTCTGCTCACGTTCCTAACCTCACTGTGACTCTTGCTCCTTTCCCCACTGCCCCACCAGCCTCTCCTCAGTCCCCGTGTCTTGGCATATGCTGTCCCACAGCAGGAATGCTAGGGACTCCCAGCATTTCCAGCTACATAACACACTGTGGGATTGCTTGGAACTCACCCACACTGAGCTTGGTAAACTCCACATCCTTCATGGTTCCCTGCTCCTCCATACACCTCTCTTCTTCCTGCTTCCCAACACCTGCAAAGCTCGGCTCTGGAATACCAGTGTGCTGCAGTAAAGAGGAAACTTCTTCAGTGGTTGTTGTGGCACTGCTTGGCTCCTCCCTCGCTGTTCCCCAGGGCTTTGCTCCTGGCTACCCTGCTTTTTCATGTAAAACCTCACTCCAGCATCCCCCATCCCTATTTCTGGAAGCTTTTTCCCCAGAGCAATGCAGCAGAGAAGTGGTTCCACCTCACTCCCTGTTTCAGAGGCTTGTCCTCCCTGCCCCAGAGTCCAAGCTTGCCCTTACAGAGCAACATTCACAAGGTCCAGGCTCAGCCAGCACTGCTCTTCCCTCCAGGCCTTCCTGCACTCCTGCACTGCCATCCTGGCTGTTTACATCAACCTTAAACAGCAGAGCCTCTGCTAACAAGAAAGATCACAGCTGTTACCCAAACTCTCTGCACGTGGCAGGGGGTTGGAACCAGGTGATCTTTGAGTTCCCTTCCAACCCAAACCATTCTATGATTCTGTTTTTTCCTAACACTGTTACTACCCCTGAACCTGTTCCTCCTGAGATCCAAGAAGTTCCTTCTGCAGCAAACTGGGACTATCACCTTGCAACACCCTCTAGTGACACCATGGAAACATTACACCTGAGACAAAAACTGTATTTCATCTCTTGCCTGCACTCGGCTCTGCTGAAACCTCTTTGAAGCTGCCTCATCCCCATTGCAGGATGCTTCCCCTCTCTGGTGCTGGGACAGGAGGTCATGTTTGGAGATTGCATAGTCTGTTGAGGAACAGAGAGACTAACAGTGTCCTCAGGGAGGAACACACTCAGCTGCACTCCCAAAACTGGATCCATTGGCCACAACACACCACATGGCAGAATGAGAACCCTCTGCACTGTCCACCTGGAGTCAGAGGCTTCCGGAGTGGGCTGGGATACTGAGGTGACCACAACCAATGCCCACACCTAGAGACGGTGGGACTGGATGTGCCATATGCTGCTGACCACAACAGGCACTCATCGACTTCTCCATGTGCCTACAAGCCTGCTTCCCAGGTGGGGAAGAAGTCCCCAGAACAGAGCCAATTGGAAGAACCAGGAACTGACCAAAACAGAGACACTTACCTAGATAGATTTGAGGCTCATTATTTCCCCCCAGCTCCTTTATGTGCAGCTCCCTCTGCTGCTCCTGCAGGTCTGCCCACTCTTGAGCAGAAAAGCACACGGTCTCACTTTGGAACACCACTGATGGGTCTTACAATCACAAAGGGAATGCACTCACCACCAGGCCTGGAGAAATCCTCCAGAGGAATTCTCTACCTGAATCCTATGCCACCACCAGGCATCAAGAAATGAGAAAAAAATCCCTGCCCTGGGGCACCTCACAGAGAACAATGATCACTTTAAGGACTGTGAGTTTCAAGGCATTTGACTTGCAAATTTCACAGCAGGCTTCCTAAGATGCGGAATCACTGCTCCAGGAAGCGTTCAAAACCACCTAGATGGCGTCCTTAGTGACATGGTTTAGTGGCGGTCTTGGCAGTCCTGGGGTAACGGTTGGAAGGTGTTTTCCAACTTTTCTGTGATTCTGTGATTCAACCTGCAAATCCCACAACACTCAAACTCTGGATGCCTCAATATCCACATGTCCACCTGTGTGGAGCCCGAGCCCATCCCATAGGCATTTTACAGACCTCAGTGGGGAGGAAGAGCCTACTATTTATGTTAAAAACATGACAACACGCTCTTTGGTGAGATAATACTGCAGAATCTAAACACATCTATGAGCAAACACTGCCTGCTTGATGCTTCAGGCCATGGGGGGAGATAATGGCAGGTAGAGTTAAAGTGTGATGGAGCCCAGTGAAGTCCCCCAGGTGTCCCCCCCCAAGCACCCTTCACTCCTACCCTGGTGACGTTGACCTCGGGGGCAGCTGCAGGATCCATAAGTTCCCACTCTTCAGGAAGTTCTCTATGCTCTTCAGGCGCCGCTGGAGCTGCTCATACTCCTGGATGAGAGTGCCTAGCGCCGTGCACTTGCTCTCCAGCTGGTTCCCAAAATCCACCGCCGTTTTCCCGCGTTCCAAGTGGTTCTTCTCGGTGGCGGCCACCCGGCTCTCCAAGTTCAGCAACCGCGAACCGTGAAGCGTCCACGCTCTGCTCCATCGTCTGCATCGCCGCCGCCGTCTTTAGCGAGACGAGGCTGCCGCCGAGCGTCGGACACCCACCCGCCGCCGGCGGCTCCGCGGGGAAGCCGCAGCTCGCCAGGTGCGGGGGTTCCATTCCCGCCCTCCGCCGGCAGACAAGCGGGCCGAACCAGCGCCTCGCGGGGCTGCAGCGCGGCTCCCGCCGCCCACACGGGTCCTCAGGGGCTGCGCGCTGCTGGGGGAGCAGCAGGAGCCGCGTTAGGACCACCACCACGGGGCACCACGGCTGGATTTCTCACCTTTCTACAAGGAGCCGCGGCTCGCCAGGACCAGACCCTCCCCGCATCCAACGCGCCGACCTCGGAGCCTGGACCCCGTCCCGCCGCCGCTCCGCACCTAACCCGCCGCAGCCGGAACCACCTCCTTGAGCCGCACCGGGTGCTGCCGCTTTACCGTACCGCCAGGGGGCACCGTCCGGCCGCCTCTCGCCGCAGCGCTTCCCTGCCGGGCGGAGGCTGGCTGCACGGCTGCAGTGATTGGCAGCTGTCAGTCACCGAGAAGAGGTTGATTTGAAGAGGGGAGGTGCACACCTGTGCTGAAACCCTCCTCCGCCGTTCCCACACAGCCCCGGCCCCGGGGAACGAGGTGACATCGGCCACCCCATCCCCGCCAGGCCCGTCCCGTCCCGTCGGGCACTGAGGGGGAGGCAGTGGGCGGTGGCGGCCGGCCGGCAGGAGGCGCGGCGCGGTGGACAAGGGGCGGTGCTCTATCAGGAGGTGGGAGGGCGAGCGGGGGCCGTGCCCGGGGTCGGGGTCGGCCCCGCGGGAGACCCGATGCTGATCGTCCCCAGTGCCGCGGTGGGGTCATGGCGGACGTGCGCGCCATGCTCGAGGCGCTGGAGCAGCGGCTGCAGCGGACCGAGGCGGTGCTGAGCGACGGGCCCCCCTGGGGGCTGCTGCAGCCCATCGTACGGACCGGCCCGGGGAGCGGGGGGAACCGGTTTGAGGGGGTGGGACGCGCTTGTGGAGCCGGTGGGGGCTTAAGGGCGGTCTGAGGGCTGGCAACGAGCCCTGGAGGCATGTAAGGGACTCTTGGGGGCTGGAAGTGGCCTAGGAGGGTCACTCAGGGGGTCATTGTGGGGCTGAGCGGTGGCTTGTGGGGCTGGTAACGAGCCATGAGGCCACTTGGGGTGCTGTTGCGTGATGTGGGCTAGGGGAGAGTGTGTGGCCACTTAGGAGGCTGCCGGGAGGTCATGGAAGCTGGGGGTGAGCCTGTGTAGCCACTTGGTGTGCTGTTGGGAGGTGATGGGGTCGCAGGGGTGAGCCTGTGTGGCCACTTTGGGGCTGTTGTGAGAATGACTGGGCTGAGAATGAGCGTGGGGGTTGATTGTGGGGCTGGGAGCTGGTTGTGAGGCTGCTGAGGTGGCCTTTAGGAGACTGGGTGAATCCAGTGGGGCTGCTGGGGGGCTGGCAGCTGCATGGGGTGGGTCTTGTGTGACGCCGGGAGGCTTGTGGGGAGCTACTCTGGGGGCTGTTGAAGGGCTGGGGAGCAGTTCTAGGGGCTGGGAGTTGGCTGGGGGAGGGACCTTCCTCCCTTCTACAGCCCAGCCCTGTGCTCCCAGGTTCCAGTGACGTTCGAGGACATCATGGTGCACTTCAGCAGGGCGGAATGGGCAAGCCTGGATGATGGGCAGAGGGAGCTGTACCGGACTGTGATGGAGGACAACTACGAGATGCTGGTGTCCCTGTGTAGGCTCCATTTGCGCCGGCTTGGCAGCCACCGCCACTGCCTGCAGGGCTCTCTCTTGGGGTTACTTTCCTACCTCTTTGTGTTTCACTGGCATCTCCAGCCCTCAAACGATCCTCTCAATTCCCTGCCCCCTCTGGCAGCCCTCAGGAGGGGGATAGTAAGTGCTCTGTGTCTTCTCCTCGTGGAGAACGGGTTCACTGATGTCCCTCCATTGCCATCACAGAAATTCCCTCTCCCACGTCTTGTCTAGATCCTCATGTGGTTTCCCATCAGTGTGGTAGATGTGTCTGTCCATCCTGGAATGGGTAGTGGGGCTGGTAAGGCTCCCTTGCTGCAGGGGAGCAAATCTGGGGCAGCCTTTTGGGTGTTTCTGGCTGGATTTCTCAATGCATGGCCCTCACAGCTGGAAGTGAGCTTTCCAGAAAGTCCTGTTAGACTTGATCTTAGGGATCTTTTCCATCCTAACTGATACTATGACTCTGTGACACCCCGCTTAGCTCACTTAGTTTTTATATCCTCCCTTAGAAGTGCTGTCTGCATCTGTAAGTCCCTGTGTGCTGGCAGTGGTGCTACCCCAGTTGGTGATGAAGCTTTTCTGGGCTGGGGCTGACTTTGTGTTGACTGTGGATGTTGCTCTGATGCGTGTCTTGCTCTTGAGCAGACTGTACCGTGTCCAAGCCCGAGTTCTTACTTCAGATCGAAAGGGAAGAGGAGCTCCACATGCTGGCGACGGCGGGAGGCCTGGAAGGAACTGACATGTCCCTGGAGCAAGCTGCAGGTGTGTGACACTGGGCTTTCCCTGTGCCAGGCTCCTGGCTGCTTACCAGAGTGATTGTGGTTGCTGCCTTCAGCCCTGGAGACCTCATCCAGTTCCACCCCCCTGCTGTAGGCAGGAACACGTTCCACTAGACCAGGTTGCTCCAAGCCCCATCCAACCTGGCTGCTCCTGATGCTGAGTGCCCTTATCCTCCCCAGAGCCAGACAGCCTGAGCTGCACAAGTGATGGTGCTGTGCTGGAGATAAAAACAGAGTCTTGTGAGGGGACCTATGGGAACCCAGAAGAAAGCAGTACTCCTGTGGTCTCAGGCAAGTGCAGCACACGTGAGTAGCTGCAACCCCCGCTGGCACCAGGGACTCTGCGCCCCTGCCCGGCTCTGTTTCGCCCAGTGCCTTCACCGCTCCTCTTGCCTTCGCAGTGCACGTCCCTCATGAAGCTGCTGCTGTCCCAACAGCCCTCGGCCAGCCAGTGCTGTCCCCTTCCTGCCCTCTCTCCATGTGCTGCCTGGAAGTAGGGAATCCGAATGAGTCTCTGTCGCCTCCCCCTGCAGCAGGTACAGGGGCAGAGTCCTTCATCCCTCCTTGAGCAGTGCCGGCACACTCTGAGAGCAGGAGGAGCTTCCTGCAGGGCTTGTTCTTGGCCTGGGGCTTTTGGGGCAGGGTTTTACATGATTCAGAGGGGCCACGAAAGGGCTTGGGCAGCAACTCGTGCTGCCAGCCTTGACATCGTAGAGGCCAAGGCATGGCTTGGTGTCAACCAGCCAACCCAGTAGATTTGCCTCAGAGGACAAGCCCTGGTGGTTTTGTTGGACTCCCCCCATCCTACCTTGGTGACATGTGTCATCTCACGCTGTCCCTGGGGTGCCTAGGGGGATGAGCTGTAGCTGTGCTCAGTCTTTATGGAGTCTGGATTGGAAGACACTGAGCTGGAAGAGGGGAGCAGGGTTGAGATTTGTGCTGGCTGTGGAGGGTGGGGTGGGAGGAAAGCCCTTTACTTTTGATGCCTTGGCCTCAAATCTACATAAGTGTGATATCTGCGCTCTGAATATTTTCTGGCAGATGCTGAGATGGAGATCCCAACGGAGGTACCACAGGAGGATGTCACTGTGGAGGAGCTGGCAGTGCCTGAAACACCCTCGATAGGTCTGGAGGAGGAGAAAGTGAAGGATGTGGAGTGCAGTGGCCAAAACTTGGAGGCAGAGCTTCCTGCAGACCCCGGGAAGGGGGCAATGCCAGATGACTGTGGAGCAGTGGCCCAGGCAGATTCCAGCTGCACAGCCACCACTGTGGGAGAGCCCGTGGAGGGCTCCTGTGTAGGCCAGCGGAATTCCACCCGGGAGAAAACCTACTCCTGCTCTGTGTGCAGGAAGAATTTCCTGCTTGAGATCAACCTCATCATCCACCAGTGCAGCCACAGCAACTGGGTGCCCTACATCTGTGTCCACTGCGGCCGCAGCTTCATGTCCAAGAGGAAAATCCGCCATCACATGCGGGCCCGGCAGGTGCTGGGGCTGTGCCAGCCCTCGGAGGTGGAATACTCTGTGTCCCAGCACCGGGGCTGCAGCACTGCCAGGAGGAAGCCGAGCAGCAGCGAATTCCCACTGCCACCAGGGAACGTGATGTATACATGCAAGGAGTGCATGGAGAACTTCTCCAGCGAGAGCTTCCTGATCGTGCACCAGTGGCAACACGGCCAGGAGCACCTCATCCTCTGCCCCTGCTGCAACCGGAGCTTCAGCTGGGCCTCAGACTTTGTCCGCTGCCACCAGCCCCACATAGGCGAGCGGCCCTACCAGTGTGGTGTCTGCCAGAAGGCTTTCAAGCGCTACCAGCACCTGGCCATGCACCAGCGGGTCCACGAGCAGCAGAACAGGCCCTACCCCTGCGCAGAGCCGCTGCCTGTGCCGGCAGCACCCGTTTAGGTGCGGAGGTGGAAGCGGGAAGTGGAGTAGAAAAAGGGGTGGGAAGCTGGGAGATCTCCTGGGAATAAGAAGCTGTGGTTGGACTTTCTCCTCTTCCCCTGACTGTGGATGCAAGCATATTGGGTGAAGGGTGGAGCATGGGTGCCATCACCTGGCTCCTCCATGGGGATTGAGGACAACCCAACGTTGCAGTGTGTGTGCATGAGTTGCGCCTCATGCTTGAGCCCTGGTGGGACAGCTGGGAGTGGGAGCTGCCATGGCTGTGGACATGTGCCTTTTCTGGAGAGTGCCAATAGATGCTGTAGAAACCAGGATACTCCCTCTGGCAGAACGTGGCTTCATTCAGCTGTAGGGGAGAGGGAGCTGCTACACCTGGGGAGGGAGCCTTGGGAATGCTGGTGGGGTGTGATGGAGTGAGGCTGGGGGAGCAGTGGGGGCAAGGAGGGGTTGTGACCTGGATTAATGGGCAGGAGCTCTGGCCCCTGTATGGAGATGGAGACGGGACCGGGACGGGATGGGGACAGAAAAGGGATGAAATAGAGATGGAATGGGGATGAGGATGGGATGAGGATGGGATGGGATGGGATGGGATGGGATGGGATGGGATGGGATGGGATGGGGGGCCCGTCCCAGTGTGGGCAGGGCGAGGGGCGGTGCTGCGAGCGGGCCACTAGGGGGCGCTGTGGCGCGGCGTTGGCTGCAGTGCGTGCGGCCATGTCCCGTTGGGGCCCCGCTCAGGTACGGGGGGGCTGGCGGCGGCGGCGGCTCCTCACACCTTCACCCCCCCCTCCTCACCTTCCCTCCCCACCGCTGCGGGCACCGGGCGGAGGGCACCGGCCATGTCCGGATGCCGGCCCGCCGGGGTGTCAGCCCGCGGTACCTACCGGCAGGCCCGACCGGGCCCGGAGCCGCTGTGAGGGGCGGGAGGGGCCGGGTCCGCCGGTACCGCGGCCGCCCCGGCCCCGTCCCGACCCCGCCCTGGGCAGCCCCTCACCGCCCCTCCCGCCCCGCAGCAGGAGCCCGAGTGGGGGCCAGAGGCCTGGCAGCAGCTCCCGAGCGCCGGCCCCGAGGGGGCGAAGCCGTCGGCGGTGCCCGAGGTGTCGCTGTGGACGGTGGTGGCGGCGGTGCAGGCGGTGGAGCGGAAGGTGGAGTCGCAGGCGCTGAGGCTGCTGAGCCTGGAAGGCAGAGCAGAGACAGCCGAGCAGAAGGTGACCGGGCTGGAGAAGGCGGTGCTGGACTTCGGCAGCCGGCTGGAGCGCCGCTGGGCCGCCCTGGCCACCCTGCTGCAGGAGAGCTCCCGGCGCCTCGACCACGTCGAGCGCCAGCTCCAGCACCGCGGTGGGCCCGGAGCCGGTACGGTCCTTGCAGGGGACGAGCCCAAGGTAATGATAGGGATGAGCTTTGGTTGACGGGGATGAGCCCGCGGTGACAGGGATGGGCTCCAGGTGATGGGGACGAGACCAGGGTAACTGGGGATGAACACCAGGCACATGGATGAGCCCAAGGTGGTGGGGACATGCCTACGGTGATGGGGATGAACCCATAGTGACAGGGGTGAGCCTAAGGTAACAGTAGCAATGAGTCCTGAGTAACAGGGACGAGCCCACCATGAGCCCAGGCATTGGGGATGAGCCCAAGGTAGGAGGGACAAGCCCCAGCCTGTGAGGACATGCCCACAGTGACAAACAGGGACAAGCTCCCAGCTAATGGAGACGTGCCCAAGGTAACAGGGTTGAGCACCAAATAACAAGGATGTGCCCAAGGTGACAAATGGGAACGAGACCCAGGTAACAGGGACATGCTTAAGGCAATAGAGATGTACCCCAGGTGACCATATGGCCAGTGAGATGTGACACTGGCTCTCGTGGGGACCTGCACAGAGCAGCTTGGTCATGGTCCCGCTGGTGCTCCAGCACACAAGCAGGAGGCAGAGAATTCTTGCTATTCCCTGTCCTCAGTGAAGACGGGAAGCAGGACACAACCTCCCTGCGCATTTTCAGCCTGTTGACTCCTACTGGTCACCTTGCCAGTGGGACAGTGCCTGTGTGAGGGGGTTGCTGCTCACCCAGCTCCTTTCCATCAGAGCTGTGGGGGGAGTGGTGGAGATTGGCGAGTGTCTGAGGTGGGAAGCACCAAGATGGTGCCATATGTGATTTCAGATGCCAACGGCATGCGAGGATGAGGTGGCAGGTTTGCCAGAGCAGGAATGGGGGAGCATGGACAGCCAGCAGAAGGAGATCTCCAGGATGGCGATGAAGGGGAATTACGATGAGGCTGGAGTCTTCCTTGGTGAGGATTGGTCTCTTCTCATGTGTCAGACATGTTGTCATCCCCTGCGCTGGCTCCAGTTTACGGCTGTGTGTAGGCTGCTGTGTTGTCCAAGTGTTCAGAGGAGAGCAGGCAGCGTGGGGTGACGACTTTACACTTTTCAGGTGCTCCTTGGTTGTGGGTGACAGCCGTGCCTTGTGCTCACCCTGCACATCCAAAGGACACCAGCAGTGCTGTCTGGGGCTGTTCAGACACCAGGAGATGGTCCTCTGTCAGCCCCAGCTTACCTGTGAGCGCAGAGGAGAGCCCTCCTCACGTGCTCAGGGCAGTGTGTGGTGGGGATTTTGGGTGATGTGCCCATGCTGTGTTGTGCAGCCTCCGTTCATGCACCATTTTTTGCCAGGACAAGGGCTGTACATCTGCCACCCTGTAGGGTTTTGCTGCAGCCAGTCCTAGATTTTAACACTTACTACTTTTGACTGAAATTTTAAAGGCTATGCGCCCGACAGTCACCTCTTCTTGGGGCAACTGAAATCACTTGCATGGTTGGGCTGACACCAGCCTGCTTGTTCAGATGGCATTGGGAAGTCAGAGCAGCTGCTCTGGGAATCCAGGACCCCTCCAGGCACCCCACAGCTCCCAGTGTGTGAGAACAGCCTTTTATTGAGGGGAACTGGTGCTGGTCACCACCATCAGTGGTTCATACCACCAACTCCTCCTTCCAGGGCCTGCAGATGACAGCTCCAAACCCACTCTGCTGCTGCCAGCTGAGGATAGGGAGGATCCAGGTGCGAGGACCCAGGGGCTGCCGGATGAGGGATCAATGCTGGGGCACCTCGGCTGCAGTGAGTTACAGCCACGAAGGCTGAGAGCGCGCAACAGGGACACAGCAGGGCTAGGCAGGGTTGGCACTGGGTACACTGCTCCAGTGCTGCCCGCACACTGCCACTGGCTGCCTACAAAGTGAGGGGCATGGGGCCTGCCTGTTGCTCCCACTAGGGATGGGGCCAGCCAAGCCCGGCATGTCCCTTCAGGGAGCGTTTCCAGTTTTGCATGGGGTCAGAAGGTGCTGGGAATTTAAGTCATGTGACTGGGGCTTCCTTAACACTTTTAAGACCAAATGTTTAAGCCCAGAAGAGCCCCCTTGCCAGAATGAATAGAAAATGATGCCACATCCCAGGAAGTGATGCCTCATCTGTGGCAGTGTTCAAGTCCAGGTTGGACAGGGCTTGGAGCAACCTGGTCTAGTGGAAGGTGTCCCTGCCTGTGGCAGGGGTTGGAACTGGGTAAGCTTTAAGGTCCTTTCCAACCAAAACCATTCTATGATTCTACGATTCCATGAAAATAGGGAGACCTGGGCAAGGCTTGGTGTGAGGGTGTCTCTGTGGCTGTTTGCCTGCAGATGGACTCTCCCTGCTGCTCCTGAAAGGTTTTGCTTTGCCCCTTTTCCCCAGATTCACCCACCTGAACTCTGCCATTCCTGACAAAACTCCTTCCAGGACAGAGTACTCTGCAGCCTCCACTTTGCCTTCCCATTTCCTGTTTTGGTTTATTTATTTATTGCTTTGTCAGTCCACCAAACGTCCCTGAAGTTCAATGGGATACCCTGATAACCCCTAAGAGGTGCCAGCACCCTCTCCACCACCTCATATGTCCTTCTCCGACTTTGCTCTTGGTAAAACCTTCCCATTACACTTCTCATGGCACCCTTGCTGGTTCATCTTGGTGATGTGCTTGCAGGGAGGCGCAGCTCCTGCTCCTGGAACTGTGAGCATGGGAGAGCTTTCCTTGCCAGGAATGAATTGCTGTCTCTTGGCAGGTGAGAACATCGTGATCAAGACAGAAGAGCAGCAGCCCCAGGAGGAAGGACCACAAGTCCTGGCTCTGCCAGAGGCACCCTCACTGAGGCTGGAAGAGGAGGTTCCCCTGAGCCAGGAGCAGCCGGTGCCCTGGGAGCACCATGCTGCCATGGATGGGCAGAAGGCAGAAGGATCAGGCTTAGGGGACTTCTGCACACACGAAACCACCACCCAGCTTGAATTTAAGCCTGTGGTGGTGCCGGTAGAAGCTCACCCTGCCCCAGGCTTGCCCTTCCCAACAGAGCATGTGCTTGGTGTGGGGAATGAGCAGCCATTTGCCCTGTCCCAGGGCATGCCGCTGGGAGCAGAAAGCAGCGCAGAGGTGGCTTCATCGCAGCTCAGCTCGGAAGAGCATCGTCCTTGCGCCGAGGGGGAAGAGCCCTGCGCGCTTCCGCTGGGCTGGAAGAGCGCCCGGCTGAAGCGCAACCTCCTGGCACGGCAGCAGAGCAAGGCGAGGAAGAGCAATGGCTCCTTCATCTGCACAGCCTGTGGGAAGAGCCTGGCCCATCACGCTGCACTGCTGAGGCATCAGCGCCTGCACACGGGTGAGCGCCCCTTCCAGTGCCCAGCCTGTGGGAAGAGCTTCAACGAGAAGTCCAACCTCAACAAGCACTACCGCATCCACACTGGGGAGCGCCCCTACCGCTGCCCTGCCTGCGGCAAGGGCTTCATCCAGAAGCACCACCTCCAGAAGCACCAGCGCATCCATGGGGTGCAGCTGCGGGGTGGCTGGGCAGGCCGGGCCCCACGGGCCAGCGCTGCCGGGGAGCGGCTCTACCGCTGCATCGAGTGTGCCGAGAGCTTCCCCCAGAAAGTCTCACTGGAGGAGCACCAGCGCCGGCACACGCAGCAGCGGCCCTTCCAGTGCAGCGGCTGCACCAAGAGTTTCCGGCACCGGCAGTCTCTGAACCACCACCAGAAGATCCATGCCGTGGCCAGCTCTCCTGCCGTCAGCTTGCCAAGCCACAACAAGGAGCTGGAGACCAGCCCCTGTGCCACTTTGACCCAGGATAATCGGTAGCGTGAGGGGTGCACAAGGGAAGGGGCAGCGTTTTGTTTCTCCGGGCTGCTCCGCAGAGGTGCGGCAGCCTCCGGCAATGGAACCCACGAGGTGGCTGGTGTCACACCACTGTCGGGCTGTCCGCAACACTGTGGGGCTGGTGGTACCACCAGGGGGCTCTGCACTGCGTGGGACTCCAGGAGGAGGAGGAAGGAGGAAGGCTGAAGTGCTCTGCAGGCAGCAAAACATGCAGGGGATAAAGAGACTGGCCTGAAGCAGTGGAGGAGGTTCTGGGATCCGGAGCTGAGCTGGGTTGTGCCGCTGCCCTGTGATGAGGGATCTCTCTGAGAAGGAGCCATGTTGGGCACTGCGAGGTGGTTGAACTCAGCTATTGAACACCACCAGCGTGGCGGGGGTGCAGGGTGGAGGCTGGTCAGCAGCTGGGGAGGAGACACGGATAAAAGACTGGGCTGATGTGGTGGTCTCCTGGTGCACTCTGGGCTGCTGGGGCAGGGAGAGGGCACCTGTGGGTACATGGCCCATGAGTTGTAACTCACACCTTGACCATGGTTGCAGTCGGGTGTACGGCTCCTGCTCTGCCACCCTGCCACTTCCAATTGCTTGCTCTGGTGGGGGGAAGACCCTGGCTGTCACCCTGGTGTCAGGCACCCTGAGGATGGTTCTCTGCAATTCATACAAACCAGTAGCCCAAGTGCAACTGTGCCCTGGGCTCCACGTCAGGACCTGGGCAGCTGCTTCCTTCTTAGACAGGAAGGGAGGAATCTGAAGCTGCCCCATGTTAATGCAGAGCTGCCTGATGGGAATGTGGAGTTGCCAGTCACAGCCTGTTCTGGGGATATGGGCCCCATGGCAATTCCTGGAGTACTGAGGGATACCTCTGTCCTGCCTGCAGCCCTGCCTGTGGCAGTCAGGGCCACTCCATTGCCTGTCCTTTCCCAGTCCCTTTGGGTACTCAATCTCCCACATTCCAAAGGCTCAACCTTCCTGGTCAGAGTCCTGAGGCAGTGCTTGTGTCCCCTTGCTTTGGCCCCCACACAGCATGGCACCTACATCCACTGAGGGCATCCCCATGGCTTTGGTGGCCATTTCAAGTACTAGCAGAGCCCTGGAGCTTGGGGGGAGGGCCTGGGCTGCCAGGGGGCAGGATCCTGCCCCTCTGCTGGGCCCTGGGGCACAAACCAGGTTGCTGGGTCCAGCACAAGGGACGGGGGTAAACCGAGGAGTGTCCAGCAAGGACTGGGACAGTGGCAAAGGACCAGTGTCCCCTGCAGTGGTGGCTCACGGGCTCCTCAGTGTGATGAGAAGGGAGCAGAGGCTGTGATCCTTTATGATCCTGCTGCCCTAGGCACAGCCCTGCTTTCTGGGCTCTCCCAGCCCCACTGCACAGCTGCAGTGGCAGATGACAGCCCTGTGCCTTCCCCATACATTCACCCTTGGGACATTGCCTGGGATCTTGGCCAGCCACCATACACAAAAGCGGGTGATGGAGCTCTAGTGATGACTCCCAGGCTCCCTTTTGCCTCACTCTGCCCAGGCCAAGCCAGGTTACTCCTGCACCAGCCATGCACAGGGGTGCCATGCACATCAGGCAGACATACAGACAAATACTTTATTGATTCCATAGCCTGAGAAAAGGGTCTGGGATTTCATAGGAAATGCTGGTCCCAATCATGACGGCTTCAAAGGAAAAGCGCTAGCCAGGGCAGTTGGCCAGAGGGAGAGGCCGGCCCCTCCATGCCGCTTGTGCGGGCCTCGGAGGCATCACCCACCAGCAAAACCATGACACATGTCATTGGAACCTACATGGGAGCTCTACCCAGGAAGGGATAACCAGTGCTGTCACTACCACACACACCACTGCTCCAGACTCATCACCACACTACCATGAATCATCAATGGCCCTGGTATCCTGCAGTGCTCTGCTGCAGGAAGCCCCAGCCCTTCGAGGCCAGTGTGTGTGGCACCGTCACCCCCTAATGGCAAACACTGCATCCAGGCACTGCAATCGCAGGAGACAGGAACTGAGTGAGAAACCATCCCAGAGGAGCAGTGGGAAGTCTTGTGTGTCCCCAGGGAGCAGCAATGACACTGCCACGTCTCCCGCAGGAGTCGCCAGGAATGAGAAATGGGATAAAAGCAGAGTGCTTTTCCATGCAACCTGCATGGAGGAGTACGCAGACTTGGGGGTGTCAAATAATTACATCAACCAACGAAGAAAGAAAACAATCCTGAACAGAAAAACTAAAGAGTCTCAGCAGCTCCTCTGGGCTGCATGGTGCTACCTTGCTCTGTACATGGTCTAGTGTGAGGTGTCCCTGCCCATGGCAAGGGATTGGAACTAGATGATCTTATGGTCCTTTCCAACCCAAACCATTCTATGATTCCACGATTCTGTGGCTGCTGGGCCTGGCTTCCATCACCTGCCTGCCTCAGGGCAGGCCTCGCTCCATAAGCCATTTGAGGTAGCAGAACTAGTCCTCCATGGGATTAGTTACAGTGGGATTTTGCACGTGACTAAAGGAGACAACGTGCAGTTTGGAGAGCAAGGGCTTCCTTCTTTCTGCAGTGGGACTAGGCAACAGCCAGTGCTGATGTGTGGCAGCTGCCACGAGGCGAGGGTTCCTTGCATGGAGTGCTGTAGTGCTGCAGGAGTCACCTTACCTGTGAAGTGCACATATGCAGGCTCGTCCTGAGAGGACTGACACTCACAGGCTCCTGCGGGCTGGCATTGTTGCCAGAAGGGGTGTTGCTGGGACCTTGAAATCACCTGCAGCACCCTCACAGGCGGAAAATGTTATGGTTTGATTTGTTCTATGGATCTTCCAATGCAGATTTCGTCACCAGGGTGGGGTATCAGCCAAGTACGGCCAGTATACACTGGGGTCTTGGAGATGCCACACTCTCTTCATCCAGTGTCCTGGTCAACACACTTTGTCAGTGAAGCATTCTTTGGGAATCTTGCCTGGCTCACTGGCTTGATTCCCTTCCCTCTGTCCTCTTCACCACGTCATTGCGTTTCCACACACAAGGGGCCATCAAGTAACGGGTGATCAGCTGCTGTTTGCAGTTCCTCTCTCTGGCTGCAGTAGATGTAGCTGATGATTCCCCAGAAAGGTCTGCTTGGGAAAACTTGGGGCAAAAGCCAGTAGACACAAGAGTCTGAGGAATGGCAAAGTGGTTTGGATCACTGGAGGCTTCTGTAATTTGCTGCTTATGGTACCTCCAAGCTTATGGTTCCTTCTGCAATTCAGGAAAGCTCCTAAAATCCAATGGACAGATGGTTCACAATCCCAGTGTCTCGCCATGTGCAATATCAGTGCTCATGCAGTTCCTCTCTGAGGTCACGAGCAGTTTGGCTCTGCCCATTATCATTTCTCCATCAGCTTTGAAACTACTGCCCTGTTCCCCAGCCTAACCACAGGCTGGACGCCTTGCCCAGCCCAGCCATGGGAGCTCACGTCCAGCCTGAGGTCTGCCAGGCCGAGCGGGAGCACGTTTGCTGGTACAGCTTTGGCTGGAGGGCTCATGTTCCTCTTGGATGCCTCAGCTAGCGAGTGAGGAACACTCCTGCTCATGGGCACCTCTGGGGCTTCTTGCGGCTGGGGCTGCTGGAACACTGGCACGCTCTGCTGGACCACAACCACAGCCTTCTGGCGCTTGTGTATCTTCTCGTGGCGCAAGAGGTGGGTTTTGCGGGTGAAACACTTCTTGCAGGTGGAGCAGCAGTACGGCCTCTCCTGTGTGTGGGTCTGCAGGTGCCGATGGAGGTTATAGGTGCAAGAGAAGATCCTTTTGCAAAGGTTGCATTTCATTACAGGCTTCTTCTGAGCCTTAGGGGTCTGCTGCCGGGAGAAACATGTGCTGGACAGGCTCGGGCTGTCCACCTCCTCCTTGGGCTGGGCCAGCCAGGGCCCTCCCCCTGCATAGGTCCTACTGGCCAGGCTGCGGGCATCTCTGCAGAGAGCCCCGCAGAACTTCCCCCTGGGCCGGATCCTCAGCTCGGGGTGGACATTCCCCCAGACCTTGGCACCAAAGGCCCTGTCTTTTATGTGGATGCTCTGGTGAAGGTCGAGATGGCGTTTGTCCGTGAAGCTGATCTCACACACGGCGCACTCGTAGGGCCCCTCTTTGGCGTGGCTCCGCTGGTGAATGATGAGGTTGATCTTCAGGCGGAAGCGCTTCCCACACTCAGTGCAGGGGTGTGACCACTCGCGCACGTAGCCGCGCCGGCAGTTGCCCATCAGCAGGCTGCTTCTCTCGCACCGGCTCGGCTTCTTCTTGCTCCTGGCCTTGCCCTGCTCACTTTTGGGGCCGTTGGGGAAAGCCGTGCTGGAAGAGGCTGCAGAAACCCCTTGTAGCACCGCAGGCTCCTCTTCCTTCACCTTGACGTTTTTAGGAGAAGCTTTGTCCCGTGCCGGTTCTTTTTCTGTTAATAAACCTTCCTCTGAAACAGAACACACGCATTGGTGATTCACACTCCCCAGACAAACCCAGGTTAAGTTCCAAAGCACTGAGCAGGCTTTTAGATATCCGGGAGCTACCACCAACTGTGAGAACAGAGTTTGTAAGGGCACAAGTGGTGCCACCACAACGTTCTGAGCCACTCAGTGTGGTCTCAGGGGGTCCCAGGAAGAACCAGGCAGTGGTCTGCTGCCATGCCAGCACAGAGGCATCTGCCTCCAAAATCATAACACCAGTGACAGCCACAAGATGTAGCAGGAAAGAAGGTCACTGAAGAATTGACAGCCTGCAGTACTATGAGATCTTCACTTCTGTGGAGCTTGGGTCTGCCAGCAAACCCCAAATGTTGTGGCCAAACCAGCCCTCCTTGTGAGGGCTATGGCAAACTATCCACCTCCCCAGCAGCCCAGCCATTGAGCTGGCATGAGCCATTCCCAGAACTAGTGTCAGAAACAGGTTCCGAGCCCGTGACAAGGGAAGTGCTCTGTGTATTAGCTTGGCAAAGCTTCAGGACCAGAACAGAGGGTGTCTGCACACAGCCACCCTGCTTCCTGCACCCCCTGCTCCCAGCATGGAGAACTGGGCCATGCCACAGGAAGCTCAAGGCCAACTCTAAGACAGCACAGCAGAGCTGGAGGAAGGAAGTGTGCTACCAGTGCCAGCTCTCCCTCAGTTTCTGATAGAAGGAACTGCAACCAGTCCGTAGCTCTTTCTACACACATGATGGGGCTGAAATGGCGAACGCCAGTCGCCTGCATTGCTCAGTGATCAAAGGGAGGCTTGAAACGTTCTTTTCCCTCCCCATTTCCAGCACATTAGTGAGTTGGGAGCTACTTCCTGCCCACATCACCCTGTCTCCCCAGCCTAGAGTTACTCACTGGTGCTGGGCTCAGCCGGGTTCTCTCCCATCTCCGGTTCTGGCCGATTCTCACTCCGCAGCTGTTTTTTCTGTGCACTCAGGGACATAACGTTCATCACCAGGATGGGGAGTTCTGCTGCAGAAAAGAGAAATTGTAAAGACCCATGGAGAGCTCCCATCTTTCTGCTTTGGTGGGACACTGTGTTGGGAGCATGGAGAAGAGACAGAAAGCTGCAGCTCGAGAAGCCATGACACGTTTTAGCAGGGGAGGTTTAGGTTGGATATTAGGAACATTTTCTTCATCAAAGGTTTATCTAGCATTGGAACAAACTGCCAAGGATGTGGGGGAATCAACATCCCTGGTGGTATTTACAGGACTTGTAAACATAGTGCTTTAGGGACATGGGTTTGCAGTAGACTCAGCAGTGCTGGGTTAACGGTTGGACTCAATGATCTTAAAGGGCTTTTCCAATCCAAACAATTCTGTGATTCTATGGAAAGCACGTGAGGTGTTGGAAGGAACAGGAGTGAAGCCACACACAAGGACCAGAAGCAGAGGGAGGACTGGGAGGAGGGAAACCGAGGCGCTATGTGCTGTCACCTCTGGAGGGCAGCTTCATCCCTCCTAAACCCTTCCTCATCAATTCCACGGGCAGCATTCCCACATTCCCTTGGGTTCAGTGCCTTGAATCCTTTCTGCTTTCCATGGCAGCACCTTGACAACACACCCCAAGGCTTCTCGCTTTCCCTGCTGATGCTCTTTTTAAGCACAATGACCTGATGTGTCCTCTCCAACAGACCTGCTGGGAGCCCTCCTGAAAGCTGGGACAGGAACAGCCCAGGGAAACACATCCCACTGGCACCCACCAAACTCACCTCTGTTACCTTCCACGGGGTCTTTATCTTTTCCCAAAGCCTTTTTCACCTGGTTCATCTCTTCTGGTGTCTGCCGGGGCTTCTGACCATCTGTAATGCCTGTCTGAGGAGCCTTCTGCCTGGCTTTACTGCGTGTCTGTCGGGGCTCATCACCCACCTTGGCACGTCTACGTGGGAGCTTTGGGACATCTTTGGCAGGGACCTCTTCATTCCTCTCGATCTGGGAGGGGACGTCAGGCTTGGACACCATATTCTCTGCTCAGGGGGCAAAGGACAGTGTGTCTTATTAGGAACTGGCTGCACTTTTATCCTGTCAAATTCCAGAAGCAATGCTTCTCTCCCTACCCCTGGAGCTGGCAGGAAGTGCAGGTGACTGAGCAGAGTTACTGAGAAGATCTTCAGTAAGAGAACATGAAAATCTCCAAGGAGAGGGGAAGCCTCTCTCTAGGCAACATCTTTTTTCTCTCTTCCTGGGAGCACTTGACAAACCAACCCCCAAAGACACACCTGGGGCTCGTATCGCTTCTGGTAGTGCTCTCCAAAGGATGGAGCCTGCCCTTTGTCCCTCATCAGCACTCACCTGGCCTCTCCTGGGGCTTCTTTCACTCCCAGCTCATCAGTCCTGCAGGAATGAGCTCTCCATCAATCACAGCTCTACCCACGTCTCCTCTTCTGGCTCTGCCAGAGCCTGCCCATCCCTTTCCAGCCTTCACACTGAACAATTGATTTTCCGGCTCTCCCATGCCATGCCACCCAGCTCTCCTCACTTCTGCTCCCCAACAGCACTAGCAGGGCTGCTCCAGCCTCTTCCTCTGTCGTGGTTTAAGCCCAGCTGGTAACTCAGAACCACACAACCGCTCGCTCACTCCCCCCCCTCCCCCTCCCCAACATTCTTCCTCTCCCTGTTCCTGAAGGGATGGGGAGGAGAATCGAAAGAATGTAACTCCCATGGGTTGAGATAAGAGCAGTCCAGTAACTAAGGTATAACACAAACCACTGCTGCTGCCACCAATAATAATAATGATACGGGAAATAACAAGGGAAGAGAATACAACCGCTCACCACCCACCGACCAATACCCAGCCTGACTGAGCAGTGTTCTGTCCCTTCCGGGTAACTGCCCCCAGTTCTACATCCTGGGCATGACGTGATGTGGTATGGAATACCTCTTTGGCTAGTTTGGGTCAGGTGCCCTGTCTCTGCTTCCTCCCGGCTTCCCCTCCTCCCTGGCAGAGCATGAGAATCAGAAAGTCCTTGGTCAGAGTAAACATTACTGAGCAACAGCTAAAAACATCAGTGTTATCAGCGCTGTTCCCAGGCTGAAAGTCAAAAACGCAGCACTGCACCAGCTACTAAGGAGAAAAATGACTGCTACTGCTGAACCCAGGACACTGCAGGTTCCCAGACTCCTCCCTTCCAATTGTGTCTCCTCCCTCACCGAGGCAAGGAGGAGCATTTTTGGAAGCCTAAGGTTCATGCGTGCAATCATGTGAAGGAGGATTTCTGAACTGCACGAAAACAGGACTGGAAGGGATCACAAGACCCAGGTCCCTCCACTCCAAGCTCCATCCCAGCCTCTCCCAACAGGCTTTGTCTGTTTTTCTCATGGGATTCATCTGACTGAGCATAAATATTCCTCATAAAGCTGAGACAGGAAGCTCCATGTCTTCCTGGCACCACCTCACTCACTTTTGTTAGCTTCCATGGGAACTTCATCTTCTTCCAAAGCCTCTTCCACCTGGTCATCCTCCTCTGGTGCCTGTGGGGGCTCCTGATCCTCTCTGATACATGTCTGTGGGGACTCCTGGCTGTCTTTGGTGCAGAGCTCTTCACCCCTCTCGATCCGGCAGAGGATGTCAGGCTTGGACACGGCATAGTCTGCTCAAGGGGCAGAGGATAGTGTGTTTTGTTGGGAACTGCCTGCACCTCTATTCCATCAAGCTCCCAACCATTTCCAGGCAATCCTTCTCTCCCTAACACCAGATGATGCAGAAAGGAAGTGCTGTGTTCTTGCCCTGTGGCAGGACCCACCTTTGAGCACAGCTGGAGCTCAGCTACAGAGAAGCTCTTAAGTACAGAACATGAACTAAAATCTCAAGTAGTGGGAAAGGCTTTGTCTTGAACATTTCCTCCCATTCCAACTCTTAACAGTGACTTCAAGAGCAATTCTTGAGCTACCCATCTGGTGTCAGGACAGAAAATCTCTCAGCCCAAGTCATCCAAGAACATGCTGGATGTCCTTACAAAGACCGAGCACCGTTAGGCTGGTTCTTCACGAAGGCAGATGGAAACCTCCCTGCCACTTTACAGCGGGGCTGAACACACTGAACACACGAACTGGTTCAAGATGCAATTATGAGATTTCACCCAAATAATTCCTGCACTGTGCTGGAAGCTCACAATGCTTCCTTGACCCTGGAAACCCATTTGCATTGGGTTTCCATTGGAAACATCATCTCACATAGATTATTTTTTTTCAGTAGATATTGTTTGTATTATTATTGCTACTATTATTTCTGACAGACAATTCCTGATAGAATGGTTTGGGTTTGAAAGGATGTTAAGATCATTCAGTTCCAAACCCCATGCCATCTGCAAGAATGTCTCACACGAGGCCATGTCGCCCAAGACTCTGGACCCCGTCCATTCTTGAAAAGCAGGAGGGAGGGGAAACAGGTGGGTTTGACAGCTCAGGACAAGCTCTGCTCCCTACAGGCTGTGGCAAGCAACATCCAGCCCATCCCGTGTACCTTACCCAAGGAGATCAGTGTCTCGTAGTTGCCCCTCATCACAGCCCTGTACAGATCCTTCTGCCAACAGTCCAGTCGCTCCCACTCCTGCTCGTTGAAGTACACTGAAATGTCATCGAACGTCAGTGGCACCTGGAATCACAAGGATCACACACTCAGTGACTTCCAATGTCGTTAAATAACTGGAAACCCACAACCGCACTGGAAACCCCTGTGTGGCTGGCTTGGCTTTGGCTGCTGGAGCTCAGCGTGCCCAACCACATCAGGGCTGCTGCTCCCCGAGTCCAGGACTCCCAGGCGCTCAGCCTGGATCACTCCAGTGTTTCCTAACCCCCCTGCGCAAGCTCAGCAGGTACTCCCAGGGGCCAGGCTGGACGCTGTTACCTTTGGGATCTCACCCCGGGAACCGGGGGGCAGCCGCAGGATCCAGAAGTTCCTGTTCTTAAGGAGGTTCTCCACATTGTCGAGCCGCTGCTGGAGCTGCCCATAGTCCTGCAGGAGGCTGCCCAGGGCTGCCAGGTTGCTGCGCATCTCCCCGACCAGGTTCTCGCAGGCCAGCAGCCTCCGTTCTGCCCTCTCCGTCCGGCTCCACAGCTCCTGCAGCTGCTGGGCCCCCGCCTGCCCTGCCGCAGCCCGTGGCCCCATGGCCTGCACTGCCTTCTGCTGCTGGGCACCCAGGTCCCAAGGGAGAAATGGGAACTGAAAGGGGAGGCCCTGCCCTGGCCAAAGGGCAGTGAGGGCCTGGAAACCCACCGGTGGTGACCCCCCTCAAGGGACTCCCTCATCCCCACCTCCCCCGGGGGACCTGTCATCCCCTGACTGCGCCCCCACACACTCCCAGGCCCAGTACCCCTGAGGGACAACCCCAACAGGACCTCCCCAGCCCCAAATCCCGCAGTACTGGCACCCCTGGGGGATCCCCAGCCCCACCTCCCCATGAACTGCCTCCCCTGGGACCCCTCCCTCATCCCAGGACCAGCATCCCTGAGGGACCACCCTTCCAGCCCCCCTCCCCTGGGACCGGCCCCTGGCCCCACGCTGTGTGGCCGCGGGTCCGGCCTGGCGCTGGGCCCGGGCAGACCCGTCCCGCGGTACCCCGCGTTCCCGGCGCCCGACCCCGGCCCGGCCCGGCCCGGCCCGGCCCGGCCCGGCCCGGCGCGGCGCGGCCCTCACCTGAGCGGAGCCCCGGCGGGACATGGCGCTCCGGACCGGACCCGCGCGCCCTGCGGCAGCGGCTGGCCGCCAGGAAGCACCGCCTGAAGGGGCGGGGCCCCGCGGCGTGAGAGCGCCCCCTTGCGGCCGGGAGGAGAAGGAGGCGGAGGGATGGAGGGGGCGGGCTGTGACTCCGGGGGGCGGTGGGACGAAGGGGGCGACCCCAGTGCCACCGAGGCACGGACCGCACTCACTGTCCCTGTGCCCCGGTGCCACCGGTCCCCTGCGCTCCACGGGCTCCCCGGCACTCCCCGTGCCACCGGGACCCGGTGCAACAGACCTCACGCACCCTATAGGATGTTCAGGACCCCCAGCACCGTCGACCCCACAGGCTGTGCCAATCCCCCGGTGCCCCTGAACCCCGAAACTCTCGGTGCCACCGAACCCCGCACCTCATTGACTGTCCCGGTGCCATGGACCGCCGGTGCCACCGACGCCCCGCACTCCACAGGCTCCCCCGGCACGCCCGGTATCACCGGCCCCAGGACCCTATAGACTCTCCCGGTCCCCCGGTGCCACCCATCCCACACGCCACGGTCTGCCCCGCACCCGCCGGTGCCACCGAGCCCCGGACCCCATTAGCTGTCCCAGTGTCACCGAGCCCAGCCCCACACCTCCCTCCGGACGTCCCGTGCCAAGCCGGTCCCTCGGTGCCACCGCACCCCCTGCTCCGGGGACAGGATGAGCCCCGGCACCGGCACCGGCGCTGCCCCACCTGGGGGGGGGGTTGGAGGGGGAGGGAGGGAGCGGAGGCACCTGCCCGGGGCTTCTGCACCGCGGTCCCGCTCCGAGCCGGGCCGGGGGAGGAGCCGGGAGGGGAAAGCCGGGAGCGGGGAGTGGGAAGCGGGGCTGCTCCGCCGCTGGTTGCCGTCCGGGAGCGGGCACCGGAGCAGCCCCCCGAGCCATGGCCGCGCCTCGGCAGGTAGGACCGGGAGAGCACCGTGCGGGGAGCATCGGGATGGGGAGAATAGGGATGGGGAGAGCACCAGGGAGAGGACAGCACCGGGAAGGGGAGGGCACTGACATGGGGAGAACAGCAGGATGGGGGAACACTGGGATTGGCAGAGGATCCTACATAGGGAGCACTAGGGAGGGGAGCACTGGGAGACGGGGAGATCACTGGAAAATTGGGAGATCAGGACTGGGAGATCACTGGGATGGGAAGAGCACTGGTATAAGGGTAACACCGGTATAAGGGGAGCACCAGGATGGGGAGCAAGAGGATGGGGAGAGCTCCAGCTGGGGAGCAGTGGGATGGTGGGGAGCAGCAGGATGGTGGGGAGCAACAAGATGGTGTGGAGCAGCAAGATGGGGAGCAGTGGGAGGGGGAGCAACAGGATGAGGAGCAGGGGGATGGGAAGCAAGGGGACAGTGAAGAGCAGAGGGATGAGGAGGAGCTGGGTGGGGAGCAGCAGGATGTGGGAGCAGTAGGGATGGGGAGCAACAGGATGAGGAGCAGGGGGATGGGGAGCAACAGGATGAGGAGCAGGGGGATGGGGAGCAGGAGGATAGTGAAGAGCAGAGGGATGGGGAGCAGTGGAATGGGGAGGAGCTGGATGGGGAGCAGCGCAATGAGGGGAGCAACAGGATGGGGAACAGTGGGATGGGGAGGAGCTGAATGGGCAGCAGCAGGATGTGGGAGTAGTGGGATGGGGGTAGTAACAGGATGAGGAGCAGCAGGATGGTGGAGAGCACAGGAATGGGGAGCAGCGGGATGGGTAGCAGCACTATGCAGGGAGCAACAGGGTGGGGAGCAGTGGGATGGGGAGCAGTGGGATGGGGAGGAGCACTGGGATGAGGAGCAGCGGGATGTGGGAACACCACTGGAACAGTTTTTGGAGAGGATCCAGCTGGCAGCACAGGGCTGGGGTGCTGCCTGTCCTGCCCTGTCCTGCCCTGCCGTGTCCTGTCCCATCCCATCCTGGAGGTCACTGTCCCACCAAGGTGGTTGCAGGCACAGCAGAAGTAGGGCCAAGGGTCATGGGGTACTGCTGGTCTGGCTGCTGTTGTGGGCAAATGGGGCTAATCTGTGGGCTTGGTGATGCCGGGTGGGATTCAGGGGCTGGTCAGTGCCAAGGCTGCTCCCCACACATCCATGGAGCTCCAGGGGATCCTTGTCTTGGCAAATCCTCACACATCTGGTTCCAGCGGGACAGGTACAGTGACACGGAGCTGGCAACAACCATTGCATGTGTTGGGCCCCTGCCCAGCCGGTGCAGGGAGGGAAAGGTTGGACAAAGTGATCCCTGCTGCAAATACCAGGGTGTCAGGGCAGGTTATCCCATGGGCTCCCTGACAAGTGGAAAGCGCGCAGGGACCTGTCAGCCAGCATGATGGGAAGTGTGCTGGGAACGTGCCAGGAGCGTGCTGGGAAGCCCTTGCCTCCGTGCCCAAGTGGGATGGGTGCAAGAGCCCTTTCCCAGGCATATGCCAGCCCCGGAGCGCAGTGTGGCTGCTCGCACTCACCATCCCTGCACACCCAGACACATTTGGGGTCCTGCTGCTGCTCGGTGTGGCTCTGTGGTTTATTCCCTGCTCTGCCCCCCTGGCAGGAAGAGGGCTGGGACCCCCCAGTCGCATCCGCGCAGGCACCGGTGACATTCGAGGACGTGGCAGTGCGGCTCTCAGCAGAGGAGTGGGAGCTGCTGGAGGAATGGCAGCGGGAGCTGCACCGGGAGGTGACAGAGGGGACATCCCAGCTGCTGGCATCCCTCGGTAGGGCCCTGCCCAGCGCTGGTCCCAGCCAGAGCAGGGACAGTGTGCGGGTCCCACTCATCTGGCCAAGGAGAGCTCAGTGTGGGGGCTGCCTTGCTTGACCCCCCCCTGCCCTGTCCCCAGGGCCCCCCAGCAGCCCGGCCCTCGCTGCCCTGGTGCGGCTGCTGAAGGAGATCCCCGAGTTTCTCTTCGGTGGCCCCAGGGCTGATGTGGAGCCGGGTGCCACCACCAGCGGGGCCACTGAGCGGATGGGCGTCAATGGTGAGCACTGGGGCTGTGCAGGTGGGTGACAGGCTAGTCCTGCCCCAGTGGGTACCAGGGACACAGGGGCTCTGCCCTGGTGCCTGGCAGGGTGTGAGGGTGAAGGTGTGAGGGTGCTGGAGGTGAAGCTACCTCACAGACCCCACCAGCGCTGGCTCCACCACTGGGGTTCCAGGGAGCCAAGTGCTAAGCTGCACCCCTGGCTGTGCCCTGGGCGGAAGGTCCTGGCATTGGATTCCCAGGAGCATCCAGCCCTGAGCAGGGCTTTCTCCTGATGCTGGCACTGGCATTGCTGCAGAGCAGGCGTCTCCCTTGGAGTAGCCCCTCACCAGGCCCGATCACCACAGCTGGGCCGTGTGGTGGAACCAAGGACGCCAGCATGGGGATGAGGGGCTGCAGACGTCTGGTACTGAGGGTCTGGGCATCCTACAAGCCCCAGTGTGGTGTGTCCAGGGCTGTCCTCCCACTGCTGGGGATGCCAGGGGCTGGAATTTGCTTTCACAGTTACAATGGAGATGCCATCTGAGAGCTGCCCGCTCCGCAGCCTGGAGAGGTGCCTGGAGGAGCTGCTGGGGAGAGGGTCTGGCCCCTCTGTTCCCCCAGCAAGCAGCCTCTATGGCCCCACTGAGAGGCATCAGGAAGAGCCCGGCGGCCACCAGCCTCTGTGTGAGAGGCGCTCACTCAGAGGTGTGGCACGACATGGCATTGTGCCCATGCTTTGGCATGGCATGGTGTTGTACCATGCAGCATGGCATGGCACTGAGCGCACACCACAGCACAGCATGGCACGGTACAATGTGCACAGCATGGTATGTGGCATAGCATGGCACGGCACTTTGCGGTATGGCCTGGCATGGCACAGCGTGGCACAGCATGGCGTGACAGGGCTCGGTGCTGGTTTCCAGCATCTGCAGTGGCAGTGGGATGGAGCTGCCTGGACCCCGTGCTCGGGGGTTCAGGTACCACTGGGTGTCCCTCATGGGTGAGCGGCAGGGATGTGCTCTGCGCCCGGGAGTGATGGCATGCCTTGGGCTGCAGGGAGGGCTCAGCCATGGTCAGCCAGTCCCATAGGTCCTGCCCTGAGCGTGTCCCGCAGGCCCCTCATGAGCCCTGGCACCGGCAGCTGCTGCCCGCTGCTGTCCGCAGGCTGGGGATGGTGCCGGGTGCCCCGTCACCGCGTCCAGCATCTCCTCTACCAGCACCACTTCTGGGGAGGCAGCTCCCTGCGACATGGGCTGGAACAGGGGGCTCTGCCGCAGCCCCGTGCTGATGGCTGGTGAGGGCTTGGGGGGGGCGGCCCTGTGGGTCAAGGGGGGACCCTCTCAAAGGGGTCTGGAGGGAATCTTGGGGCATCTCAGGTGTCCTGGGAGGTCTCAGTTAGGTCCTAGAGGGTCTCAAGGAGTCCCAGTGGGTCCTGGGCAGCCCTGGAGGAGGCAGTGCTGGGGCTGGGGTCCCACAGTGGGACGTGGGGCAGGATTCAGTCCCTGTGGGGCATGTAAGGATGGGGAGGGGAGTGCTGAGTCCCAGTGTCCTGGGTGAGGAATGCTGCCCCTGGGGAGCAGGGGCTTCCCTGTGAGTCTGGGCTCTGGGGGGCTGATCCCTGGTGGGGTCCTCCCAGGAGAGGGACACCCATGTGGGGTCTGAGCTTTGGGAGAGCACACGGGGGGTCAGGTCCCCAAGGAGCACCCCTGCATCCCCTTGGTGTCTGTTCCCTGGGGATCCCCTTGTGCTGGGAGGGGGATGCTTGAGGGCCCCTCCACCCTTCTCACCTTGGGGTGATGCCGCAGGGGGCTCACCAGCTGGGAGTGTGGGGCAGAGCCCCCTGTGACAGCTTCAGGAGTGCCTGTGGGGCATCGGCATCCCCGACCCCATCCGAGCCTGGCCAGCGGCTTCCAGTGGCACCAGAGGGGCTGTGGGGACAGGCACCAGGGGCCACAGCCCCACCGCAGCAGGTCAGTGGCAGGGGGCAGTGGCAGGGTCTCAGTGGTGCTTGCTGGTTTGAGGGGCCAGGGCCCCGGTGGGAGAAGGGGCTGGAACACCGGGGGGGACGGAACAGCCGTGCTGGGTACATGGTGATGGTGGTTCAGGGCTGTGGTGCCATGCAGGGATGACGCCATGGCCCCATGTCCCCTCTACTGTGTGCCCCGTGGTGCAGAGCAAGGCAATGGCCAGGTCTCAGCATTGCCCTGACCTGGTGGCCCCTTATCCCCTGGGGCTGGGACACACATGGGGCCTTGTGCCAGCGCTGGGAACAGGCAGCCTGACAGGATGGGCAGGTTTTGGGGGCTGTGCCACCTCCCAGAGGTGACAGCACCAGCAGTGTCCCCCCAGAGCCCCACTGAGACCCAAGCATTGCGTGCATCCAGCACCACCATGCGCAGGGACCCCAACCACGCCAGCGGCACACGGCCACCTGCCACCATGGGGACAGTGACCAAGAGACCCTTGGCCAAAGGTAACGGGGGGCTGAGGCCATGCTGGGGGTGGCATGGGTGACACAGCTCCAGCACATGTCCCAGCGCCTGCACCAGGGTGAGCTCGCCCAAGAAGAGTGACCCCAGAGGGAGCCCCCCAGCCCCACGGCAGCCCCTCGGTGAGGCTGCGGTTGGCAGTGTCCACGCGCCCATGGTGGTGGAGGAGCTGGAGCAGCTGCACCGGGAGCTGGGCTCAGTGCGCCGGGAGCTCTGCGGTGTGCGGAGCCGCCTGGCGCGGCTGGAACGGGGCCAGGCGCGGGAGCTGCCTGCTCTCACCCGCGGCCACCGGCACCTCCACCGTGCCGCCCGGGGCCTGCAGAGCTGGTGCTGGGCACTGGAGACCAGCTCCCGGCTCCCTCATGGAGCAGGGGGTGCCATCGCCATCAGCTCCCTGCAGACCGAGCTGCTGCCAGCCCTGGCACAGCCGCAGCTCCACGGCCTGCTCCGCTTCGCCGACACGATGATGCTAATGCGGGCAGCCCATGGGTGGCCCCAGCCCTGCAGCTGGGCCAGTGCCCATCTCGCCATTGTTTCCATTGCCGGTCCCCACCATGCCGGGCCTGCCCTGCTGCCGGCCGGTTTGCCTGGAGGGCGCCTGCCGGCCATGGCCAAGGCCCTGTGGGGCTGTGAGTGAGTTCTGGGGGGTGCCAGATCCTCCCCCGCTGCAGCGGTGCTGAGCCCCTGTGGCACTGTCCTGCAGCCCAGGGGCTGCTCATGGCAGACCCAGCCCTGAGTCAGGATGGGGTATCTGGGCCACACCAGAGGGGTAGCCCCACTCCCAGACACTTGGATTCCAGGCAGGCTCCTCCTGCACCTGGTACTCACTGCTGTGGGGCTTGGCCCTGCCATTCTGCTACCCCCGTGGGTGTCTGTGGTCCGTCCGTGTCGTCGTCCCCCCCGCTCCCTGAATTAAACAGTGATTGAACAATGAGCCGCCGGCTCCTCTGCAGCTCCTGTGTCCAGCGGCCCTGGAGGGTGCTGGGGAGGACTGGGAAGTGTTGCACGTCTCATCCCCTGGGGTGCAGGGGACAGGCAGGGGCACGCTGCTGCCTGCGACCATGGGGGTCCTGCAGCTCGGCCCCCCTGATTCCAGTGTCTCTGCCCATGCTGTGCTCCCCCTGGCACATGGCGCTCATTGGAGCTGAGGGACCGCAACGTGTCCCACCTCCCGTGCCAGGCAGTTTCTTGACCTGGGTGCCCAGGCAGGAGAGGGGCTGCAAGAGCTGCAGAGCTGCTTCTGCCCCTGTGCCAACGCCGAGCCCACCGAAGGGCTGCGTCACCGCCTGGCACATCAGCGCCAAGCCCTCTCTGCTCAGTGACGTGGTGACCTTTGTGTGTGTCCCCTGGGGCTGACGGTGGCGTGTGTGCGTGTGTCCCTGTCACTGTCACCACTGTGCTACACCCCACGGCTCCAGCAACAGCTCCTGGGCATGGACCAGTCAGAGCCAACCGTCCTGTGGTTGCCATTAATCACAGAATCATGGCACCATTTGGGTGGGAAGGGACCTTGAAGCCCATCCAGTTCCAACCCACTGCCATGGGCAGGGACACCTTCCACCAGACCAGGCTGCTCCAAGCCCTGCCCAACCTGGCCTTGAACATTGCCAGGGATGGGGCACCCACAGCTTCTCTGGGCAACCTGTGCCAGGGCCTCACCACCCTCACAGGGAAGAACTTCTTCCTCGCATCTCATCTCAATCTCCCCTCTGTCAGTTTAAAGCCATTCCCCCTTGTCCTGTCCCTACTTGTCCTTGTCAAAAGCCCCTCTCCAGCTATCTTGTTGGCCCCTTTAGGCACTGGAAGCTGCTCTAAGGTGTCCCTGGAGCCTTCTCTTCTCCAGTCTGAACAAGCCCAGCTCTCTCAGCCTGTCTCCAGAGCAGAGGTGCTCCAGCCCTTGGAGCATCTTTGTGGCCTACTCTGGACTTGCTCCAGCAGCTCCATGTGCCTTCTTATGTTTTTGCCCCAGATCTGGATGCAGAACTGCAGGGGAGGTCTCACCAGAGCAGAGGAGGAGTCAGCAGTTGCAGTCCCTGCCCAGGACCCTCAATCCCAGCCCGCTGGAGCCCAGCCTGGTGCCCAGGGTGTCTGCCCTGGCTGGAGGACACAGCTGCTGCCTTCACCATGCGGGTTCAGCCAAGCTAAGGTCATGTTCCAGACGTACACAGACAGGACACAGGGACAGATGCACCCTCATGCTCTGGCTCGCTGGCTTTATTCAGCGTCTTGGCAATGCAGGGCCTGGGGGCTGACCCCAGAAGCACTTTGGGGGTGCACAGGGTGGTCAGTGGGGCTGGTCTTCCCCAGGCACAGGCTCACTTATACCCTGTGGATGGTGGGGGTGCGCCCCCAGACTGCCTCAGGGCATGGCCTGGGGTTGGTTGGGCCCTCGGTTCTCTCCTGGCGTGGGGCTGTGCCAAGGCACCATCTTTGCTATTTGCCAGGCCGTCTGGGCACTCAGTACCTCCTGCAAGACACAGTGGGGGCTGCCAGGGGTACCCGTGACCCCTGTGTCCCCATCCACAGGCTCACCAACGGGTCCTGTCGGGGGCCCTGACGCAGCTCTGGTGTTACCTGTCGCGGCAGCAGGACGGTGCTGAGGTGTCTCAGGCTGTGGCGGTTCCTTGTCCTCCCTCCTGTCCCTCTCCTGTGGGAGCAAGCACAGTGTCACACCAGCTCTGGGGCCAGACTGATAGGGTGGGGGGGGGACATGGCTGGGGGCTGCCTGTGGCACCTCCGGACCTTTCACCATCCTCCTCCACTGGCTCCATACGCACCCGCCTGCGCGGCTGACCCTCATCATCCTCGCTGGCACGCCATGACATTGACCGCGACTCCTATGGGAGAGACAGGCACCATTGGGGTGACAGTGACAAATCACAGCCACGTCCCGCAGCCCCATGGTGTGGCGTGGCACAACCACAGCCCGGCTCACCTCGCTCAGGACGGAGAAGCACCCGGAGCAGGGTCTGTGGGGCCGGCGCCGGCCAACGCCGCTCATCCCCTGTGAGGGAAGGGCTGTTTACCAGCTCTGCTGGAGCCTGATGCTGCTCGGGGTCACTTTGGCCTTTCCATAAACAGCCTGAGCCTGTGCTGGGCAATGGGAGCACAGGCAGGGAGGTGCAGGCAGGGAGCACAAGCGGGAATGGCGGCTAGAGCTGGAATGGGGAAGGACCGTGGTGCCCAGGCCCTCCCCAGTTCCTCCTGGTCCCTCCCATCAGACACCCATCCCCTGACCACGCTTTGGGTGTTTGGAGGTGATGTGCTCCCAGTCCCAGCCCTATTCCAAACCCTTTCCCTGCTCTCCCTTGGTGCAATGAAGGCCCTGTTCCCCCCCCACTACCTCCCCATACCAAACGTTTGCTGGTTGCGCAAGCCCTGGGGCTGCATGAGGAGCCCTGTGGCATCAACCCTCAGCGTGCCAAGCCCATCCTCAGCCCCACCAGCACCTGGAGCTGCACAGGGAGTCTGGCAAAGCTGCTGGCCTGGCATTTGGGCTGCCCCATATGGGGTTTTGGCACAGGGCGCTGGTGCCGGAGCAGCCGGTGTCCTCTGGGGTGCTGTGCACAGCATTCCTCTCCCTGCAGTTTCCCCCATTATTCCCTGGCTTTAACCTCCCCCTTCGTACACAACCAACCTCTCTCCGCTGTGTGACCTTTGTGTCTCCATGGTCAGCTCTGCCCACCACCATGAGGGCTGCGGCGGCAGTGAGACCACAGAGCAGCCCCAGCCTCATGGTGCTGCGGGGGCCCGGCTCCAGCTGTCCCGCTCCTGCCGTGCAGTCTCCAAGCTGGACCTTGGCCCCTGATGTCAGTGCAGCGCCTGGGCCGGCCCCTGGCTGCCCACTGCGGGTGATGGGAGTGAGCTGCCCCTGCAGGACACTGGGGAGGGGAAGGGAAGGAACCCGCTGGGGAGGGGAAGACGTGGGCAGTGCTGTCACTGCGGGGCAAAGATGGGGCAGATCCACTACCATGAAAATTAGGATGCAGAAAACATCTCTCCCCACTCTGACCATGACCCCGCTCTGCAGGCAGCTCCATGGGTTGCTCCTCTCTCCTCCCCAAAGCACTGATGCCTCTTGGGTACAGCTTGAGCCTCTGACTATGTCGGATGACACCTGGGTGGAACCGAGCTTCATGAAACACCAGTTGGTTTGTTTTTCCATAGGAGCTCAATTACTCATTGCCCAGTTCTGGATTTGAGTGCTAATGCAGGAAGTGGATTTATCAACAGCAATTCCCAACCCATGTTTCTGTCCCTTCAACAGACCCGTTATCCCTGAATCCGTAACCATGGAAGTTGAACGTGGCTGAACATAAGTGTTGGATTGGTTATAACCAGGAAGGAAGCAGAGCTGCCCCCAGCCCCTCTCATGTCCAAGGACTGGCTGGAACACAAGGGGGGGGGGAATCTCCTGACAAATTTCCATGCTTTTCATGCAACACCTGGCTAAAAACATAAAAACCTATAAGACTTCATGCTAAAAAGTCCAAAAGCAGGAGCAACAGGCGCCACGAGGGCTCGAAACTCCACAATGTACACAGGAAATAAAGGGTCAGTGTTAGTTTTTAACTCTGGGAGGCTCCTGCAGCTTGAGATACAGTTACAAGTGGAGATGTTGTCTGAAAGAGGTTCCATTGCACGTGAGAGGAAGCAGGATGGGAAAAAGAGGGAATCACAAGTGAATAAAGACCACAGACCAGGCAGGTGAAGCGTGAACAGCTCAGGTCGACACCCCGGTGCGTGCCTGTTTGTTGCATGTGCAGAGAACCACAGGATTTACGCTGATGCTTCTACCCGTTTCTTCCCATTTCCCCATGGGTGGCTCCCCTGTACCGAAACTCATTCACTCCTTACATTCCTAACTCAGGTGGAGGAGAAGACCCCCCCAGCCCTGGAACACGGGTGCCCGGGAGGGGACATCCAGGCCCCCGCCAGGCCCCATCGAGCCCCAGCCACGTTTTCAGCTCTGGCGGCAGCTCCACGCACCCCAGACCCGCAGTTTCCCTGCACGAACCTCCTCGGGGCGGGGGGGGGTCGCCGCTCCCCCTGTAACAGCACCGCCCCGGTGCACCGCCGGGACCCCCGAGGTTGCCCGGCCCGCACCCAAAGGGTTCTGTGAGGGAGCCGCAGCACGGGCAGCAAGCAGCGGGGCGGGGCAGCGGCGGGAACGTGTTTGGGGCTGACCCGCGCTTGGGGCTCCGGTTGAGAGGCACCGGGTAAGGCGGGCGCTGGCTGCTCCGCAGCGGGCACTGCTGCCCGCCCGGCCCGGTCTCTGCTCGGCCCCGGTGGGGCAGGGTGGAGGAGGGGAGGGGCACGGGACGACTCGAACCCCGGCCTCGAGAGGCGCCCGGGGCTTCCGACAGCCGCGTCCCTCGTTACCACGGCAACCGCGGCACAGGGGCGCGCCCGCACATGTAAACATCCGCTGACGCCCTTCCGGCAAGGAGCCCGCCTTTCCTCCTCCTTGCAACACGTGCCGATCTCCTGACCCGGACGTTCTTACGATGTCCCAGAACCCCCCGCGCCACCCCGCCTCCCACGTGACAGCCACCGGCTCCTCCATTGGCTGTTCCCACCGGCGGCACCATCTTGTGGCTGCTGCCCGCCGCTCCCGGCCGTGGGCCCCAGGCCTGGGCCTACCCGAGAGGACTGCTGTGATTGGCTCAGCGCCGCATGTGACCCACGCGGAGCTCTGCCATTGGGCGGCTCCGGTGAGGAGCCCAATGGGGGCTCCCCCCCACGGCCGGCACAGCATCAGGGTGAGAGGTAACCTCCTCCCGTGTGGTGCCGCAGGGCACGTGTTTGCTCTGAGCTCCTGCTCTCGATGGACAGGGCAGCAAAACCACCGCGTCCCGGCAACGTGAGGAGCGGCTGCAGGAGATGGGTGCTTTGGCCTGAGGAAAAGGGGGCTCAGGGGGGACTTGATTGCTCCCTGCGTGACAGGAGGTTATAGTGAGGTGGGAGTTGGTCTCTTCTCCCAAGTAACAAGTTGTAGGACAAGATGAAACGGCCTCAAGCTGCACCAAGGGACGTTTAGGAAAGATTTCTTCACCAAAGGGGCTGTCAAGGGACATGGTGGAGGCACCATCCCTGGAGGGACTGAAAACATGTAGACATGGCACTGAGGAACAGGCTGCCAAGGGACATGGTGGAGGCACCATCCCTGGAGGGACTGAAAACATGTAGACATGGCACTGAGGAACATGGTTTAGTGGTGGACTTTGCAGTGCCGGTCTTTTCCAACCTGTACCATTCTGTGATGACAAGTTTGGGATCACAGTCAATGGAGCCTGTTAAAGTGAAAGTGTGCCTGTGGCTTGGCAGTGCCAGCACTCATTCACTTCAGTTAAACACGGGAAGCTCAAGAGAGCCGGGCAGAGCAGAGCAGAGCAGCCAAGCTCAGCGCCATGAACACAACGGGGAATTGTTCCTGCACACGGATAGACAGACCAGTGGACAGTAACTTCAGATACTTTAATGAGAAGACAGCAAAGATCCCCGTGGTCAGAAAACCTCCTGCCCCTGCAGCTGGCCCACCCACACTGCCCGTCTCCATTCTCTCTGTCCCACTCATCCTTCCCTGGGCCTTTTCCTCTGAACAATCCCTGTTTCTGCCACAGGCACTGCACAGTTCTTCTCCCACTGATCCCTCCTCTGCATGTGTCTCACGGCATTTCCTTTCCCACACCACTTGTGGGGCAGTTTGGCTGCAGGGTGCTGTCAGCTGTCCATGCGGATAATGAAGGGCTGGGTATCTGCATGCCAGCCATAGCTGTTGAGCTCGAGCTTGTGGCACACGGATCCAAATACATGGTCCACCGTCCACATCAATGTTTTATAGGCAGTGTGCAGTGGTATCTGATCTGAGTGAGGAGGTTCCTGTCCTTTGGTGCTCTGGTTAACATGAGAGCTGCAGATGGGCTGCTCCTTGCTACATGCAGACACCCCAGGGTGCAGCACTTTGCTACTCCCCACCACAGCCGCCTCGGAGGGTGGGGGCACAGGCAGCGGTGCAGGGGATGCCACAGGGGTGCAAATTGCTTCTTGGGAGCTGACTCTGCTCTCAGACAGGGGCAGAGTGGCCTCACGCTCTGCAGGAGAAACAAGTGCTTCACACCTTCCCTCCATGGGGACTGACTCCACCTTGCTATCAGGGACAGCAGGCACAGGACTGCCGGTGCTGGAGGCACACCGAGGAACCCTCAGACTCCTGCTGATGTGGGAATTGCAGCGCCACATAATCCGCTTGGCTTTCCTGATGATCTGCCTGATCTGGGCTCTCTGTGTGGCCAGCCTGTGCAGCACGGACCGAGCTTTGCCACCCAGACGAGCCATGTTACCAACCCTGGCCCTGAAACAAGTCCTCTGCGGGCAGCAGTACGCGTGGTCCTTGAGCACGGTGCTGCTTGACGCTTGCAGCTGGCAGTAGCTGTGGTCTGTGGGAGGACAGGGCCCGGTGCCACAGTGCCAGATCTGCATCATGCTCTCCCTACAGTAGCAGTGGTCCTTCCAAATAGCCTCCTTCACATCCTTGGCACACAGTTCCCTGGGTCTCAGGAGGAATGGAGCTTCTCCTGAGGGGCAGAAGCTTTCATAGGTGCTCCTCTGACACTGCTCCTTTGGGTCACTGTAAAGGTGCTCCTGAGGATTTGACTTATGGTTCTGCTGTTCCATCCAGGAATTAAGTGCGAGTTCTCTGCCCTGTGCTATGTTTGCTGTCACCCCGTGTTTATTTTCTGCTGCTTCTTCCTTCTTGGGCCAGACAACAGTCTGTGCATGGTTTTCGCTTTGCGCTGGTGCCAGTCCTCTACTGGGCACCTCCACCTGCGCCTTGCTGTGACCCATGAGACATCTTAGCTTGTTCAGGAGTGTTCCAGGCTGGAGATGGCACTGCAGGCTCTGCCCTCCTTCTGAGCATGTGCTGGTGGGAGTTTCACTTCTGGCTGGCTGGGGCTCTAGAGAAAGGGGCCATGCTGAGGGGATGGGGAGGTAAGAAACCTCCATCCTCCCCAGTTTGGGGCCACCAGGGCTCTGCTTCTCCAGACTCTGCATGGCCAGTCTGGCCATGGGTCTGGAGAAGCACCAGTGGCACTGACCAGGCACAGCCAGATCCTGCTGCCAGCTTCCTGCTCCACAGCCCAGTAGCAAGGAAAAAGAGGGACCAGGACTCACCTTGGCAGGGTGACTGTGCCCTCTCCTCTGGCGCACCAGCCCCAGGCCACCAGCCCCATGGAGGTGCCTTCAGCAACCTCATGGCCCCAGCACATCCTGCAGAGAAAGCAGACGGATGGATGTCACTTTCCTGGCAGGGAAAGTGCCCCTTCACGCAGCAGCTGTCAGGCAAAGGAGGAAGCCCTGTCCACTGCCAGCACCCAGGAGTGGTCCTACAGGACCTGGGTTGTTCCTGCTCACCTGGAGAGGGGCAGTCAGGGCCTTTCCACCTCGACGGGCTCTGCAGCGAGCAGACCCATGGCTCTTCCCCACGCTCCATCCGGTATAAAATATCAGGTTTGGGGCCTGTGTAACCTGTGGGGTGGAACAGAGTGTGTTGTTCCAACACAGACTGTCAGAATAAAATGTTACCATGAGAAAATAAAGATGTTCCCTGGGACACTGTGCTTCACTGTGACAGGAAGAGCCCAAGCAGAAACACCATGAAAAGGGGGAGAAACAGCAAGAGGGATGTCAGAGCTGCTGCCAGTGAGTGACAGCAGGCACGTTATCCAAAAGGACCTTGCTGTGCAATGAGGTGTTGGCTCCCCTGTACCATGCCTGGTGGGTGCTACCCCTGCCCTGCTGCATCCTGAGCGCCCATGGGAGGGGACAGAGTCACTGGGCAAGAACCACCCAACCCCAGGGCTGGTAGCTCAAAGGGCCCCAAACCCTGCACATTTCACAGACTCCCAGACTGGTTGGAGTTGGAAGGGACCTTAAAGCTTGTCTAGTTCCAAGCCCCTGGAATACCTTCCACTAGACCAGGTTGCTCCAAGCCCTATCCAACCTGGTGCTGAACGCTGCAAGAGATGTGGCAGCCACAGCTTCTCTGGACAACCTGTACCAGGGCCTCACCACCCTCACAAAGAAGAACTTCTTCCTCAGATCTCATCTCAATCTCCCCTCTGTCAGTTTAAAGCCATTCCCCTTGTCCTATCCCTTCCTGCCCTTGTCAAAAGCCCCTCTCCACGTTTCTTGTTGGCCCCTTTAGGCACTGGAAGCTGCTCTTAAGGTGTCCCCAGAACCTTCTCTTCTCCAGGTTGAACAAGCCCAGCGCTCTCAGCCTGTCCCCATAGCAGAGGTGCTCCAGCCCTCGGAGCATCTTCATGGCCCCCTCTGGACTCACCCCAACAGATCTACATCCACATTTTCCAGCAATAACCCCCCCAGCGCTCCAGTGCTCAGAATAGTTATCCTAGATGTAGTTCCACACGCGCCCATCAGTGCCTCAAGTTGCTGGAAGCAGCATGGTCCTGATGCGGTCTAGCATGCAGGACCCCCCAACCCCAGATGTTCCAAGTGGAGTTACCCAGGGATGTCAGGAGCCCGTAGTTGTCCATCATGACGCTGCGGTAGAGCTCCCTCTGCCCTGCCGTGATGGTGTCCCACTCCGTGCGGCTCAGGTAGACAGCGATGTCCTCGAAGGTCAGTGGTTCCTGTCACACACACTCTTGGCACCCTCGTCCCTCACGTGCTGGGGCCCATTCCCACAGGGCGGGGGGAGGGTTTCGGATAGGTTTTCTCTTCCAGGTGCCATTCTCACCCCTAGGAAGCCTCCCACTATTGGGAATGCCAACAGAGCGCACACACCCAGGGCTGCTTGTGTGCCATGCGGGGCTATGCGTCATTGGGGACCAACTTCAAGACACTGCCCAGAGCCCCAGGGATGTGTTCAGGGTGGCCTCATAGCTCATCCCCATGGAGAACCCCCACGGTTGGAAGCGCCATCACAGTGGCTGCCAGCAGGGGGGACAGCAAGAACCACCCTAGAGAGGGGAGTGTGGCACAGGGCATCGAGGGAGGCAGTGTGGGCTCCCCCTGCCCCTAGGCCTGGCTCCTACCTGTGTCCACCCTGCCATAGCGGGGGATGTGAGGGCCCTGCAGGGGGGGCTCCGGTCCCCGCTAGGCCCCAGAGCCCCCCACACCCGCAGGCTGCGAGCCGGAAGTAGGCCGCATGACATCTTCTCCTGCAGTCACGCCCTCACGTGTTTCCGGCCCGGAGCCACTCCCACTCCCGGAAGTAGCCTGCGAGCACGTGATCCGCCGCTGTGGGGAGGGGGATGATCGCGAGAGGATGTCAGCGCCGCCGCCGCCATTTTGAGAACTGCTCGTCGACCCCCGTCGCGGTCACATGATAGGAAGGGGCGCCGCCATTGGTCCGACGGTGGGGGGGGGGGTGTGTGGTGGTGGTGCGGGGCGACCTCCGCCATTGAGTCGGTTGTCAGCAGCAGCAGTGATTGGTGTGGGCTGGGGGGTGCGGAGGAGCTCTCGTGAGGGTGGTGAGGCCCTGGCACAGGTTGCCCAGAGAAGCTGTGGCTGCCCCATCCCTGGCAGTGTTCAAGGCCAGGTTGGACGGGGCTTGGAGCAACCTGGTCTGTGGAAGGTTGCTCCATGGCAGGGGGTTGGAGCGGGGTGGGCTTTAAGGTTCCTTCCAACCCAAGCCACTCTGTGAATGATTTTACCATACCTGCCTGTTTCCATGGTGATGGGGCGGTTTCTGCTGTTGTGGGGCAGCACCAGCCCCTCAGTGATGGCTGGTTCAGGGCTGTGGGCTCAGCTCAGGGGATGTGCAGTGCAGAGATTTCCCTCCCCACGCACATCCTCTCCAACACATAGTAGCGCTGGTTTAACCCCAGCCATATGTCCAGAGAAGGAAACCCACACCCTGCAGAAGGAACTGAACTCAAAGCCCAGGACAAAGAGCACAGGTTCTTTGGTGAAGTGTTTTAAACCCTGCTTCTGCAATTCCACAGGAAAAAAAGAAGAGATGGTTACACCTGCTTTTTGTGATTCTCATGGATCAGGAATACCATGTTGGACAAGATTTCTCTCCAAATAAGAACTGAAAGTCAACAGAGATGGACATTCCAGCTGCATTTCCACAGCAGCAGTTTAACAACCCTTTGTTTTCATGTTTGCTTGTACTGCTATCACAAGCCAGGTCCTTACGGAACGTTATTGTCTCATGGTTGTCTGTGCCCTACAAATATGTGGATTGAAGAAAGGAAAAGGCAGTTCCCTGCTTAATTTTAACTCCAGTGAAGAGTAGGGTAGGGCAGGTTAGGGTAGAGTAGGGTAGGGTAGTGTAGGGTAGAGTAGGGTAGGGTAGATTAGGGTAGGGTAGAGTAGTGTAGGGTAGGGTAGATTAGGGTAGGGTAGAGTAGGGTAGGGCAGGTTAGGGTAGGTTAGGGTAGGGTAGGGTAGTGTACGGTAGAGTAGGGTAGGGTAGATTAGGGTAGGGTAGAGTAGAGTAGGGTAGGGTAGTGTAGGGTAGGGTAGATTAGGGTAGGGTAGAGTAGGGTAGGGCAGGTTAGGGTAGAGTAGGGTAGGGTAGGGTAGAGTAGGGTAGGGTAGATTAGGGTAGGGTAGAGTAGGGTAGGGCAGGTTAGGGTAGAGTAGGTTAGGGTAGGGTAGGTTAGAGCAGGGTAGGGTAGTATAGGGTAGAGTAGGATAGGGTAGATTAGGGTAGGGTAGAGTAGGGTAGGCAGGGTGGGTAGAGCAGGGTAGAGTAGGGTAGGCAGGGTAGGGTAGAGTAGGGTAGGGCTGGGTAGGTTAAGGCAGGGTAGGGTAGGGTAGAGTAGGGTAGGGCTGGGTAGGTTAAGGCAGGGTAGGGCAGGGTAGGGTAGGGTACAGCAAGATAGGTTAAGGCAGGGTAGGGTAGGGTAGGGTCGAGTAGGGTTGGGTAGGGTGGGGTAGGGTAGTGTAGAGTACAGTAGGGTAAGGTAGGGTAGAGTAGGGTTGGGTAGGGCAGGGTAGGGTAGTGTAGAGTACAGTAGGGTAAGGTAGGGTAGAGTAGGGCAGGGTAGGGTAGGGTAGAATAGGGTAGGGCAGGTTAGTGTAGGGTAGGGCAGGGTAGAGTAGGGTAGGGTAAGGAAGTGTAGGGTAGAGTAGGGAAGGGTAGGGTAGAGTAGTGTAGGGTAAGGAAGTATAGGGTGGGGTAGGGCAGGGTAGGGTAGGGTACGGCAAGGTAGGTTAAGGCAGGGTAGGGTAGGGTGGGGTAGAGTAGGGTTGGGTAGGGCAGGGTGGGGTAGAGTAGGGTTGGGTAGGGCAGGGTAGGGTAGGGTAGTGTAGAGTACAGTAGGGTAGGGCAGGGTAGGGTAGGGTAGTGTAGAGTACAGTAGGGTAAGGTAGGGTAGGTCAAGGTAGAGTAGGATAGGGTAGGGTAGAGTATGGTAGAGCAGCGTAGGTTAACTCAGGGTAGGGTAGGGTAGAGTAGGGTTGGGTAGGCTAGACTGGGGTAGGGTAGAGTAGGGTTGGGTAGGTAGACTATGGTAGGCCAGGGTATGGTAGGTCAGGGTAGAGTAGTGTAGGGTAGGATAGGGTAGAGTAGGGTAGAGTATTGTAGGGCAGGGTATGGTAGGGCAGGGTAGGGTAGGGCAGGGTATAGTAGGGTAGGGTACAGTAGGGTAGGGTACAGTAGGGTAGGGTAGGGTACAGTAGGGTAGGGCAGGGTAGTGTAGGGTAGAGCAGAGTAGGATAGAGTAGGGTAGGGCAGGATAGGATAGGGTAGGTTAGAGTAGGGTAGGGTAGGCTAGGATACAGTAGGGTAGGGCAGGGTAGGGTAGGGTAGAGTAGGGTACAGTAGGGTAGTGCAGGGTAGTGTAGGGTAGGTTAGAGTAGGGTAGGGTAGGACAGGGTGGGGTAGGGTAGAGTAGGGCAGGGTAGGCTAGGATAGATCCGGGTAGGGTAGAGTAGGATAGGGTGGGGTAGGGTAGAGTAGGGCAGGGTAGGCTAGGATAGATCCGGGTAGGGTAGAGTAGGATAGGGTAGGGTAGGGCAGGGTAGTGTAGGGTAGACCAGGGTAGGATAGAGTAGGGTAGGTTAGAGTAGGGTAGGGTAGGACAGGGTGGGGTAGGGTAGATCTGGGTAGGGTAGAATAGGATAGGGTAGGGTAGAGTAGGGCAGGGTAGTGTAGGGTAGAGCAGGGTAGGATAGAGTGGAGTAGGGTAGAGTAGGACAGGGTAGGGTAGGGCAGGGTTGGGTAGAGTAGGGTAGGGCAGAGTAGGTTAGAGTAGGGTAGTGTAGGGTAAGTAAGTGTAGGGTAGGGCAGGGTAGGTAGAGCAGGGTAGGGTAGGGTACGGCAAGGTAGGTTAAGGCAGGGTAGGGCAGGGTAGGTAGGGTAGAGTAGTGTAGGGTAAGGAAATGTAGGGTAGGGCAGGGTAGGGTAGGGTAAGGCAAGGTAGGTTAAGGCAGGGTACGGTTCGGTAGGGCAGGGTAGGGTGGGGTAGAGTAGGGTAGGGTAGTGTAGAGTGCAGTAGAGTAGGGTAGGGTGGGGTAGAGTAGGGTAGGGTAGTGTAGAGTGCAGTAGAGTAGGGTAGGGTAGGTCAGGGTAGAGTAGGATAGGGTAGGGTAGGGTAGAGTAGGCTAGGGTGGAGTATGGTAGGGTAGAGTATGGTAGGGCAGCGTAGGTTAAGACCGGGTAGGGTAGGGGAGAGTAGGGTTGGGTAGGGTAGACTGGAGTAGGGTAGAGTAGGGTAGGGTAGGGAAGTGTAGGGTAGAGTAGGGCAGAGTAGGGTAGCCTAGAGTAGTGTAGGGCAGGGTAGTGTAAGGTAGAGCAAGGTAGGGTAAGTAGGATAGGGTAGGGTAGGGTAGGGCAGGGTAGTGTAGGGTACAGCAGGGTAGGGTAGAGTATGGTAGGGTAGGTAGAGTAGAGTAGTGTACAGTAGATTGGGGTAGGGTAGAGTACAGTAGGGCAGGGTATGGTAGGGTAGGTCAGGGTAGAGTAGGGTAGGGTTGGGTAGGCTAGGGTACAGTAGGGTAGGGTATGGTAGGGCAGGGTAGGGTAGGTCTGGATAGAGTAGGGTAGGCTGGGGTACAGTAGGGTAGGGCAGGGTAGTGTAGGATAGAGCACAGTAGGATAGAGTAGGGCAGGGTAGAGTAGGGCAGGGTAGAGTAGGATAGATCCAGGTAGGGTAGAGTAGGATAGGGTAGGGTAGAGCAGGGTAGGATAGACTAGGGTAGGGTAGATTAGGGTAGGGTAGGGTAGGATAGAGTAGGGTAGGATAGAGTAGGGTCGGGTAGCGTAGGACAGCGTAGGGGAGGGCAGGGGAGGAGAGGGTAGAGTAGTTCCAGTCTAAATGGAGCTGCCCTTTGTGCAGAAGCCAAGGTTGAGGTCTTTCTCTTTGCCTGCCCTGAGCTTCGGCACTTGTGGCGCCTGGAGCTATGTACCTCCATGGGGTACCCAGTCTGCGGGACCTCTGTCAGAGGCATCAGCCCCTGGGCTGGTTTCCTGCTGAGCCACTGGGAACTTTCATCAGGGTGACACAAAAGTCCCCTGCCCCTGAGACCAGCGGCAGCTTCCTCATGGACACCAGCAGCAGGGGAAGGGTGACTGGTCCTGACACCATGCCCAGGGCAGGTCCTGCTCTGGCCTGAACCTGGTGGCCTGGCAGAGGAGGGCTTTTCCCATCTTGGTTCCTTCCAAACCATCCCTCTTGTCTCATCACACAGGATAAGCATTGGGTCGCTTCTCGAGGAGTGCTGGCAGCTGCGATTAATCATGGTGCCTGGGCTGCACTTGGCACCACAGTGGGATCGTACCAGGTCAGGTGTGCTGGGTTTGGGGTGGTTTAGTTTACAGTTTGTCTTGGAAATATGTTGTAAGTACATGAGGACCCCCTGGGCTGGAGGGCAGCACATGGCCCTGGAGCAGAGTGCTCCGTGTGCCCAGCAGGCATGGAAACACTAGAGTGGGTCCAGCAAATCCAATCAGGAAATCTAAGTGTCTGACAGATGGGGTGTCACATTAAGAGTGTAGAAATTTGCCAGCAAGTTGCCCCTGTTGTGTTCCAGCCCATCCTCAGAGGTGACAGGGGCTGGGGGCAGCTCAGCTTCATTCTTGGTTATAACCAATCCAACACTCTACATCCAGTCATGTTTAACAGGAACTTCCATGGTTACGGATTCAGGGATAACGGGTCTGTTGAAGGGACAAAAACACGGGTTGGGAATTGCTGTTGATAAATCCACTTCCTGCATTAGCACTCAAATCCAGAGCTGGGCAATGAGTAATTGAGCTCCTATGGAAAAACAAACCAGCTGGTGTTTCATGAAGCTCGGTTCCACCCAGGTGTCATCCGACATAGTCAGAGGCTCAAGCTGTACCCAAGAGGCATCAGTGCTTTGGGGAGGAGAGAGGAGCAACCCATGGAGCTGCCTGCAGAGTGGGATCATGTTCTCATCCTCTGCCATGGGAGAGCTCAAATGCCTGATTTATACTTTGAGAGACATGGAGGTGAGACTCAATTTACCTTTGCTGCCCTCATAGGTGGTGTGGGTGGCAGCCATTTTCTCCCTTTGGTGTATTTATTATCTGTAGATGAGGGATAAGAGAGTAGATAAGGCTGCTCAAGGGCTGTGGGTCTTGCACAAGGCTGGAAGAGAGCCATGAAATATCCTTAGCACCTTCCACCTGGCTAAGGCAGCATGAAGGGCCGCCCAGCCTTCACCCGATCACCCCTGTCAGGTTGTTGCTGTTAATCTCTTCATCACATATCTCATGGCCTCAGGCCTCATTCCTACATGGGGAAAAGCTGGGAGAGTTGGGGCTATTCAAGATTGAGAAGACGAGGCTGCAGGAGATCCTCTCCTCACCTGATGGAGACTAAATGCTGCCCACTGCCAGGCCGAGAGGGGATGTGCACACCAGTAACATGAGAAATTAATCTGCACAGGATCCCAGACTGGTTGGGTTGGAAGGGACCTTAAAGCCCATCCAGTTCCAACCCCCAGCCAGGGGCAGGGACACCTTCCACTAGACCAGGTTGCTCCAAGCCCCATCCAACCTGGTCTTGAACACTGCCAGGGATGGGGCAGCCACAGGTCAGAAATACTGGCCATGTCAATGACCATGATGTCTCTGCCACCAGCCCATTATCACTGGCTTGATTGCAAGCTTGGACTTGAACAGGTGTTCCCTGATGAGGTTGGTCTCAGTGGTGCCTTTCCCTGCCCCACTCTTCCCAACCAGGAGGAGGCTCATCCCCAGCCCCCTCCATGCTGGACATCCATGGCTGCAACGGACACAAGCAGACGTACATGACTCCTGTTGGTGCCACAGTGCTGCCTGCACCATGTCCCTGGAGTGTCCCCCAGGAGACCCTCCCCAGCTCCGGTGCCTTCCTGCACAAGCAGACAGGGAGCTGGTGGTTGCCACATACCCTGTGCCATGGGGCTGGCACTGTTCAACAGCTGTGTCACTGACATGGACCCTGGGACTGAGCACCCTCAGCAAGTTTGCTGACGGCACTGAGCTGTGTGGTGCAGTCAACAAACTGGAGGGAAGGGATGGGATCCAGAGGAACCTGGACAGGCTGCAGAGGTGGGACAGTGCCAACCTCATGAGGTTCAACAAGGCCATGTGCAAGGTCCTGAACATGGGTCGGGGCAATCCCAAACTCAAATACAGGCTGGGGGAGACTGGATTGAGGAGAGCAGCCCTGAGGAGAAGGACCTGGGGGTGTTGCTCCATGAGAAGCTCCCCATGACTCAACAGTGTGCGCTTGCAGCCCAGAAACCAACCATGTCCTGGGCTGCATCACCAGCAGTGTGACCAGCAGGCTGAGGGAGGGGATTCTCCCCTTCTACTCTGCTCCACTCTGGTGAGACCCCCCCCCCCCACAGTCCTGCATCTAGCTCTGGGGCTCCAGCACACGAGGGATGTGGAGCTGTTGGAGCGAGTCCAGAGGAGGCCACAAAGATGCTCTGAGGACTGAAGCACCTCTGTTATGGGGACAGGCTGAGAGAGCTGGGCTTGTTCAGCCTGGAGAAGAGAAGGTTCTGGGGACACCTTAGAGCAGCTTCCAGTGCCTAAAAGGGCCAACAAGAAAGCTGGAGAGGGGCTTTTGACAAGGGCAGGAAGGGACAGGACAAGGGGGAATGGCTTTAAACTGACAGAAGGGAGATTGAGATGAGATCTGAGGAAGAAGTTCTTCCCTGTGAGGGTGGTGAGGCCCTGGCACAGGTTGCCCAGAGAAGCTGTGGCTGCCCCATCCCTGGCAGTGTTCAAGGCCAGGTTGGACAGGGCTTGGAGCAACCTGGTCTAGTGGAAGGTGTCCCTGCCTGTGGCAGGGGGTTGGAACTGGATGAGCTTTAAGGTCCCTTCCAACCCAAACCAGTCTGGGATTCTATGTTCTGGAGCCCTGGATCACTCCCGTTACCTGTGCATGCTGCTGTTGGTGCCTGTGTCATGCTGCAGCTACAGCCACAACCGTGGCCCAGCACAGGCTGCAGCAGCTCCCAGGCTGAATCCACCACAGCCGCGCTGTCATCTGAGCCTTATCCCAGTGGGGCTGCTCTGGGATGCTGCCCTGAGGGATGCTCTGCACCATGCCCTGGAGCCTGCATGGGTGAGCTGCTGCTCCCAGGCCCCCACCTTTGCTTTGGGAGCCATTTGGGTCCACACAAAGCAGGATGGCTGGAACCAGCAGCCCATGATAGTGCTCCCATGGGTCTGCCTGGCCCAACTTCCCCATGGGAAGGGGGTCTGGAACATCCCTGGTATGAGCAGTGCTGCTGTGGGAGCTCTGCAGCCCCTTGGGGCTGTGGTACTCCAGTGCAGCTCTGCCAGGCTGGTATCTCCTCAGGGGACCCAGTTCCCCTCCAGCAGCACTGGTGCGCCGGGATAACCAGCTCTCACATGTCCTGGGCTTTCCCTGCCTCCAGGGACTTCCAGCCACCTGTGACAGGAGCCTGTCAGGATGGGGTTGCCTCGGCCAGCTGCACCAAAAGCACCGAACAGCACCAGAATGGGGAAGAGGCTGAGCTTCACCCTGTTACTGGAATTGAAGCGGGGGAAAGGAAACCTTACCCACGCCACCCACTGCCAGGGGAGGTGTTTGTCCTGTGACACTGGTGTTTTCCCTGAAACCTCCCTGGGTCTCAGGTGTTTGTGACTTCTGCTGCTGGGGACGTTCCCCATTCCCATCCACAGCTCACATCCCACTTCTCTGTGCCTCCCCTCCCCCCACCGGTTGCTGGGATGAGGCTGTGTCCAGCTGCTCCAAGGTGCCAAGACATGCTGACCCCATCCCTGCTTGATTCTGGTACCCAACAGCCCCAGTACCGGCTACCAACTTCCTGGAGCACAGCTGCAACACACAGTGTCAGCACACGGAGCAGAAGGGCCGGGGCAATGGGGACATGGGGACACTGTGTGTTGGGAGTATCAGGACACAGAGCATTAGGAACCTGAAGCCACTGGGACACAGTACACTGGGACATCACGGGTGTCAGGGACATCAGGACCTGGGACGTGGGGACATTGGGACTTGGGGACACAGGGGAACAAACCCTGCTGGGGCCCCACATGGTGCAAATTTCCACCCAAGAGAGAGAACCCCCCCAAACCTGTGCCAGAAAGGAAGGAGCTCTGTGGAACCAGTGCCATGCACAGTGGTGCAGATCTGGGCACACCGGTGCCCTCATCAAGGAGCTTCCTCCTCATGCCCACCCTGGGGCCGGGCTGACTGGGGCACGTGGACCCATTGGGCTCCCAGTGAGATGGAGACGGGGGTTCCAGGCTTTAATTCATGTCATGATACATATCAAAGTACTGGCAGCAGCACAGGAAGCAGCGGGGGGACGGGGCAGCGCAGGGGGGGCCTGTGCAGGCACCTCACGGGGCTTTGCTTCATGGTGGAGGTGCTGGAGCCGAGGGGAAGCTCATGGGCAGCACGGCGCCGGCCGGCAACCCACAGCCACCGCGGCTGAGCCCGGCCGGCGCCGAGATGTCCCTGTGGAGGGTGACACATCCTGGGGGGAAACATCCTTGGGTTTGGAAAAGGCAGTTCTGCTGCTCCAGCTGGTTGTGACCCACATGGAGCATCCCGCCGGCGATGGCATCACTAGCAGGACTGGGACACTGCTACCACGGGGAGCCGGAGCTGTGCCATGCACCGATCCCCACCTGCAGCCACCTGTGCCCAGCACAGCAGTGAAGTGCAATTTTCCCATCTCCCAGCCAGGCTCCCAGTCAAACTCCGATGCTGTTTGGTGTCAGCACATCTCCAGAGAGGAGCCTTCCCACCATCCGCATGCCCGCGGTTCTCCCAGTGCCCCAGCCCCGCACCTTCCTGGCCTGGTGCTCCCAGATGCTTCCAGGTCATCCTTCAGCTCCTCACCACCAGCACCACACCGGGGCCTCAGCGCTGCTGGGGCCGGGGCCCTGCCTCGGTGCAGCCCCTCCTTCGTGCTGCGCTGCTGCCAGTGGGGAAGCAGCCTCCACCCTCGGGCTTTGTGTTTGATTTCATTTTTATTTTGCGTGCTTTCTGCCTCACTGGAGGCTCTCGGCGCAGCCGGGACGAGCCTCCTCTTCCTCCTCCTCCTCCTCCTCTTTTTCACACCCGCAGCAACGCGGTGCTGCAGCTCCTTCCCGGCATAGCACGGCACAGGGATGCAGCTGGCGGCTGCTGAGATCCGGCTCCGCGCTGGCACTCGCCGCCGTCATTCCCTGGGCGAGCAAGCACAGCAGAGGTTACCCCGCGCCGGCACCTGGCACACCTGTGCTGTGGGTGGTGAGCGGGGTCACCACCAGCCACGCCAGGCAGGGTAGGGCAGGGGGACCCTGGGGAATGCCCTGTGGAAACCTCCCTCCTCCTCCTCCATGGCTGGGGGAAGTTAAGCTGTGGCAATGGGGAAGGGAGGAAGGGCTTCTGGTGAACCACGTGGACTGCTCAAGGACAGGAGGGCTGAGGCTCCGGGTGCTGACAGCACCAGCCTTGTGCCTGTCAGCAGGAAAACCCCAGCAGAAGGACAAGGGGTGGGAAATGGGCAAGGAGCATGGCCGGGTGGTTCCACGGCCAACCTGCGGCTGCTGACCCACTGACACACCAGGCAGGGCTGCATGTGCAGCCCCAAGCAGGCGTGCCAGCGGCTCCTGTGTCTGCTGACAGGACCGTCACAGGCCCCCAAACCCTGGGGAGAGTCTAGTGCCCCCCAACTCCCACTGGGACAGAATTCCCTGCTGCAGAAGGGAGTGTGAGCGGAGTGCCAGTGCTCCCACAGGCCTCAGGAGGGGAATCGGCTGCAGGGGGACACGCCGGGAGGGAGGGGGCTCACGTGAGGGCGGCCTCAGCCCTAGGGGCACACTGGTGCGCGGTGAGGTCAACCTCCTGGGCAAAGCTCTGGCCGCACTGGGTGCAGGAGAAGGGTGTCCTGGCAGCGTGGGTGCGCCGGTGGATCCTCAGGGAGCCCTTCTGGCTGAAGGCCTTGCCACAGTCGGGGCAGGCGAAGGGCCGCTCGGCACCGTGGCTGCGCTGGTGCGTGGCCAGGCTGCTCCTGCAGCTGAAGCCCTTCCCGCAGCGGGCACAGGCAAACGGGCCACCGGTGGCTGCCTCATATGGCTGCGGCGAGCGGCTGCTGCCGGGCTGGACCTCGGCGGCAGTGGTGCCAGGCCGGTCTTCAGCGTGGGTGCGCTGATGGTTGAGGAGGAAGCGCTGCTCACGGAAGCACTTCCCGCAGCGCTGGCAGGAGAAGGGCTTCTCGCCGCTGTGGATGCGCTGGTGGGTGAGCAGGTTCTGCTTGAGGCTGAAGCTCTTCTGGCACACGCCGCACTGGTAGGGACGCTCCCCAGTGTGGATGCGCTGGTGGATGATGAGGTTGTGCTTGAGGCTGAAGGCTTTGCCGCACTCGGCACAGATGAAGGCGCGCTCCCCGGCGTGGTGCTTCTGGTGCCGGGCGAGGCTGGGCTGCTGGCCGAAGCATTCCCCGCAGAGGATGCACTTGAACTCCTTCTCCACCTCCTCCTCCGCTTGGCTGTGGATCACCAGCGCCTTCTCGTCGCCCAGGCCCTCCTCGCCCCCCGGGAAGGCGAAGGGCTTCTCACCCGCCGGCGACGCCAGATCCGTCATGGGCACCCGCTGCCCTGGAGAGTGCAGACAGGGAGGGCTGCAGCTCCGGCCGCTGGCCCTAATGCCCCGGTGCGGGGCTGTGGCAGCCCGGTGTGAGGAGCCCTGAGGAAGAAGGTGACAGGGCCCGGCCTCGGCTGGAGCGGGACCGCGGGGTAGGCCGAGCCCTGCGGCAGGCTGAGGCAGCTCTCCGGGGGCCGGAGGGCTTTGACTGGAGGGGCCGGACCCGGCTGGAGGGGGCGGGCGCTTCAAACCCGGCACCGGGGAGACAGGGGCCGCGAACCGACCAGGAGCCGCCGCAGTGCGCCGGCCGGGCCGGGCCGGGCCGAGCCGAAATCAGCCGAACTCGCCCGAGCCGGGCCGAGCAGAGCCGAACCCGGCCGAGCTGAGCCGAGTGCAGCCGAACCCGGCCGAACCCAGCCCAGCCGAGCGCCGCCGAACCCGCCCGAGCCGCCCATCCCTGCGGTGGGCCCGCCCCGGCAGTTGGTTGCGGTCCCGGTCCCGGTCCCAGCCCCGGCCCTCGTCTCCCCCGGCGCATCCTGACCTGGCGGGTCCCGCGTGTGTCCGTGATGGTTCCTGCACCAGTGAGGCTGGGCCGGGGCCGCCGCGGGGCCGGTCCCTTCCAGGACGCAGAGGGTGTCCCTGGCCCCGCTTCTCCCTCCCCTCCCTGGGGCTCCCCGGTCCCCCCTTGCCCGCAGCGTGGCCCCCTGGCGCTGACCTGCCCGAGCCGCTGCCGCGCCGCGTCCCGCCGGCCCCGCCCGGCCCCTCCCGCCTAGCTGACGCACCGGCGCCCGCCCGCGCCCGTCACCCCGGCCTTGCGGCGGCTCCGCCCGGGGAGGGCGGGGGGCGGCGGAGCGAGGACCAGCAGCATCGTACGCCTCCGGGGAGGGCCCGGCACGACTCCGACTCTGTGAGGGGACACCCCCACACCACGCGTTGCTCCTGCCCCGTAGCAATGTGTATGTGTTGTTCCTCCCCTCCCCCCACCCCGATCCTCCGAGCCCAGGAATTGTCCCAAATCACCCCAAAACCAGAGGAACCAGCCCTGCCGCCCGAGCGAGTCTGGTGGGACCGGGAGAGCCGGAGGGTCCTCAGCACAGCAGTCAGCACTGGGGGCGGCTGTGCCGCAGGACAGCGGAGAGAAGCCCCCAGGTCCTGCCCCTGTGCCCCTGTCACCTCCTCCATCCCACCCCGGGGTGGGACCCGGGTGTCTCCAGCCGGGCCGGTGGCACACGGTGGCCACGGGGTGCCAAGCACACGGCTCTGAGCTGTTTCGGGGCTGTTTGCACTGGGAGGAGCCCCTCGTGCTGGTTGGGTCCTGGGTGCCACCACCACCAGGGACCTTCATCTGGCACATGGCGTGGCCATCGCAGCTGGATTCAGGACCAGGATGTGCTGGCAGTGCCGAGGCTTCTCCCAGATCAGGACAGGCTTGTGTGTGCTGGGCCAGTGGGACCAGGGGCCCAACATACCCCCAGCAATGAATGAGAGCACCATGGAATGAGAGCACCAGTGATCCTGGGAACACAGGGGGGTGTTCTGGTGGAGCAGAGCAGATGTGACACAAAGCCATCCATGCCACTGTCACACTGTCACTGGCGGTGACAGCAGTAGGTGCTATAGCACAGAGTGGAGCTTGTGGTGCCACAGGCAGCTCCAGACTGGGCTGTCATGCAGAGGTTTGGCAGCCATGGGGCACGGTGGAGGTGCTGGGCCTGGTGCAGGAGCTCTCTGCAGGCTGCAGCTTGCCAGGGCTCAGCAGCGCGCTCAGCCGGGACGCCCGTCGGCAGAGATTGCTATCGCTGTTGTCTGGACCTGCTGCGCTGGGGCCTGGTGATGCCAAAACACCAGCTGTGTTTGTGCCTGCCGGTGCCAGGAGCTGGGGGCTGCCCAGAAGGTGAGGGGAGACCTGTCCCCTTCCCAAGGGGGCTGAGGCCATGAGCACTGGAGCTGAGGGCTGGCTGTGGAGCCACTGAGCTGGTGTCATCCCTGGTCCAGTGGAGGTGGCGTTGCTGGGGGACAGGAAAGGGGACGTTGGTCCCTGAGCACTGGCAGGGGGATGGTGGAAGGCCACCTCCATGCCATGGCCCTCCCAGAGCATGGCAAGCAACATGCCAGGGCTGGTGATTCTCCAGCAAAGGTATCTCCCTCCCTGGAGGGGTCATCAGTGGACACTAGTGGTAATGAAGCCCAAAGTGATGCCAAACCAGAGCCCTCCTGCCCCTGCTCAGTCCCAAAGCGCTGGTGGCCCTGAAGGACTTCACCTGGAGCCCACAGCAGCAGGAAGGAACACCAGCCCCAGTGCTGGTCCTGGACCTCGGCCACAAGGTGATTCTGGCAGAGGAAGGACCCTGGAGCAGCCAGGATGCTACTGATAAGGGTCCCCAGACCCCAAACCAAGCCACAAAGCACCAGATTTGCCACCAGCCCCATGTTTTCCCTGTTAGGATCTGTTTTTTGGGATGCTGAAGTCCAGAGTGCTTTGGCAAGCAGCTCGGCCAGCAGCCATAAACTAAACTGCTGCAAGACGAGAGGACCAATCAGCCGTGGGGTCAAAGAACTGGGGCCAGCCCATGATGGAGCGCAGGCTGCACGCCAGCCCAGGGCAGAGCAGCCCCAGTGCTTCGCAGGACAGAGGAGGCAGGAGCGTGCTGTGAGAAAGCTTTTATTTTAAATAACCTCAAAAAATAGAATTGCAAGGACCTGAAACGCAGCTGGAGCAGAGCGAGAGGGAACAGGGGTGGCGAGGCTCTGGTTGTGACCTGTGTCCTGGTGTCCCCTTGGCCCTGGTGGGTGGCAAAGCTGCGCGCTGCATCCCTTTGGATGCACCCCAAAGACGTGCACGGTGCTGCACCGAGCTGGGCACTGGTGACACCCCACCCCGTGTTTTCAAGGAAGGTCTTTGTCCAGTGGCTGGAGCCGTGCACAGGGAGACACCGGTCTCCCTCCGGCAGCAGGCAAAGCCCTTTTCCCCTTTTGGATCAGGACATCTTTTGAGCATTTGGTTCCTGTTTCTGCCCTGACCACGCAGCTCCATGGCTCTGCCACACTGAGGGGGAAGCGGAGATGCCCGATGAGCCCCGGTGAGGAAACCTGTACTCCTGCATCCCCCCAACTGCTAGCAGGGAAAGGGGCAGACACCGCCACCAGTGCCAACAGCTACAACAGCTCCAGCAAGACCACAGCCGCTGCAGCTCCACTGGTGTGTCAATGTTACCTGTTCAGGAGTGAAGTGAGTACCAGAAAGAGGCGCAAGGCAGAACGATTACCCACAGAGCAAGCAGAGAAGCATAAGCACCCACCACCCCCCTTTCCCACCCCCCGTCTTCCCCCATGCCCCTCCGACCTCAGAGGAGAAGCTTCTCCAGGTCCCTTTCAGAAACAGAGGTGAGCTGAGATGCTTCAAGGCCATTTTCCCAGCTTTTCCCATTTTCCTGGCTCCTCCTGCCACCCCTGGGGTAGCCCCAGGCTCGACTGTGCTGCCTATCAACAGGAAGTCCCAGTTGAGTCCCAGTCCTGCTCTGGCCAGGCCAGTGGGTCACAGCTCTCCATCCCAAATGCATCCTTGTGGAGTGACATCCACTCTGGAAGAGAAGGACAGGGGGTTCTGGGTAAAGCTCTTGACCCATGGAGGCCCCTACCTGCCCCACAGCGTCTCTGGGTCCATGCATCACCCAGCATGATGGAGATGGAGGCAGGAGCAGGCAGATGTGCCACTGCCTGGCAGAAGCGGATTTTTAAGCCGACGGATCCCAGATCCCGAGCTCTTCCCATTCACAACGGTCTGCACAGCCACAGCAGGAGCCGGTGTCGCAGACCCAAGGTCTGTCTCTGCTCCTCAGCTCTGTCCCCTCTACAGATTTGGTACGTTCAAAAGACAGAAGCTCCTGTGGCACATCCAAGTCCTGCTTCCCAAGTCCTGCACAGGGGCCGTGGAGCCTCCTGAGCCGCCATCACCTCTGTGTCCTGGCAGGCACCATGAGTCCCGGCCAGCGGCTCTCCCTCGGCACTGTCCTCATTTGGTGAGCACGAGCTGCCGCCTCTTCAGCTTCGGTGTCTTTTAGTGCAGGAGCAAGGTGATGCAGGCTCTCGCCAGAGGCGGGTCTGGGCAGCCCGCACCGGCGTTACAAGCAGCTGGGGCACGGTGAGGGCTTCTCTTCGCCGTGCGCTCTCTCAGGCACTCTCAGGACTCGTTTCTCCTCAAAGCTCCTGGCACAGCCGCCGTACTTGCACCAGAGCTCAGCTCGGCACTCGGGCTGCGGCTTGAGGAGCAGCTGCCGCTGGCTGAGGCAGTCAGCGCAGCAGCACTGCGGCAGCAGGCTTGGCGGCTTTGGGCTCAAGCCCTCCCCGCTCTCGGTGCACTTACAGGACCCCGGAGGTCCCTCCTGCGGGGGGTGGGAGCCAGGCACGAGGTGCTGCTGCTCTTCCTGCATCAGCTGCAGGAGGATGTCGGCTGCGCCCGAGGGGCTCTCCGGTCTGTTGGGGGGCTGCGCTCCTGGCCGGAGCTCATCCCGAGGCAGCGATCCATGAGCGGCTCCACGGGAGCAGGGGGGCAGCAGCAGGCCGGGGGGCTCTGAGCCTTTTCCCAGGGGAGCGCCGCTGCCGTCTGGCTCGTCCTGGTGTGCCGGGCAGGTGCCCTCGCAGCAGGAAGGTGGGATGGCACCGGCATGCGTCCTGCGGTGCCGGAGCAGGTGAGCCTTCTGGCTGAAGCCCTTGCCGCACTCGGCACAGCGGAATGGTCTCTCCCCGGTGTGGGTTCTCTGGTGAACAGCCAAGTTCACCTTCTGGCGGAAGCGCTTCCCGCACTCAGCACAGGCGTGGGGCCGCTCCCCAGCGTGGCCCTGCCGGTGCAGCTGCAGCTCCCCGTGCTCCTCAAAGCTCTCCCCACACAGTGAGCAGGGGTAGGGGCTGCTGGCATGGCTCTGCGGTGCGGGGGGTTGGCCTGGCTCGCCCTGGGGCCGCTCAGCCACGTGCACCCGCTGGTGTACCCGCAGGGACAGCTTGCTCTTGAAGCGCTTGGGACACTCGAGGCAGGTGAAAGGCTGCCGGCCCGTGTGGGTCTTCTGGTGGGCAATGAGGTTAGGCTTCTGGGCAAAACGCTTGCCACACTGGGTGCAGGCGAAGGGGCGCTCCCCGGTGTGGGTGCGGTAGTGGGTCACCAGGTTACCTTTCTGGTTGAAGCGGCGTCCGCAGACACCACAGGTGAAAGGCCGCTCACCAGTGTGGATGCGCTGGTGAGTCACCAGGTTGGTCTTGAGGCTGAACCTCTTGCCGCAGACATCGCAGCGGTAGGGCCCTCTCCCACGGTGGTTCTGCCGGTGCTTCACCAACCGCTCGTACTGGGGGAAGCTTCTGCCGCATTCAGGGCACAGCCAGGCCCTCCCCTCCACCTGCTTGTCCTGGAGAGCTTTGGGGGAGAGCTCATCGCCAGAGCTCTTCTCGTGCTCAGGGCATGGGTAGCACTTCTGCCCGGTGTGGCTCTTCTGGTGGGCCACGAGGGACAGCCAGAGACCGAAGCTGTTGCCGCACTGGTTACATATGAAGGGCTTCTCTGCCCCAGGGGCTGTGGGGGCCGTGGCGGTCGCCTCCCCAAGGACCGGCTGCACGCCCAGTGGCCCCAGGAGGTGCGGGCCATGGGTGAAGGCTGCTGTGCCAGCACCAGGAGCCTCAGTGGTGGGACAGTGTTGTGGCCTGAGGAGAGCCACCTTCTGGCAGAAGCCCTCCCCACACTGGACACAGGGGAAGGTCTGCTCACCCAGGGCAGCGTGCTGTGGTGGCAGGAGTGGCTCCTTTGGGGGAAAGCTCTTCTCTGTGCAGGAGTACAGCTCCTGGCCCTCAGGGATCTTCTGAATGGGCAGTGGCGGCACAGAACTGAAGGGGGGCTCTTGCTCAGGCCCCCCAGGCTGCAGCAGGGTGGGTGCAGCCCCATAGGGCAGCCCAGCAGCAGGACTGCGGCCTGGGCAGCGCCGCTGGCGTGGGGCATGTGTCTTCTGGTGGGCTTTGAGGGAGACCTTGTCCTTGAAGCACTTCTGGCACTGCCCGCAGGGGAAGGGGCGGAGGTCCGTGTGGGTGCTCTGGTGCGTCACCAGGTTGGTTTTCTGGGTGAAGCGCTTGCCGCACTGGGTGCAGGCGAAGGGGCGCTCTCCAGTGTGGACACGGTAGTGGGTCACCAGGTTGGTCTTCTGGTTGAAGCTCCTGCCGCAGAGGAAGCAGGTGAAGGGCCTCTCACCAGTGTGGATGCGTCGGTGGGTGATGAGGTTGGGCTTCTGCCGAAAGCTCTTCCCACACTCAGGGCACACGAAGGGGGTGTCCTCCTGGTAACTCCTCCCTTGGGATCGCAGCTTTGGCTTGCCGGAACCACCATCCTCCTGCTCGCCGCCCGCTAGTGCCTTGTCCCCAGCGGCATGGATGCGCTGGTGTGCTAGGAGGTTGGCCTTCTGGCTGAAGCTCTTGCCACACTGCGTGCAGGGGAATGGGCGCTCCCCGGTGTGTACACGGCGGTGGGTCAGGAGGTTGGGGCGCTGGCTGAAGCTCTTTCCGCAGTCCCCGCACCGGTAAGGCTTCTCCCCGGTGTGTATCCTCTCGTGTGTGATGAGGCTTTGCTTCTGGCGGAACCCTTTCCCGCACTGGGCGCAGCGGAAGGGGCCAGCGCCGAGCTGCGGTACCCAGCAGGCCACCCGGGTGGACAGCGGGCTGAGGCTGGTGGCGCTGTCTCGCTCCGTGCCGGCGCGCTCTGGTGCGCGCTGCCCAGCGTGGAACCAGCGGCTGGAGCTGCTGGTGGTGGCTGGGTACAGCTCCAGGGCCCCAGCAGCTACCCCAGGCTTCTCCTCGGGCTGCTCGACTTTGTTCACTCGGCCGGGCTCAACTGGATGGGTTGCAAAGAGATTTGGGATGTTAATTTTAGGCTTTCGTGGGATCAGAGAACATCTCAGGCTGGAACTCACAAGGATCATCAAGTGTGATTCCTGGCTCCTCACAGCACTGCCTGACCTGAACCACTGTGGGCTGTACCACTCTGAAGGATCACAGCCATTCCCAGAGCCTGCTCCACCCCCACCTTGCTTACAGCAGTGCTGGCAGCAGTAGCACAGCAAGGACGTGCTGTTAAGTGGCCAGAGATAGCTGCAAACTGGTCTCAAAAGGCCATAAATGGCCTGGAACGGCCACATGATGGCCCAAGTTATTTGGAAACTGGTCAAAAATGGCTGCAAACTGGCCCCACACTGGTCCACATGGCCTACATACTGGCCCCAAGTGGCCACAAACTGGTAAAATATGGCTGCAAACTAGCCCAAAATGGCTGCACACTGGCCCCAAATGGCTGCAACTGGCTGCAAACTGCCCCAAAATGCCAGCAAACGGCCCCAAAATGCCAGCAAAACTGGCCCCAAATGGCCCCAAACTGCCCCAAATGCAGGCAAACTGGCCTCTAATGGCCAGAGACTGGCCCAAAATGGTTGCAAACTGGCCCTAAATGGCTGAAAGCTAGCCTAAAATGACTGTGCACCAGCCCCAAATAGCCAGATACCGGCCCCCAAAATGGCCCCAAATTGGTAAAAAACGGCTGCATACTGGCGCCAAAGGGCTGCAAACTGGGCCAAAAAGGCCCAAAACGGTTGCAAACTAGCCCTGAAGAGCCTCTGCCCACAAGAGGACATTCCCGCACCCACCCAGGGCCGTTTCCCTGTGGTGCCGCAGCCGGCACCGTGTCGCAGGGTGCACTCACCCGCACAGGGGCTCACGAGGATCTTGCTGTCCTCCTGCATCTGCTGCCCTTCGGGGTACGGTTCCTCCGACTGCTTGATGCCAAACAACCCGCCAGGCTTGAAGAACCTGTAGCCTGTTTGGAGGGATAAGAGCCGGTCACCGGGAACCGGCACACTGCAGAACGTTCGCACTGGGCACAGACGTGGTCATGAAGAAGCTAAAATTAACGAGGCTGGGGGGCATCGCTTTCATCTATTTTAAGCTGTTGCTGCCTGGAGTGTAATTAAAAGATAAAAGGAAATACCAGCACCTGGCTCCCTCCTCCTGGCAAGGCAGAAGGCGGGAAGGAGTGCCATTCCTTGGAAGACAGCACTCACCGGGTAACTGCAGATCCGGCGTAACGCTTTTCCGATCGGATTTCAAAGGCTACCGCAAAAATGCGCTTAATTCCAGGCTGGGCCTCCCAAGAAGAGGCTCCATCTTGAGCAGTGCAGCTCGGGGTGGGGGCAGAGTGGGTGAAGGAGCTGCCTCGGGGTGTGGATTCCTCCCAGGGGAGCCACATCTGCACACGTTTACATACACCACTCCTAAATCCCCCCCCACCCGGTCAAGAGGAGCAGTCAGTTGGAAGTGGGGTTCCCGCAGGATAGACTGGAGAACACCCAAGGGCACCCACAACCCTGTATCACCTGTGCAGGGGTCGGACGGGATCTCAGTGCCGACAGCATCCAGCTCGTGTCCGGCTCTTGGCACCTCACTCAGCCGGGGGTATGGCAGCAGGTTCAGGGCGTGGGAAGGCTGGTGATGGAGAGAGGAGAAGGGGTTTCAGCAGGTCCCCATTGTGGGTTTGGGGCTGTTTCTTTGGGGTTTTTGGCTGGTGGGATGAGGGGAGGGACCATCCCCCTGTGCTCGACACTGGTGAGGCCACACCTCAAATCCTGCGTTCAGTTCTGGGGCCCTCAGGACAAGACAGACACTGAGGTGCTCAAGCCAGTCCAGAAAAGGGCAACAAAGCTGGCAAAGGGTCTGGAGCACAAGGCCTGTGAGGAGCTGCTGAGGACACTGGGGTTGTTTAGAAGAGAAGGCTCAGGGGAGACCTTATCGCTCTCTAGAACTTCATGAAAGGAGGTTGTACTGGGGTGGGGGTCGGTCTCTTCTCCCAACTAACAAGCAATAGGACAAAAGGGAAACAGCCTCAAGCTGCACCAGGGGAGGGTTAGATTAGATATTGGGAAAAATTTCTTCACCAAAAGTGTTGTCAAGCACTGGCACAGGCTGCCCAGGGCAGTGGTGGAGTCACCACCCCTCGAGGGATTTAGATGTGTAGATGTGGCACTTGGGGACATGGCCTTGGCAGTGCCAGTTTAATGGTTGAACCCAATCTTAAAAGTCTTTTCCCACTTGAAGAATTCCCTGATCGAAAGGATGGGCTTTGGGATCAGTACCCACAAACCACCACCAGCCCCACAGTGAGGTGATGGGCACACCACACCACTTTCAACAAAAGCCCTTGCACCCCTTGAACCTGAACTTGAGAGCTAATGGAGGAGGGGGGGATCCTGACTCGCAGGATCACCCCTGAAGTGTTCTCCTGGCACTCTGGATTCACAAACCCCATCCCACCCCATCCAACAGGATCCCTTCATGGGATCAGCCAGCCCACCTGGGGTCTATGCCTGGGGAGGGAACCCCTGCACAGATCCAGACTGGCTCTTCCTGGGAAGCTCTAAACCCAATCCACCCATCTTCACACCCCACACTCCCCCCCCAGGATTCCTCCCCTCTTCCCTCGGAACTCCTCCACAGCTTGGCAGGAGCGAGGGGAGCAGATGGCAGGAGACGCGGCACCCGCCGCGCTCTGACGCCTGCCGTGACTTTCAGAAGCGCCAATTTAGAAGAAAATAAAACTCTTGTGGGGGGTTTGCTCAGCAACTCGGGGAGAAAAGCACCGGGAGAGCTTCCACCCACCTGGAAAACCCCCAAATCCCCCCCCCTTCCCCCCCCAAATGGAAAAGGAGCCGGGATCCCTCTGGCCACCCTGACTGCTCTGCCACGGCTGGAAGGGGCCACGCTCCAGCAGCCATTCCACTGGGATGGCAAGGAACCCGTTACCCCCCTTCTCCACGTACCTGGGGCGCTCCCCCTGCAGACATGGCTCCCCTCGGGGCCGCCCGGCGAGGGGAGAGGACATGAGCGCCGGGGAGGGCGCCGGGCGGCGGCCGTGCTTCCCCTCCGCCTTCCGCCACGGTCGCGGGCTCCGCTCGTCCCCGACTTCCTCCAAATGGCTGCTCCTGGGCCCTGGCAGAGCAAGAGAGAAGAGCCGGTGAGCAGGGAAGCGCCGAGAGGCGAAGCTCGGCCGCACAGGGAGAGGCCCCGCTGTGTCTGTATCCCCCCTCCTCCTCCTCCTCCTCCTTCTCCTCCTCCTCCTCCTCCCCCGAGTTATTTTAGGGGAGAGGAAGGCGCTGACCCCGGCTCTGGCCCGGATTCGTTCTGTTTACGGCAAAGCTTCCACGCCGCTGCACGCGCAGCGCTAGTGGGATTTGTAGTCCATGCCAAGAGGCCCCAGCACTGCATGCTAGGGGACCGGGAAGTGCCGCTGCCGGGAAGTGCCCCAGTGTGGCCTCACCCTGTGTCACAGGGAGCGAGGGTCTAGCTCCCGGCTCCTGAACACCCACCAGGAGAGAGCCCAGACAAACGCCTCCCGTCCCAGTCTCACGCCTCACCCGTCTTCCCTAGAGGTGCCCAGCCCACTCAAGCACCCTGGCACAGCACACAGAGGATGTGGCTACTGGGAGAGCCCCTGTATCCCACATCACCCCTCCAACACTGCCAGCCTCCTTGTTCGTAGAACACGGGTTGGAATCTGGCTGGGGAGAGGGGCCGGGCCATGTGGGAGCTAGCAGGATCCCAACCCTTCCTCCCTCCCTGGTAGCACAGGGATTCTCTGGGGCAGGCACCCGTTGTGGCAACATGGTTCCAGGCATCGTTACCTTCATCATTAGGTGCCACCATGGTGAGTGCAATGGAGCTGCATCACTCCCCACAGCCATCACCAGCCCTGGCACAGCCAAAGGGCATTGGGAATGCTGTGTGGGGTGGGGATTCCTGAGGCTCTCTGAGGGCAGGCAGGGCCTCGAGCCCATGCCTGCCCATGGCACCATCCCACTGCCGTAGTCACTGCTCCAGAGGAGAGAACCAGCTCTCAGGAGCATGGGTGGAGGACTTGAACCCAAAACAGAGGGAGAGGTGCCGATGCCCCATCCCATGACACCTGGAGAAGGGGTGGGAGCAGCAGGTGGTGCTGCCACTTGATGTGACAGGTCTCCAGCGGTGGCAGAAACTGGCCATGGAGCCAGACCCAGTGTGACACCCGCAGCCCCGGCCCCCACCCCACCGGTGTTCCCACCCCAATCCCGTCTTTCACGCCCCAGGAAGCAGCGGTGCTTTCCCGCCTCTCCTCCCTGGCACGCGAGGGTACGGACACGGCAGTGGCGGGGGCACCCCGGGGGGTACCAGCACCCTCCGGTTCACCGGGATCGAAAGGCCCCGGTGCCCCGCGGCCCACACCTCCGGTACCCAACACCGCGTCCCGGGCCCCCTCCGGCCCCGGCCCCGCTCCGTGCCAGGCCGAGCGTTGCCATGGCGACACCCCCCACCCACCCCCACCCCCCGCCAGGTCCCGGAGCCGCCTCCCCGGGGAAACTCACGGGCGGGCGATGTCCCGCGACACGATGACGTCGTCGCGGCGGTGACGTCACCGCGCGCGGCGGCGGAGCGGGGGGAAAGAAGGGAGGAAAAGGAGGAGGAAAAAGAGGGGGGAAAGGGGCGCGCGCCCGCCGCCGAGCGAGAGCACTTCCGGGTCGGCTTCTCTAGCGCTGCCGGCAGCGCCCTCTGTCGGCACCAGCAGGAAGCGCTCCTCCTTCTCCCCCGCCACCCCGCTCCGGTACCGGCACCGCCTGCACCCCCGGGGGCCTTACAGCCGCGGGAGGCTCTGCCCGGGTCGGTGCGGGGTCCCGGCCACCGCCAGCACCCAGCCCTGCTCCTGTATAAAGCGCTACGTTACTGTTTTAGCTGTCGGCCATTAAACGAGCGTAACTGTCGGAGCACGGTAACAAGATGGCGGTTAAGGCGGGAAACTCTGCCAGGAGCTGGGTCAGTGGTTACACCTCGTACCAAGTCCAGCAACGTGCAGACACCACAGCATAAAGGGGTTGGCACATACGGGGAGCGGGGTCTCGAGTTGGAAGAGTGGGAGATGCGGACAAGGGCGGGACTTCACCGTGGAATGTGCAGGTGCCCCGGATAGGCTTGAGCCTCCGAGTGCCCAACCAGTGGGAAACAAGGGAGGGACTTGGCGGAATAAAGGGAAGAAGTTTGTAGCCGTTGGGTGTGTTTAGTCAGCAGGACACCCGGTTTTGCTAATAGGTTTGATAAATCACTGCAAGCAGTGTGTCTGACCTCAGTGTTCCAAAAGTGGTTTGGGTTCCAACAGACGGGGCTTGTCCGTGGTGAAGGCGTCGTCGAGGGCACCTCCGCTGCCAAAGGACGGGGAGGCGCATCCCGTTGATGCCAGTGGCCTCGCGCAGCGCCAACACCAGTTCCGCAGCCGCTGACGTGAGACCATTTGTATAAGGTGGACCCATTGAACCAGACGGGGAAAAGAGAGAAGGAAAAAGTAGTTTTTCCTTCTGTCAGCGACCAGGCAACTCCGTGTGCAGGCCAAGGTAAGAAAATGGGGTGTTAAAGTGTTACCTTGGTGGTTTGGGCACTCTGAGAGACTTGAGTGATTGTGTTTGAGAGATACAAATAAGTATGAAGCAAGTGTGGAGTCCGGATCCACATTTCTGTTAGTCCACAAGGGATACAGGCGGAGAAGGACAGAGCATAAGGACTTGTTGAAAGGACGTCTTGGGAAATAGAATGGAGAAAAAGAGTAGTAGGACTAAGGAAAAGAGGGAATGAGAAGAATCATCCCGGGAATAACTTTCCTCCAGATAGTCCCTTAGGGAGAATGTTAAAATACTGGAAAGATAAGTCCTCTACAAGAGGGAAGGGTAAGAAAAAGATGATACAGTATTGTTGTTTTGTTTGGACAAGAGAGAGTATTGAACCACTGCCCATTTTCTGGCCAGAATATGGAACGGATGAAGCTTGGGTACATCAAACTTTAAATCTGCCCATAAATAGTAAGAAAACCTTTTTGCAGGAATTATTATGCTGCATGCTGAATAGGAAACCCTGCAACTCAGTTACTTACTTTGAAAAGAATCAGTGAAAAACATGAAGAAGACGCTGGGAAGTCTGAAGCCTGGGATCCATTGAAATGTTTGCCCCTTTCCCCAATTATCGCTGGTCCACCTCCAGAAAACCCTGATGAAACTGGCTTTATTCAATCCTCTCTCCCATAAGGATGATCAGTTAACTCATCAGGGAGCTACAGCCAGTGCCCTGCCTCAGGCTGAATATTCTAACTTAACTAAAGAACCGGACCAATGTAAGGAATATCTCCTAGACTTTCCTATGCCCACGGGAAAAGAACAGCCCAAGAAAGGGGGGATTACCGAGAGCTTCTGTCTCCCATGGGAGGTTCCGCTGAGTGCAGGACAAGTAGGGTGTGTGACTGCCCCACTCACCAGCGCTGAAGTTAGAAATGTTTAAAAAAAAAAATGAAACCTTTAATCGAAGACCCTATAGGGTTAGCAGAGCAATTAGATCAGGTTTGGGGACCCAACTTTTATTCTTGGGAAGAAATAGTGTCTATAATGAATATCTTATTTACGGGAGAGGAAAGGGGAATGGTTAGAAGGGCAGCCATGACAGAGTGGAAAAGAAGGCACCCGCCTGGTCAAGGAGTTCTACCAGCAGAACACAAGTTTCCCAATGTGCAGCCAAATTGGGATAATAATAACCCAGCCCACCAGGCTAATATGAGAGATTTAAGAGACTTAATAATCCAGAGAATAAAAGAATAAAAAAAAGTTGGTCCCAAAATCTCAGAATTTTGCAAAGGCTTTTGAAACAGAACAAGAAAAAGATGACACACACACCCCCCCCCCCCCCAGTGTTCTTGCAGTGATTGAGGGATCAAATGAGGAAGTATTCAGGAATGAATCCTGAAGATGCTGTAGCCCAGGGTCTACTGAAAGTCCATTTTGTAATTAAGACTTGGCCAAACATTAGGAAAATAGATGGGTGAAGTGAAAGACCCTTAGAGGAATTACTAAGGGAAGCCCAAAAAGTTTTTGTAAAGCAAGAGGAGGAGAAACAAAGGCAAAAAAGCAAAAATGATGATGTGATGATGTCCACAGTGAATCCAGTAGTGGAAAAACAAATTAGAACCAATGGTTCAAAGGGATCGAGGAATGTGGACAAGGGGAAGAGGTATGAGGGTTGTAATGCTTCCTCCTCTTAGTAGGGGACAGGGAAGACCTTAGCAGTCACCACAGGTTGTCCAGCCATCAGCATGTTGCTTCCTGTGTGGGAAAAGTGGACATTTTAAATGTGAATGTCCCAGTCTTGAGAAGGAGGAGCAGGTAATCCTGTTGATGACCTTTGAAGATACTGAATGGGGGAGTCAGGGGTTTCTTAACTTCAAGTCCCACCAAGAACCCTTGGTAAATTTGAAAGTGGGACTTTCCTCAGGATGAGGAAGTGGGGTTTTCTTAGTTGATATGGGAGCTGCTCAAACCTCATTAAACTTTATACCCCAAGGATTGAAACTATCTGATCAAAACCTGATAGTCTCAGGAGTAAAAGGAGAAGGATTCCCAGTCCCCGTGTTTGAAAACACCATGTTAAAATTAGGAAATAAAACAACTAAAGGGAATTTTTTATATATTCCTGAGGCATGGAATGCATTAGGAAGAGATTAGATTGTACAATTAGGATTATGTTTATGGTCCTATTAACAGAAAAAGATGAAAAGGAAATAGATCCAGTAGTTTGGGTGAAAGAAAGAAATAGGGGAAGACTGGACATACCCTTTAAAAATCAAGTTGAAAAGGGAAGGTGACGTGGTAAACCAAAAGCAATATCCTATCCTACTGGAAGGACACAAAGGGCTTCAGGCGGTCATAGAAGCTTTGATCAAAGATGGGCTGTTGAAACCCTGTGTGTCCCCTTTTTACCTGTAAGAAAATCCGACAGGTCACATCGTTTGGTCCAGGATTTGAGAAAACTGAACCAAATAGTCCAAGTCTGGCATCCAGTGGTCCTCAATCCTTATACCTTAATGAGCAAAATATCACATGAACATGAATGGTTCAGTGCTGTGGATCTGAAGGATGCCTTTTTGGCATGCCTGTTGGATCCACAAAGCCGAGACGTGTTTGCATTGGAATGGGAGGACCCCTACATGGGGCATAAACAGCAGTTTAGATGGATGGTGTTGCCGCAGGGATTTACAGAGTCACCAAATTTATTTGTGCAGGTGTTAGAACAAGTATTAGAAAAATTCAGACCACCCCCATGCGTCACCCTGTGGCAATATGTGGATGATTTGTCAATTTCAGGGAAAAAGAAAGAGGCAGTAGCAGAACAAACACATTACTAAACTTTCTGGGAGAACAAGACCTAAGAGTATCGAAGAACAGATTGCAGTATGTAGAAAAAGAGGTCAAATACTGTCCTGGTTTCAGCTGTAACAGTTATTATTCTTCTTAGTAGCTGGTGCAGTGCTGTGTTCTGGCTTTAGTCTGAGAACAATGCTGATAACACACCGATGTTTTAGTTATTGCTGAGTAACGCTCACTCCAGTCAAGGACTTTTCAGTCTCTCACACTCTGCCAGTGAGGAGGGGCACAAGAAGACGGGAGGAAGCAGAGACAGGACACCTGACCCAAACTAACCAAAGAGGTATTCCATACCACAGCACGTCATGCCCAGGATATAAACTGGGGAGAGTTACCTGGAAGGAACAGTCACTGCTCAGGTCAGGCTGGGTATTGGTCAGCAGGAGATGAGCAATTGCATTGTGCATCTCTGCTGTTTATTGGTTTCTTTTCCTTCTCCCCTTTTAGTTTTATATTCTCTTCCCTTGTTATTTCCCTTATCATTATTATTATTGGTGGCGTCAGTAGTGGTTTGTGTTATACCTTAGTTAATGGACTGTTCTTATCTCAACCCATGGGATTCATATTCTTTCAGTTCTCCTCCCCATCCTGCCGGGAGTCAGTGGGGGGAAGAAGGGCGGGAGTGAGAGAGTGGTTGCATGGTTCTGAGTTATCGGCTGGGCTTAAACCGTGACGAAGACCTGGAACACTTAATCAGTGAAGGAAAGGGAAATATGAACCTAGAGGGAATAAAAAAAATAGTTGAATTACCTCTCCCAAGGACTAAAAAGGAGCTGAGAAAGTTCCTAGGGCTGACAGGCTCCTGTCACCTGTGGATTGAGTCATACGCACTAAAGACAAAGGGGTTGTACTTAGAATTATTAGAAGAACCACCTGTTTTTTTAGAAGAAGAACTAGTGCAAAAGCTAAAACAAAGTTTGATAACTGTTCCCGTGTTAGCTTTACCGTCCCTAGACAAACCCTTTCATTTATTTGCCCCACGGGAACGGCTCTGGGAGCCATGGGCTTGGAACTGGGAGATGAATGACAGCCCGTGGCCTGCCTTTCGAAATTATTTGATCCAGTCTCCTGAGGATGGCAGAGTGTGCACAAGCAGTTGCAGCTACTGACTTTTTGGTAGAGAAAAGTAAAAAACTAACGTTTGGAGGAGCACTTGTGGTAAGCACTCCACATCAAGTAAAAATCTTAACTGAGAAGCAGGGAGATGGCTTACTGATTCCAGGATTCTGAAATACAAAGCTGTATTAATGGAAAAAGATGATCTGGTCTTAACTCCTGGTTTGTGTCTCAATCCAGCCACCTTTTTGTGGAAAGGGGAAGCAAATGGTCAGAATCTTGAACCCAATTGCCTTGACATAGTAGAGTACCAAGCAAAGGTACATCCTGATCTAAGAGATATACCATTAAATGCTGGCCTCCACCTAGTCATTGGTGGCTCCTCCAGTGTCATACAGGGGAAAAGGCACAATAGTTATGCAGCTGCTGATGGGAGCAATCACGGTATAAGGGAAGCAGGGCGACTACCAAATACTTGGTCAGCCTGAACATGTGAATTAAATGCCGTGAACCAGGCTTTACAAATATTAGAAGGAAGTGAAGGAACTATCTATACAGACTCCAAATACGCCTTTGGAGCCATATAAAATGTTATTTGGTCTACCATATGTGGGTAAAGTAGGTGAGATCCTGCAGTTTGAAACCAAAAATATCTTCCTAAAGAATTATATACTGGAGCTATATTCTTCCTTGTCTTTTCTCAGAAACAAAGGACTCCACGCTCAAACGCCACCCTTGGAATTCACAGTTCATACCATTCAACCAGGGGACCAGATACTGATCAAGTCATTGAAGGACTTTAAATTACAGCCTATGTTGGACAGCCCATTTCATGTACTGTTGACCACTGAAACTGCTGTGAGGACTGCCGGAAAAGGTTGGACACACTATACAAGGATAAAAGGACCAGTGGAACTCCCATCTGAAGACTGAGTACAATCAACTGGGAACCCCCTCTATATTAAGATAAAGAGACAATAAGCATACACTCCTGCTTCCAAACATTTGTAAGAACCTTTATAAGATTATCTTGTATTTGCTGTGCTGAAAACATAGGTTTTGGGGATAAAAGAGAAAGGCAGGAGACTGATTAGCAGAAAAAGAAAAAATGTGGAAGATCATAGTGATAATGACCTTTTGTTTATTAGGAGTTCAAGGAAAAAGTTTGGAACAAGAAGCCTATGTTGAGCAAATGAGAGAATTGCTGGGATACCCAGTCAAATTGCAGATAAATATTACTAAGGCACAGAATCCACAAACTATCCAATTTGACGCCTGTCAAGTGCTCAAGTGTGGAGATCTAAAAGAGCAAAGGAAATTAAGCAGTCACGATAAATACTTATGCCCAGAGTATTATCTCCAGCCATACTGGGGACCACCTTGTCCCGGGTGGAGTGATGTTTGGTTTACCACTGCCTTTAATGGCTGGGTCTCACCCAACGCTTGGGGAAAGTCTCTAAAAAGTAAAATTGCAATGTTTAAAGGTCACGTAGACCCTGACTGTAAGGACTTAGAATGCAATCCCGTAATACTTACCATTACAAATGCTGATGGGGAAGTAAGCCAAACTTACGGCCTTGGGGCAGATGTGCCAGGAAAAGATCCACTTGCTAGACTTCAAATTGTAGTTTGGGAACCAAAGAGAAATGAACATACCCAAACTACAGACACTACCATTCCTCCACCAAATAATCCTAAGGTAGAAAAGGGGAAAGATTTGAAGCGGACGTCTGAAACAGAAACAGGATATGGAGATACAAATACCAGGGTAGAATTGGTCAAATACAGAGTGAAAAGCTTAAACAGAAGCAATTGCGATGCATGTGCTTCAGGGCGACCTACAGCACAGGTAGTCCCTTTTCCTTTAGGATGGAGTAAAGATGCACAAGGAATGAGGTGTATGATCGCATTGTACCAGGAAAGGACTGCATGGGGAAACGAAGCCTGTAAGTCTCTTTCATTGCTGTTCCCTGCACTACGAAAGAAGGATATCAAGGTACCCCCAACCTTCTCCTCGGCAGCTGGTAACCATACAGCTTGTCTCTCACGGAAGGGTGCGAGTGCTACGAAAGATCTTGGACAGCTGGAGATGTGCACGGAATTGCTAAATGTGGCTGAGGAGGAAACAGGTAATTACTCAGCTCTGAGTATCCCCAGAGCGGACCTGTGGTGGTATTGTGGAGGGAGAGTCTTGAGACCTACGCTTCCTCCAAATTGGAAAGGCACGTGTGCAATTGTCCAGTTGGCCATTCCGTTTACCCTGGCATTTGAAAAGGGAACAGCACCTTAGAATTCATGCAAAAAGCAAATATTCAAACAAAAAGGAGGAATTGTGAAAAGTATTAAGATACTGGTTTTGCAGTCAGCCATTAACTGAACGTAACTGTCGGAACACAATGGCAAGGCAGGAAGCTCTGTCAGGATCTGGGTTAATGGTTACAGCTCATAACAAGTTCAGCAATGTGCAGAAACCGTAACATGACAGGGGGTTAGCAAATAAGGGGAGTGGGCTCTCAGACCGGAGTAGTGGGAGATGCAGAGAGGGGCGGGACTTCATATGGGATGTTGGATAGGCTGTGCACCTTGGAGTACCCAACCAGTGGGAAACAAGGGAGGGACTTTGCGGTCGGGGATAGGGAATAAAGGGAAGAACTCTGTAGTCACTGGGTGTGTTTACTCACTAGGACACCCATTTTCACAAAAACATTCAATAAATCACTGTTTCACTGCTGTGGCTGACCTGAGTGTTCACAAGAAAAGTGTTTAAGATTCTAACACTCCAGGATGGAGACCTCAGCCCCACTGTGGTGCCCCAGCTGGAAGCAGGGTGTTGGTCTCAGCCAGCCTGCCCCCCCCCCCCCCCTTGAGGCTGATGTGCTGGGCCCCCCTCTCCCTCCAGGCCTGTTGTGTGGCCCTGGAGTTCCCCCATGGAGAAGGGGGTTACCCATGGTCAGTACCCCGAGGCTCTAATCCGACACCCCCAGTCACACTGTCGCACAGTGGGGGAGAGCCTTTGGGGGTCCCTTCCTGCCACAGCGACGTCTGGCTGCCAGGCCTGAGCAGCTTTCCTGCCCCAGGCTAAAGATCTGCTTCCCTGCTCCAGCTCCTTGGCAGCGCTTCCCACGGGACATGAAGCTGGGGTGACCTGGTGTCCCCCCGGTGTGCTGCGGTAGCCGTGGCCAACCCCTCCTACTGTGGCTGTGCCAGAGGGGCCGTGCCGAGGGTGGGTTTGGGGAGGGGGGGGGGGGCACACACGCTGCGCAAGCGGGGCCGGCCCTGGGGCGGAAAAGAGGGCAGATCCCAGGAAATCGGTTAATGAAAGACCAACACCGGCAGCGGGTCGATCGCTGCGGTTCCCCGGGGTCAGGCAGGCCCCTGCCACAGGGATGAGGCTCCTGTTAGCCCTCTGCCTGGGCCTGGTGGCCCTGGCTGCTGCCAGCCAGTCCCCGCTGCAGCGGCGGGTGGTGAAGGAGGTGCTGGACTATTTCCACGGGCGCAGCAGCGTGCATTTCCTCTTCAAGGAGCAGGCGGTGGAAGGGGCCGTCGAGCGGGTGAGCGCTGGGGCTGCGGAGGCAGCCGAGCCTCCTGCCCCATGTCATCGGGGATGGTGGGGAGGGGGTTGGGGTGACGGAGTGTCCTGGAGGAGGGCCAGGGGGCAGCCCCATGGGCACGGATGGTCGTGGGGAGTCAGAGCTCAGCTACTCATTAACCACTGGTGCCTGGCTACACCAGGAGCACTGACATTGGGCCTTGATTGTTAATCAGGAAGGGCTGTGGGCTCTGGGACCCCGAGTTTGGGCCACCTCATGAGGTGCCAGCAAGCTGGATGTCCCCTTGGGGTTGGGGTCCCCCCGATGTTCTAAGCAGCCCCTGGCACAGGGTTGGCATGGCACTGAGGGTATGGCACTGACAGTCCCATGTCGGCCACTCCGTCCCCCTGCTGTGGCTGACCTGCAGTCCCATATCCCTGCAGGAAGACTCCTCAGGAACCTTTGTCCAGCTGCGGGTCAACCTGGTGCAGACGGCCTGCAGCAAGCGGGCACTGCGCCGGCAGAACTGCAGGGTCCTGGAGAACCGGGTGAGTTAGAGCTGGCAGCGGGCACATCCCGCAGGGACACAGCACCTCTATCTGCCCCTGCCCCCAGGGAGGGCTGGGGGGGACAGCAGCTCCAGCCATGGCATGGCAAGTGGCACCCATGGTGGCCAGATCCCAGGCACAGCTACAGGTTGGGGGAGACTGGATTCAGAGCAGCCCTGCGGAGAAGGACTTGGGGGTGTTGGTCCATGAGAAACTGAACATGAGCCGGCTTCAGTGTACGCTCACAGCCCAGAAAGCCAAGCGTATCCTGGGCTGCATCAAAAGGAGCGTGACCAGCAGGTCGAAGGAGGTGATCCTGCCCCTTTACTCTGCTCTCGTGAGACCTCACCTGGAGTATTGTGTGCAGTTCTGGTGTCCTCAACATAAAAAGGACATGGAACTGCTGGAACAAGTCCAGAGGAGGGCCACGAGGATGATCAGGGGACTGGAGCACCTCCTGTATGAAGACAGGCTGAGAAAGTTGGGGCTGTTCAGCCTGGAGAAGAGAAGGCTGCGTGGAGACCTCATAGCAGCCTTCCAGTATCTGAAGGGGGGCTATAGGGATGCTGGGGAGGTACTCTTCATTAGGGACTGTAGTGACAGGACAAGGGGTAACAGGTTCAGACTTAAACAGGGGAAGTTTAGATTGGATATAAAGAAGAAATTCTTTACTGTGAGGGTGGAGAGGCACTGGAACAGGCTGCCCAAAGACGTGGCAAATGCTCCATCCCTGGCGTTGTTCAAGGCCACGTTGAACGAGGCATTGAGCCACCTGCTCTGGTGGAACTGGATGATTTTAAGGACCTTTCTAACCCAAACCATTCTAAGATGCTGTGTTGCTATGACATGAACATGCCACGCTCTCCCTGCAGAGGAAGCCAACCTGCCTGGCTTGCTACAAGTTTGACAGCAGTGATGTCTCCAAGGTGCTGGACAAGTACCACAACTGCGGCCCCAGCCATCACCTGGCAGTGAAGGTGAGCTGACCCCCAGCACCAGCACCAGCACCAGCACCGGGCAGTGCTGCGGTGGGTGCCAGCATTGTTCTCTGCTCCACAGGAGATCAAGCACCGGGACGAGGCTGAGTGCCGGGCAGTGGAGGAGGCCGGCAGGGGCGGGGATGCGCTGTACCTGCCTGGGATGTATGCCTTCTCCAAGGGCCTGCCGGCCTAGGCCCCAACCCCTCACGGTAGGTGCCACCCGCAGCACCCCAGCATCCCCGGTGGGATGGGGGGGGCTCCACTGCCAAGATCGGAGCCAGATTGGGACCCCCAGCCAGGGGGCATCTGCCAGGGCTGCACCTCCAGGGTGAGCTGGCCCTGGGGACATGACGTGGGTGACAGGGTGATGGGGAGTGAGGGGTCCCACTCACAACCAGCCCTGCCTCCATGTCCCCCTCCAGGTCGCCGCCACCCTGAGGACACGGACGCCACCCTGGGGTCCCCCCGCTTGCCGCCCTCCAGCACTGCGTGACCGCAGGACACCCCTTGCCCACCACAACTCAGCAGTAAACCCGGCTCTGGCTCCTGGTGTTGCTGCTGTTATTCCCATTGGGGGACTGGGGGGGGCTCAGGTGGGGGGCTCCAGGTGCATCACCCCCCACCCGCTGTCCCCAGTGGGGAGGAGGGATGAGGAGCAAGCTCCCCCTGGCTGCTCGGTGCCCAGGATGACACAGCACAGAGGGACCTGGGAGGACACATGTGAGGACAGCACGGCTTTACTGCATGGCCCCATGATGGCCCCCAGGCCTCATGATGTTTATGTGACATCCCCATGGCCCTGTGATGTCCCCCAGTCCCACGATGTCCTCTGGTCCCTGTGACATCCCCACAATGTGCCATGGACACCACAACACCCCCCAGTCCCCACAATGTCCCCATGACATCCTCTGGTCCCCACGATGGCCCCACAATGTCCCTATGACACTCCCGGGTCCCCACAATGTCCTCATGACATTCCCAGACCATCTCCTGGTCCCTGTGTGTCACCTCCCAGCCCCGCAGCCTCTCCTCCAGGCTGGATAGCTCAAGACTGGCCCCAGGTCTCCAAGGACATCACTGCTCCCCTCACTGCTCCACCAGGCACAGGGAGCCCTGGTCAGCCCCCAGCCCGGAGCCCCAGTGATGGAGTAAAGCCAAGCAGTCCCATGGCTGCCTCTGGTGCTGCCCCAGCTGCCCATTCCCTGAGCTCCTCTCTCGGGTCCGGGCACAGCACAGCTCAGAAGACAAAGGAGCTGGGGTCATGGCGGGTGCTGAGCGCCCGCTCTGCCTGGGCAATGGTGTCGTCGGCGCGGCGGCCCAGCTCCCGGCACTCCTGCAGCACCTCCCTGAACTGTCTGTACGCCTCCTCCATGATGGAGCTGCGCCGCGGCGGCCGCGGCTCCCAGAAACCAGCCTCTACCCAGGGCTGAGCTGCACGGGGTGGGTCAGCACCGGCACCGCCGCCGGCACCACCACCGGCACTGTGTCCCAGCGAGCTGTCGAGATCCCGGCAGAGCTGGTAGAGCTCACTGCCGCAGCCGGCCACCCGCTCGCCGTCAATGGCCTTGAGGCCGGGCAGCATGTCGGCCAGCGCGTCGCGGTAGGCAGCCACGGCACAGAGCGGGTTGTCAAGACGGGCAAGGGGGTCACGCAGTCGCAGGCTCTCGAGGTGCCGCAGCCCCGCCAGGCACCGCAGTGCCCGCAGGCTGCTCACCAGGTTGCCGGCCAGGTTGAGGCTCTGCAGGCTGCGGCAGGAGGCAAGCGGCTCCAGGCTGGACACGCGGTTGCGGGACAGGTTGAGGACAGCAAGGGAGCGGAGGGCAGCCAGCGGCCCCAGCTGGGCGATGGCGTTGCCAGACAGGTCCAGCCACTCCAGGTTGGTGCAGTCGCCCAGGCAGCCCAAGTGCGCGATGCCGCGGCCCCGCAGGCGCAGCAGCAGGATGGACTCCAGAGCAAACTCGCCAGTGGCGGCCTTCAGCAGCTGCGGGGTGATCCGCACCCCTTCCTCCTCCTCCTCTTCCTCCTCCTCCTCCTTGGCAGCTGCCTCACTGTGACCCTCCATCCCAGCCGGGGACCCTGGATCTGTCAGCTTGACAGGGGGGAAGAAGGAGGCGATGGGTTATGGGGGAGGCAGCCCTGCACTCTGAGACCTCCAGCTGTGGGTCTGGAGCCTGGAGGGAAAAATGGGGTCGGTGGCTGGCACCCATTGGGTTGCTCTGGGGTGCATGGACATGTGTGGGGCACCTGTGGGTACAAGTGGGGCATGCTATGGGGTATCTCATGGGTGCAGGGAGATGCGGACCCATGGGGTATCCCAGCGGTGCAAGAACATGGGGACATGTGGGATGCCCTGAGGGGTATGGGGACATGTGCGGTACATGGTGGAGTATACCGGGGTGCAAGGGCAGAAGGAGGCATGGGGTTCCCTTAGCGCATGAGGCCACGTACAGGGGGCACCACAGGGGGCACCACGGGGTGCCCTGGGACATGGGGCAAATCACAAGGTGCCCTGGTGGCATGCACTGGGCAAACCGTGGGGTGCTGGGGCACATGTGGGGCATCCTGGGGGTGCAGGGACAAGTGTGGGGCACACCGTGGGATGGGTATTTTGGAGATGCAGGGACACGCGTGGGGTCCAGAGCCCATGTGGGGCGAGGGGGCCGTGTACACGAGTGGGGCAGATCCATGGGGGGCTTCGGGGGATGGAGGACACGCGTGGGGGACCCCTAGACCCACCCCCCCCACCCCAGGTGTCCCCTGCTCCCCTCCGGCCCCGTTCCCCCGCTGCCCCCCGTTCCCCCCTCCCCAGCTCACCGCACGGCGGCTCCCGGCAGCCCCCGCGGCCCCGCCCCCCGTTGCCATGGAGACAAGCGGCCGCACCGCCCCCCCCGCAGTGACCGCGTCCGTCCCCCCCCCCCCCAGACCGAACACGGACCCCGCGCACAGGGACGGGACCCACCCGCGGCTCCCGCTGGCCCTAGCGCCCCCAACCCGGACCCCGGGTCGTTCGAGCAGATCCGGTTTATTGAATGGTCCCACCCCACCCGCCGGTTCAGAGCCACAGTGCCTCTGGCAGCCCCGGCGCCGCGCTCGGGGCCATGCGCTGCACTGCCGGTGGCAATAGGGAACTGCACTGGAGCCAACCGGCACCCGAGGATGCGGCCCGGCTGGCGCTGTGGGTAGCAGCTGGCAGTGAGCCCCACTGAGGGGTCACCGGCCTGGGGACGGTACTGAGGATGCATCACTGGGAGCTGCCAGGATCCCTGGAATGTCCCAGCATATTCTGGTGTTTGGCCTTCAGAATTCCCCAACACACCTCACATCTGCACACCACAGCGCTCAGTCCCCAGGGACCCCACACGTCCTGGCGTGTCCCAGCATGTCCTGGTGCCCAGGGACCCCAGCAAGTCCAGGCGCTCAGCTCCCGGCACGTCCTGGTGCTCAGCCTTTGGGAACCATGGCACACACCGGCATATCCCAGCATGCCCAGTGCTCAGCCCCCAGAGTCCCCGGCATGTCCTGGCACTTGGCCTTTTGCACATCTAGCACATCCTGGCACGGCACATCCTAGTGCTCAGCTCCCAGGGACCCCGGCACATCTCACGATGTCCCAGCATACAGTCCCCAGGGTCCCCAGCACATCCTGCTGCTCACGCCCCGGCATCCCCATCCCAGCACTGGTCCTCCAGTGCTCATGGGCAGATCGCGGTGGGTGCCGGCGCGGCGGGTGCCGTCCAGCTCTGCTGTGGCACACTGTCTGCAGCGGTGGTGTTGGCAGCAGCGTGCGTGCGCTCGTGGCGCAGGAGGTGCGTCTTGCGGCTGAAGCTCTTGCCGCAGTGGGTACAGATGTAGGGCCGGTGCCCAGTGTGCACCGCCTGGTGCCGCACTAGGTTGGTCTTGGAGCTGAAGCGCTTGCCACACTGTGCACAGGCGTGGGGCCGGGTGCCGGTGTGCACCGCCTGGTGCCGTGCCAAGTGCGACTTGCGCCCGAAGCCGCGACCACACAGCTCGCAGGCGAAGGGCCGGGTGCCGGCGTGCACCTTGGCGTGTGCCACGAGGTTGGTCCGGGAGCCAAAGCGCCGGCCGCACTGTGGGCAGGCGAAGGGCCGCTCACCCGTGTGCACCCGCAGGTGCCGCAGGAGGTGCTGGCGCAGGGTGAAGGCACGGGCGCACTGCGGGCAGGTGAAGGGCCGCTCGCCGGCATGCGCCAGCTGGTGCGTGGCCAGGTTGGGCTTGTGGCTGAAGGTCTTCTCGCAGTGTGGGCAGGCAAACGGCTTCAGCCCCATGTGCCCCCGCAGGTGCGCCGTCAGGTGCCGCTTGTCGCCAAAGCCGCGGCCGCACTCGGCGCAAGTGAAGGGCCGGCCCTCGCGGTGCAGCCGGCGGTGTGATGCCAGGTTCTTCTTCCAGCTGAAGCTCTTCCCACACTCGGGGCAGGGGAAAGGCTTCTGCTCAGCTGCGACCCCCTCACCGTCTGCTGTCTCCGCTGGCTCGTCGTGCAGGCGCTGGTGCCGCAGGAGGTGCTGCTTGTGTGCAAAGCAGCGGCCGCAGCGGGTGCAGGGGAAGGGCCGCTCGCCCGTGTGCGTGCGGTGGTGCCGCACCAGGTGCGTCTTCTTGCGGAAGCGGCGGCCGCATTCAGGGCAGGGGAAGGGCCGCTCACCTGTGTGTGTCTTCTGGTGTGAGCGCAGGTGGATCTTCTGCCGGAACCGGCGCCCGCACTGCCCGCAGGGGTAGGGCCGCTCGCCCGTGTGCACCCGCAGGTGCCGCGTCAGGTGAGCCTTCTTCCCAAAGCCCTTCCCGCACTGCGCACAGGCAAAGGGCCGCTCTGGGGCCGGCGTCCTGCAGCACCCGTGGGGCTGGGGCTCACCGTCGTTGCCGTCACCGTCGCCCACCGGCATCCCTGGGCTGAGCCGTGCCTGGCAGCAGCGCTCACAGCTGCCAGCGCCAGCCAGGCTCTGGCTCAGCAGTGGCCATGGTGGCAGGGTGAAGGCGGGCAGTGTGCCGTAGCCCAGCTCCTCCGGGAGCAGCGGCTCTGGTTTGCAGGCACAGGCACCGGTGCAGTCCGGTATGCCTGCTGTGTGGGGGAAGGCACCATCCGGAGCCTGCCCCGCCAGCAGGGCCTCAGTGCCGGGGCCAGCTGACCACTCTTCATCCTCCTCTTCCACCTTCACCTTCCTCACCAGCCAGTCCTCTGCAGGGCACACACAGCCAGGTGGTGGGACACAGTGCTGAGGATGGGCGGCTCCAGCACATGGGGACCAAGCCAGCATCCCTGTGCTGCCACTGTGTGCCCAGCAGTGCCGGGGCTGTGCCGGGCCACCTGGTAGGTTTGCTGTGTGCTGGTGCCGCCAGCCTGTGCCCTCACCTGAGCAGCTGAGCTCCAGGCCCCCCAGCTCCCCGGCAGCCCCCAGCTCTGCGCTGTCACCCCCAGCCATCTCCTCGGCCTTGGGGACCACCAGCTGCACTGTGGAGACAATGGGCGCGAAGCCACAGGGTCCCCCACTGGCTCTGTCATGGCCCCTTGGGGACCCCAGAGCCCTGTGGAGTGAGGCGATGGGCAGGGAAGGGGCAGGACCCACCTGAACCGGCACAAGCCGGCACCTCCATCTTCTCCGCCTGCTCCAGCACTGGCTCCGGCTCCGGCTTAGCCATGAGGGACCCTGTGGGATGGGCTGGGGTGAGCCCCTCCCTGAGCTTCTCCCAAAACGGCAGCGGGGAACAGGCACCCGCTGCCTCCATCCCACCCACGGGGTCTCATTTGGTGTCAGTGATGGATGTTGGGGCACGGGGTCCCCCTAGCCCTGAGTCCCCCGCAGAGGGTTGGCAGCCGGGGACACATTCCGGGGTGTCACCCACCAGTGGGATGTCCCCACCCCAGCCCCATGCTCAGCTCACAGTCCCCCCCCATCCCATTTCCCCTGTGTTCCCCTGTGCCCAAGCCCCCTCTATGCCCACTACAGCCCCCCAAACCCTTCTATTCGCCCCTCTCCCACCATACCCCGCGCTTCCCCCCAAACCCCCCCTCCGCCATCCTGTCCCGCCCCCCCGATTTCCCCGCTCCCTTCCTGCCCCCCCCGCCCCTCCTCACCTTCCTCCTCCCTCCGCCCTTCCTCACACACACACACACACACACACACACACACACACACACACACACACACACACGCTCCCTTCTTGCCCCCCTCCCTCCGGGGGCCGCGCGTGCCTTCACCGCCGGTCCCGATCCTGATCCCGGTCCCGGTCCCGGTGCTCGCTCTCCCAAAACGCACCCGTCACCGCAGCCTCGGGGCGGGGACCCCTGCTCCCACCGCTCCTACCTGCCCCACCGCCACTGCCGTCGCGGGGCCCCGCCTCGCCCGCGGTGGCCGCCGGTCCCCCCGCCCCTGCCGGGTCCGCCCCCCCCATCCCGGGCACCGGGAGAACCGCTCCCGCCCCTCCCCGCGCTGCGCCGTCCGTGTCCCATACCCCCCTCAGTTATCCCACATAGTGTCCCCCCCCTCCTGTCCCCCCACCACCGGAGGGGCAAGAGTTTGAGGTGTGGGTGGGGGGGACACGGGGGGATGTGGCAGGACCCTGACATGGGGCTGGAGGTGGTGTGGGACACGGGGAGAGACTTGGGGGGACTCACTCATGGGGCTGGTGGCAGCGGGGACACACGGGGGACACAACCGTGGGGCTGGCTGTGATGTGAGGACACAGGAAGACAACGGGGACCCGGCTGTGGGGCTGGCAGTGGATGGGGGCAGTGGATGTGGGACAGCCAAGGGGCAGCAGGAGCCAGGAGCTGTGTCCCTGTCCCTGTGGGGAAGGTTTGGGGGTCCATGGCCCAGGGCACCAAGAGGCATTGCTGGGGTAGGGGGCTAGGTTATGGGTACCACAGCACATCTATGCTCCTAATGCTTAATCCCAGATGTGCCGGATCCAGGATGTGGCCCCACTGGGTTGAGCCGCCGGGGGGGGCTCCAGATCCACTGTCCCAGCACAATCCTGGGGGCTTCACCCTGGAGACGGAGCAATGGGGGTTCCCATGGCCTCACCCCCCATCCCACCCAGCAGTTGGGCCCAATCGCCAGCCCCACAGCTGGCCCCGTCGGGCGGCCCCACACCATAAAAGGGGGCAGCAGTGCTGGGGCTGAGGGAGTGGCACTGCCAGAGCCAGCCAGGACAGAGCGGGGAGCCCCTAGGTAAGAGGGGCCGTTTTGGGGAGTCCCCATCTTGGGGAGCTGCTGGTGAGATCTATGGGGGTCCTCCACTCGTGACACAGATCCCCCTTTGCCAAGGTAGCCGTGGCAGCACGACCATGTCACGCCAGTCCTGGGTGCCTGGTGAGGTCCTGGCCTCCCTGCTGCTGTGCGTGGCTGTGGTGGAAGCAGCCACTGGGTGAGTCTTCAGTGCCACAGCCCCATACCAGAAACTGGGATGAGGCGTGGTGTGGGGATACCGTCCCCAGCTCGGTTTGTGGGTACGATGGGTGCCATGGTGCCACACAGGCGATGGTGCGAGAGGACGGTTCAGGATACGGCGGAGGAGGAGGTAACACCGCGGCGCGAGGACACAGTGCCCTGCACCAGCCTCTACCACTACAGCCTGGCAGGATGGCGGATCGACAGGGACCGAATGCGCCGGGTCTATGGTGGGGACCATGGTGAGCCCCAGCCTGACTCTGGCACCCCCCTCTGCTACATCTACCGGTGAGTGCCAGTGCGGACGTGCAGTGCATGGCACAGAGGGGGCACCAGGGCACCCATCCCCGTGCTGTGTATCCCATGCCTGATGCCGCAGGCCCCCAGAGACTCGGCCAGTGGTGTGGAACCGCACGGTGCTTGCCTGCTGCCAGGGCTGGAGCGGGCCCCACTGCACCGAAGGTAGGGATGGGTGTTGAGGTGCAGTGGCACCACTATGCCAGTGTCCCCGGTGATCACCTGTGGAGACAAGGTGCTTCCCTGTGCCGCAGGCGAAGGCTTGCTGGGGCACTGCTATGGCACATGGCAGTGCCAGGACACCGCCGGCAGCCACAACCTCTCTGCTATGAGCCTGTCCGAGTGCTGCCGGCACCCCTGGGGGCACAGCTGGAGGAATGGCTCCAGTTCCAGTGCACCGTGCCTCTCCTGCACCCGCCTGCCCCTCACTGGTGGGTCTGGGGGTACCAGGGGGCTGGTGGGTCCCATGGGGAGTTTGCAGAGTGGCCTCACCTCCCCACTGCAGGAGAGGTGTCCCCACGGCCATCGCCTCCTGTGTCCCTTCATGGAGCTGCCACCCATCACCGGGGCCTCTGGGCTGGCTGCATGACCTGGGCAGGGTCCCACTACCGCACCTTTGACGGGACACACTTCCACTTCTCTGGCGAGTGCACCTACACCCTGGCCGCTGCTGCTGACGGCACTTGGGCCATCGCCATCACTGCCGGCGATCCCCGGGTACTGACGGTGGGGGTGGGAGAGGGGTCCCTGCCTCATCACAGACATTCTCTGGGGGCTGTGCCATTTGCCTGTCCCCATGGCATGCTGTGGCCCTGTGGTGTGGCTGTGGTATCCCTGGCCATCCACTGCTGCCAGCCCTGGCCCTGGCTGATGCCGCACCACCGCAGGGACTGCACATGACCTTCGGGGTGGGCACGGTGGTGACCCAGGGACGGAACATCTCTGTGGACAGTGTGGCAGTGCCCGAGGGACAACCGTATCTGCACAATGGTGAGGGGAGGGGGGTGGCCAGCTACTGGTGGCACTGGGCTGGGATCTTGGTGGGGCTAAGACCCCTGATGGCACAGGTGATGGTGGTGACAAAGCTGCAGCTGGGGGGATCCAGCCACTGCCTTGTTCCCATCCCAAATCCCTGTGGTGCCACAGGGATCAGCGTGATGTGGCTAGGTGACTGGGTGGCCGTGGCAAGTGCGCTGGGTGTGCGGGTGACCTCGGACAGGAGCCAGGCAGTCACAGTGACAGTTGACACCGAGCTGTGGGGCGGCACACGGGGGCTGTGTGGTCCCTACAACGATGACCCTGCAGGTAAGTGTCACCTCATAGGTGGCAATGCCCATGCGGGAGGAGGTGCAGCGCCAGGGCCATGTGCTGGGGCCATGTGCCATGACCCTTGCCTACCGCAGCCTCCCTGTGTCCCCAGATGACTTCCAGCAGCCCGGAGGGGATGTGGCCACCTTTGCTGCCAGCTTTGGCAACTCCTGGAAGATTTCAGACGTCAGCCCCAAGGTACCCCAAGGTACCCCAAGGTGTGCCAGGACCCCATGTCTGCTCGGGGGTCCCTGTGCGGTCACCCCAGCTCTGAGGGTCTCCCCGGGCTCAGCCCCGCTGCAGGGACGCGGTGGAGCTCAGCCCTGGCTGTGCAGCGGGCGATGCGGCACGGCAGGCAGCCGAGGTCACTTGTGGGAAGCTCCTGGCTGAGCCCTTCCGTGAGTGCCATGACAAGGTGAGGAGCAGTTCTGGTGCTGGGGCACTGGAGGGTGCCAGTCCCGCCATCCTCACCCACTATCCCCACACCAGGTTGACCCTGGTGGCTTCCACAATGCGTGCCTGGAGCTGCTGTGCCGGGAAGGCAATGCCGGGCAGTTGCCGAGCCCCAGCATCTGCGACACCTTCGCTGCCTATGCACGGGAGTGTGCCCGGCACCAAACCAGCATCGACTGGCGCCAGCCTGGCTTCTGCGGTAGGGACCCGGGAATGTGCTCTGGCACCAAGGTCTGACCCCCCAGGGCTGGTGCCGGTGCTGAGTGCGGTGCTTGTCCTGGCAGAGCGGCACTGCGGCGCGGGACAGAGGTTCTCGGACTGCGTCTCCTCATGCCCTGCCAGCTGTGCGGCTGTTGGCAGTGCCGAGGAAGGGCCATGCCACCAGGACTGTGCCGGTGGCTGCGAATGCACGCCAGGGCTCTACTGGGATGGGGCGCTCTGCGTGCCACCAAGCGCCTGCCCCTGCCAGCACCACCGCCAGCGCTATGCCCCGGGACAGAGCATCCGCCAGCGCTGCAACCAGTGGTGAGCAATGCCATGGCTGGATTCAGCATCACCAGGTTGGAATGAACCCCATGGATGGGCACGATGCTGGTTTGGGGGGGGGTGGCAAGCACACATCCATCCATGCCAAGTGCGGTCACGGTGTGTCCTGTCCCCTCCTGGTGATCCCGGTGTCGCCTCCTGTGCCCTCAGCATGTGCCAGGGCGGGCGCTGGCTCTGCAGCCAGGACCGGTGCCCCGGGGAGTGCACGGTGCTGGGCGGCCACCATTACATCACCTTCGACCGCCGGCACTTCTCCTTCCCAGGCGCCTGTGCCTACACCCTGGTGCAGGTGAGGGCAGCCGCCACGGTGGCTGCGGTAGTGCCAGGGCTGTAGGGACCTGCCCTGGGGTGGGAATTGCCCCGGGGGTCCCCTCAGCAGGGTCTCTGTCCCCCAGGACTTCGTGGAGGGGCAGCTGCTGATCACGTCTGAGCACAAGGCTTGCAATGGCCACCAGCGCCTCCACTGCCGCCAGTCCCTCACCATCAGTGCCCGCCGGATCTCTGCTCGTCTCCAAGGCACAGGTGATGTGCGGGGACCCTCCTCGTGCTGCGGTGGGATGGGGGGTGCCAGCCCATGGCTGTTCCCTGAGGTGGCTGCGCTCTGCCGGCACAGGTGAGGTGATGGTGGATGGGCAGGAGGTGACGCTGCCCTTTGCCAGTTCCGAGCTGAGCATCCGCCGCGTGTCCTCGGCATTCCTGCTGCTCCAGACCTTTGGGGCCCACGTCCTGTGGGGGGTGGAGGCCCCCACTGTCTACATCACCCTCCAGCCCGCCTTTGCCCACAAGGTCAGCCCCAGCTCCTGGTGGTGGCCGGTGGCAGAGCTGGGCTGGGATTTAGCTGTGGGATCCTATCCTGAGCCAGTGCTGGTGTGGTAGGTGCGGGGTCTCTGCGGCACCTACAACTGGAACCAGGGGGACGAGTTCACCACACCAGCAGGTGATGTGGAGATCAGTGTTGCCGCCTTCACCAACAAGTACCGGGTGTCCAGCAAGTGCCCTGCACTCGGACCCGTCCTACTGGAGCCCTGCAGTGACTTTGCTGGGCAGCAGGACCTTGCCGAGGCTGCCTGTGCCGTCCTGCAGGGCCCGGCCTTCCAGGTGCCACGGGTCCCCATCCTGGCCAAGAGCCGGTCCCCAGTGCCCAGTGCCAGTGCCGTGGCGTGACTGTGCACTGCCACCCCCAGCCATGTCACCAGGTCGTGGACCCGGAGCCGTTCCTGCAGCTCTGCCTGCGGGATGCCTGCACCTGCCAGGATGGGCAGCACTGCCTGTGCCTGGTGTTGGCTGCCTATGCCCGGGAGTGTGGCCAGGAAGGAGTGGAGCTGGTGTGGAGGAACCAGAGCTTCTGCGGTGGGGATGGGCGGGAATGGGATAGGATAGAGTGGGGATGGGGATGGGATTGTGATGGGGTGGGATGAGAACGGGATAGGATGGGGATGTGAATAGGATGGGGATGAGGGTTGGAATGGGATGGGGATGAGGGTGAGGATGGGGATGAGGATGAGATGGTGACGGGGTGGGATGACAATGGGATGGGATGTGGATGGAGATGGGGGTGAAGATGAGGATGGGGTAGGATACCGTGGGGATGAAATGGGGCTGGGAATGGCATGGGATGAGATGAAAAAGGGATGGGATGAGAAGAGGATAGGAATGGGATGGGGATGATGTGGAATGAGATGAAAAAGGGATGGGATGGAGATGGGATTGGTGATGGGGATGGGCATGGGATGGGATGGGTGGAGAAAGGGGTGGGATGTGGGTGGGATGTTGATAGGATATGGATGGGATGTGATGGGGATGTGTTGGGGATGGGGTGGGACAAGATGAGGATGGTGGTGGGATGGGAATAGGATGTGGATGCAGCCATCACACGCCAGGGGACAGTGGGGGCTGGTGCCAAGGGTGCATGGAGCGTGGCAGGGCAGAGATGTCCCTGTCAGTGACATCTCCATGTCCCTCCCTCAGATGTGCCGTGCAGCGGGGGGCAGCAGTACCTGGACTGTGGCCGGCCCTGTGGCCAGACCTGCGCCGACCTGCGCGGTGACAGCAACGGGACCAGCTCCTGCCACAACCTGGATGGACTCTGTGTCCCTGGCTGCCAGTGCCCGGCCGGGCTGGTGCTGGCCGAGGGTGGGATGTGCGTCCCACCTGGAGCCTGCCCCTGCCAGCACGGCACCACGCTCCTCCCGCCCGGCAGCCACATCCGCCGGAGCTGCAGCACCTGGTGCGTGGCACAGCTGGAGCCCAGGCCATGGCTGGGGTGGGTGGGATGGGGGATACTGAGCCGGTGCTGCGGGATGAGGCAGCGGCAGGAGGCGTGTGATGAAATCCCCTATGCCCCGTTTGGGATCGCACCGCGGGATAGGCGGCTTTCATTGCCCGTCCCTGCTGCAGCACACCGGGGCCACCGAGGAAGAGCCTATCCCTGGCCCCTGGCATGGCTGGAGGTGGACCCAGTGCTGGGGTGGTGGGGATGGGATGGGGACAGGATGGGATGGGCATTGGATGGGGATGGGGATGGGATGGGGACAGGATGGGATGGGCATTGGATGGGGATGGGGATGGGATGGGGACAGGATGGGATGGGCATTGGATGGGGATGGGGATGGGGATGGGGATGGGGATGGGGATGGGGATGGGGATGGGGAGGGGATGGGGACAGGATGGGATGGGCATTGGATGGGGATGGGGATGGGATGGGGACAGGATGGGATGGGCATGGGATGGGGATGGGGATGGGATGGGGACAGGATGGGATGGGCATTGAATGGGGATGGGGATGGGGATGGGGATGGGAATGGGAATGGGGATGGGGATGGGGATGGGGATGGGGATGGGATGGAATGGGATGGGATGGGGATGGGATGGGAACTGGATGGAGACGGGATGGGGATGGGGATGGGATGGGAACAGGATGGAGACGGGATGGGGAAGGGACAGGATGGGGTGGGGACAGGATAAGACATAATGGAGCTGGATGAGACAGATGGCATAGAATAGGACAGGATGTGGTGGGATAGATAAAGTGGGACAGGATGGGAGAAGGCAACACTCATCAGGACACAACAGGATGGAAGGAAACAGGATGGGATAGGACGGCATGGGATGGGATAAGATGCAATAGAATGGGATGAGATAGAATGGCAATGGGCAATATGGAAACCCTGGCAGGGTCTGGCTGGGTGGGGGCTCTCCAGGTTGGTGGGTGCTGGGTGCTGCCCTCACCGTACCCTGTCTCTGCAGTGTTTGTGCTGGTGGGTCTTGGCGCTGCACTGCAGCCGCCTGCCCCATGGCAGCCCTGTGCCCTGGGGGGCTGATCCATGCGCCAGGCTCCTGCCTGCGCCGCTGTGACAGTGCCGAGCCCAACGGCACCTGTGCCGGCATTGCCGATGGCTGCGTCCCCTGTCCCCCTGGCACCATCTTCCTGGTGAGTGACCCCCTCTCCATGGGGATGTGCCAGAGAGCATCCACATCCAGCTCACTGGGGCTGTGTGCTGGCAGGACGGGCGCTGTGTGTCTCCGGCAGAGTGCCCGTGCCAGCACGGCGGCCGGCTGTACCGGCCCAATGACACCATCATCCGGGACTGCAACACATGGTGAGACCCCCCCAGCCCCACCGGGGACACCAGGCACACTGTGCCGGAGCTGAGCCCTGTCCCCTGCAGCGTGTGCCGGCAGCAGCACTGGCACTGTGGCCAGGAGGAGTGCGCCGGCACCTGCGTGGCCACGGGGGACCCCCACTACATCACCTTTGACGGACGAGCCTTCTCCTTCCCCGGCGACTGCGAGTACCTGCTGGCACGCGAGGCCGATGGGCTCTTTGCTGTCACTGCCGAGAACGTGCCCTGCGGCACTGGCGGCGTCACCTGCACCAAATCAGTGGTGGTGGTGATGGGCAACACTGTGGTGCACATGCTGCGGGGTGAGGATGAGGATGGTGGCACGGGGACAGAGACATGCTGGGGGGTCACTGTCTCTGACAGCCTGCGCTGCCCTGGCAGGGAGGGACGTGACAGTGAACGGGGTCCCGGTGCGACCCCCAAAAGCCTACACCGGCACTGGACTGACGCTGGAGCGCGCCGGTCTCTTCCTCCTCCTCCTCACCCGCATGGGGCTGGCGGTGCTCTGGGATGGAGGTGAGACCCACAGGGGAGGGGGTGCTCAGCACTGTGCTGCAGCGTGCTGCCGGTGCTGAGCGCTGTGCCGTCTAGGCACACGGGTGTACATCCGGCTGGAGCCGCAGCACCGGGGACGTGTGGTTGGGCTCTGTGGCAACTTCGACGGTGACACCGAGAACGATCTCTCCAGCCGGCAAGGGGTGCTGGAGCCCAGCGCCGAGCTCTTCGGCAACTCCTGGCGCCTCAGCCTGCTCTGCCCCGAGGTGGACAGCGCCAGCGCACGGCACCCCTTGCACGTATGTACCGGAATGGGCAGCCAGGGCGGTGGTGGCCAGGGGCTGGGTGAGGGATGGAGGCTGATGGCGGCACTGGCTCCCCCCAGGAGAACCCACACCGGGCAGCGTGGGCCCGCCGGCGCTGCAGCATCCTCCGGCAGCGGCTCTTTGAGCCATGCCACGATGTGGTGCCGTGCCAGCGCTTCTACGACTGGTGCATCTTTGATGCCTGCGGGTAAGTGGGGTAAGCCAGTAAGCACTGCGGTGGGGCGGGGGATTGGGGGTCCCACTGTTCCCATCCCACCAAACCCACTGTGCCGGCAGGTGTGACTCCGGTGGAGACTGTGAGTGCCTGTGCACGGCCATTGCCACATACGCTGAGGAGTGCGGCCGGCGCGGCGTCCATGTGCGATGGAGGAGCCAGGAGCTGTGCCGTGAGTCACCAGCCACTGGACAAGGCTGCGAGGGGTCCCATGGCTGAGCCAGACAAGTGATGGGGATGGGGAGGGGGTCAGGAGCCCCCCATGGGGCTGTGGGGAGGAAAGGGGGTGGGTGCTGTGGGGCAGGGGGCTCCCGGCCTTGTCCAACCCTGACCCCTGTCTGCAGCCCTGCAGTGTGAGCGGGGGCTGGTGTACAGCCCCTGCGGACCCCCCTGCCCTCCAACCTGCCACAACCTTGCCCGCGAGCCCCCCGAGCGCTGCCAGGATCTGTCCTGCCTGGAGGGGTGTTTCTGCCCTGCAGGAGGGTCCTGCATGGTGAGGCTGGGAGCTGGTGGGGCTGGTGTGGGGTCGTGGGGGAGTCATGGGCAGTATGGGGTGGTGTGGAGCTGGTGTGGGGATGGTATGGAGCTGCATGGTGGGATGCGGGGCCAGCACGGGCTGGTGTGGGGCTGGCATGGGTCAGAGTAGGGCGGCGTGGGGCTGGCATGGGATGTCACGGACAGTGTGGGGAGGCATGGAGCTGGTGTGAGGCTGCATGGGGTGTTGTGGGGCTGATGTGGAGCTATTGTGGACTGGTAAGGGGATCATGGGTATGGCATGGAGCTAGCGTGCAGATGTGTTGGACCATCATGGGGTTGGCATGGGCTGATGTGGGGCCTGCCATGCTGTCCTTGCACCCAGTTCCCTTGTCCTGGCCATGGTACTCAGTACTTTGACCCCTTCTCAGCCTGTGGCTCCACTCCATGTTGGAGGGTCTAACCCAGCCTTGTGCACCAGATGTGGTGCTGTCTGCTCAGCCTGACTGGGCAATGTGCTGGGGCTGGGTCACCGAGGTCCAATGCCTCCTTTCCCCCTCCCCACTGGCAGACGGAGGCTGCATCGAGCCTGGCGAATGCCCGTGCTTCTGGGACGGCTTCTCCTTCCCAGCCGGTGCCACGGTGCAGCAGGGCTGCAAGAACTGGTGAGTCCGTGCTTGGCTCTGGCCCGGCGCAGCCATGGGGACCACGGGGAGCACCCTGGGACCGAGCCGCCGCTATCCCCGCAGCACGTGCGCGGCAGGTGCGTGGCACTGCCCATCCTCACCGGAGCTGTGCCCGCCCGCGCCGTGCGCCTCGTGGGAGTTCTCGTGCCGTGCCGACGGGCGCTGCGTGCCGGGGGCCTGGGTGTGCGACAACGAGGAGGACTGCGGGGACGGCTCAGATGAGGTGTGCGCCCCGCGCTGCGCCCCTCACCAGCACCGCTGCGCTGGAGGGCAGTGCCTGGCCTGGGGCTCCCGCTGCGACGGCATCCGCGACTGCAGTGACGGCTCTGACGAGAGCGGCTGCCCCACGGCCTCCTGCGCGCCCCCCGAGTTCTCCTGCGCCAGCGGCCGCTGCATCCCCCCCGAGCGTGTCTGCGATGGGGAGCTGGACTGCGGCTTCGCCGACGACTCGGATGAAGCAGGTGAGAGCGGCCCCATGGCTGCCCCATGGCTGTTCCTGGGGGTCCTGGGTTGGGCGGTGTTGTGGGGACCCTGGGGATGAAAGCAGTGGCGTGGAGGAGCACACTGACAATGGGCTGTGCCCCACAGCAAGGTATTCTGAGCCCCAGTTCTTTGTCGGTCTGTGCCCCATGGCAAAGGGGTCTGAATGCCATAGTGAGGTGTCCTGAGCCCTGTTACCCTGAGGGTCTGTGCCCCATGGACAGGGTTCTGAGCCTCATGGTGAGGAGGCCTGAGCCGCCCATCCCTGAGTGACTATGCACCATGGTGAGGGGTCCTGCACCATGTGTCCCTGGCTGTGCCCCATGGAAAGAAAGTCTGAGTTTCTCATCCCTGGGGGTCTGTGCCCCATGAGCAAAGGGGTCTGAACACCATAGTGAGGAGTCTTGACCCCCATGACCCTGCAGGTCTGAGCCCCACAGTGAAGTATCCTGAGCTCCCCATCCCTGGGGTCTGTGCCCCACAGTGAGGGGGTCTGAGCACCCTGTTGTGGGAATTGAGCCTCATGGCAAACGGGTCCCTGAGCCCCCATTCCTGGCTGACCATTTTGCACAGTGAGGGGTCCTGAGCCCCCGGCCCCTGGGGGTCTGAGCCCCATGGTGCGGGGTCTCTGACAGCTGCCATTATGGCAGGCTGCAGCCCGAGCTGCAGTGCAGGTGAGTTCCGCTGTGCATTGGGCCGGTGTGTGCCGTACCCGCACCGCTGCGATGGCCACGATGACTGTGGTGACTTCAGTGACGAGCGCGGCTGCGTCTGCCCCCCTGGGCACCTCCAGTGCCCCGACACCCAGTGCCTGCCCCCAATCACTGTCTGTGATGGCCACCGGGACTGTGCCAACGGCACCGATGAGGAGTTCTGCCCAGGTGAGGCTCAGCCCCACACCGGGACCCCCAACCACGGCGGCATCGCCCCATGGGAACGTGTGTTTCCCCCTAGACCGGGTGACTTGCGCCCCCGGGGAGCTCCCGTGCCCTGATGGCTCCTGCATCAGTGAGGCTGCGGTTTGTGATGGTGTCAGTGACTGTCGCGACGGCTGGGACGAGAGCCCGGCGGGGTGCGCGGCAGCACTGCCTGCTGCTGTGCCCACCACCACCACCTCGGCAGGTGAGGGCTGATGGTGCTGTGTGGCAGCCGGACCCTCCCACGGCACCCCGTGGACCCCGCACCAGGATGGCACATGGTGGGGACTACAGGGATGGGCACCCCATGGTGACCCACTGCCCACAGCACCGGCATGCGGCCCCTCGGCCTTCACATGCGGCAGTGGAGAGTGCGCACCACGGGGCTGGCTCTGCGACGGTGAGGCCGACTGCCGTGACGGCAGCGATGAGCTGGGCTGTGCTGGCGGCTGCGAGCCCAGACACTTCCCCTGCGCCCATGGCACCGACTGTGTCCCCTATGGACACCTCTGTGATGGCGTCCCGCAGTGCCGCGACAGCTCTGATGAGAGCGAGGACCACTGCGGTGAGCCAATGCGGCCGGGACCCTCGGTGTCCCCTCCGCAGTGACACCCAGTGTAGGGGGACACTCCATGGTGCTGGTGTCCATGGTGGGGTCTCAGCTGACGGTGCCCTGGCACAGGCTCCACTGCCATCCCGCCGTGCCTGGGGCACTTTGCCTGCGATGGTGGCCTGTGCCTCAACGTGTCGAGGGTCTGCGATGGGGCCACCGACTGTCCCCAGGGCGAGGATGAGCTGCTCTGCGGTGAGGGCAGAAGGCTGGGGGCTGTGGGGCAGGGATGGGGATGGACACCCTGCCATGACCACCCCACTATGGACTGTCACCTCTGCAGGGAGCCGCAGCCTCGCCAGTGGGAGCAACAGGACAGGGGGCCCCTGTGCCGAATACACCTGCAGTGGGGGCGAGTGTGTAGCCTTCCAGCAGGTATCTGGGTACAGGGACCCCCAACCCCGCTCTGGTGCCACCATTACCCCCCTCCCCGGCTCAGTGCTGCCCTGGTGTTACAGGTGTGTGATGGCGTTCCTGACTGCGGTGCCGGTGGGGAGGACGAGCGGGATTGTGGTGAGTGGGGGCCATGGGGGCCATGGGGCACCTGCACCCACTCCTGTGGCCCCGGCCTGCAGCGCCGCACACGGGGCTGCCGCCAGCACCGTCCTGGAGTGCTGCACCGGTGCCACGGGCAGGCTGCGGAGCAGCAGCAGTGCTTCAGCATTGCCTGCCCTGGTGAGCATGGGGCTGTCAGCAATGGGGGGCTGGAACTGGGGGGGGGGGGGGGGGGGGGGTGGTGGCAGCAGTCCAGGGGGAATCTGGGGTGCCTTGTGGGGTTTGGGGTCTTTGTGGTTGGAGTACCAAGGGGGATTCAGGGGTTTCCATCGCTGAGGTTGCTCAGCAGTGTATGGGGTTTCCTGTGGGGTTCCTCATGGCCAGAACTGCCCAGGGGATTTAGGGGTTCCTGGGGAATTTGGTGGTTCCCATGGCGGTTTCAGGATTCCCATGGGGGTTCCCATAGCCAGGTGGTGGGGAATTGGGAGTTCCTATGGCTGAGGCTACACAGGGGGATTTGGGGGGTTCCCAATACCCCCCAGGGATCCTCTAATACTCCCCGGGAGCATTCCAATACTTCCCAGATGTTCCAAATCCCCTTTGGGACACTGCATTACACCTTTAGAACCCAAATATCTCTTCTGAACCGTCCGAAACTCCCCCAAATCCCCCAGTGTCCTGTCTGTGGGTACAGAAGCCCCATGGGGGTGTCCCAGGAGGCGTCCCATGGGGGTGTCCCACCCTCCCGCCTCCCTCCCACCACAGTTGACGGTGCCTGGGCCGAGTGGGGTCCCTGGTCCTCGTGCCCTGCGGGCTGTGGGGGGCTGCGGCAGCGGCAGCGGCAATGCCAACCCCCCCAGAATGGAGGCCGCCCCTGCAGTGACCTGCCTGGAGAGACACCCGGTGCTCTTGAAACAGGTGGGTGCCCGTGGGGTTGGGGGTCTATAGGGATGGGGGTGTTCAAGGAGTGGATGGGCTCTGTGGGGCAAGTGGGCTCCAGGGAATGGGTGAGTTCTGTGGGTGAGTGGGCTCTGCAGGGTAGCGGGCTCTGTGGGGCAGGTGAGTCTCAAAGGGATGGGTGGGCTCCATGAGGTCGGCTCCATGGGTGAGTGGGGTCCAAGCAGTAGGTGGGTTCTGTGGGGTAAGAGGGTCTTGGTGGGATGGGTGGGCTCCATGGATCAAGTGGCTGCTGCAAGTTGGTGGGTTCCATGGGGTGGATGGTTGGGCTCTGTTGGTGGGTCCCTGTGTGCTCCGTGGGGCCGGTGGATCGCCACGGGTGAGTGGTACCAAACCCGCAAACCCGCCCCCCCCCCCCCAGCCCCCTGCACTCCGGGGGGCTGCCCCAACACCTCCTCCTGCCCGGAGGGGTTGCGGCCATGGCCCTGCGCTCCCTGCCCCGCATCCTGCGCCGACGTCTCCACCGGTGCCGCGTGCCGGCAGGACCGGCCCTGCAGCCCAGGTGAGGGGCGCGGGGGCTGCGGCTCCCGGAGGTCCCCACACACCGCGGTGGGGCGGGCCACGGGTCAGTCACCGCGGAGCACCCACTGAGCCCCGCCCCGCGGCAGGGTGCTGGTGCGCGGCGGGGCTGGTGCTGGACGAGGGCCGGTGCGTGCTGCCTCGGGAGTGCCCGTGCCACGCCGCGGGGCTGCGGCACCCCCCGGGGCAGCTGGTGAAGGTGGACTGCCAGCTCTGCGCCTGCCTGCGCGGCCAGCTGCGGCGCTGCCGGCAGAACCCCGACTGCGCCGGTGAGTCCCGGCAGCGGCGGCACCGCGGCGTGGGTTGGAGGTGCCGGTGCCCCGCACTGAGCCGGTGCCGTCCACAGTGCACTGCGGCTGGTCGGCGTGGTCGGCGTGGGGCGACTGCCCCGGGCCCTGCGGCACGCAGAGCGTGCAGTGGTCGTTCCGCAGCCCCACCAACCCCAGCCAGCGCGGCGGCGGCCGGCACTGCCGCGGCATCTACCGCAAGGCGCGCAGGTGCGGCGGGTGCGCGCCGGGGTGGTGATGGACGAGCGGCGGGCTCCCGGTGACCTCCCCGCTCCCGCAGGTGCCAGACGGCGCCGTGCCGGCAGTGCCAGTCCCGGGGCCGCCGGCACGCACCGGGAGAGCGGTGGCGTGAGGAGCCCTGCCACGTTTGCCAGTGCCTGCCCAGCCTGGCCGTGCGGTGCTCGCCCTACTGCCCGCACCGCGCCGCCGGCTGCCCGCAGGTGAGGGCGTGGGGTTGACCGCGACACCGGCGCCGGTCCTGGCGCTGTTGGTGCTGATGGTGACAGTGACCTCCGTAGGGCCGGGTACTGGTTGATGGCCGCGGGGACTCCTGCTGCTACTGTGCCCCCGCGGGTGAGTCGGGGCAGCCAATGCTATGATGGGGGTCCCATCCTAGAGGGGCCGCCTGACGTGGTCTCCACTGCAGGCGACAACGTGACGGCTACCCCCCCGGCGCTGCCGACAGCGGAGGCCCCCTCGTCCACGCCAACAGAGCCCCCCGGCTCCTCCCTGCTCACCTTCCCGCTGCCTCCCCTTGGCGGTGAGCACCACCACCATGAGACTTGCCAGTGCGGGCAGGGGGCAGGCAGCCGGGACAAGGGTTATGTCCCGCGACCCTGAGCTGCTCCCACACCCCGCCAGATCCCTGTTACCTCCCGCTGGGCACCGCGGCTCTGCCGGTCAGCGGTTTCAGTGCCTCATCGGCGCGGTCTGAGAGCCCAGCACACGCTGCCGGGCTGCATGGTGGTGACCCCGGGGAGCCGCTGCAGGGCTGGGCCCCCCCGGATGATGCCTACGAGGCACCGCCCGACGAACCCTCCTTCCTGGAGCTGGACCTGCTGCAGCCCACCAACATCACCGGTGGGTGCCGGGCTGCCCGCCGCGGCGCTGATGGTGCCACTGGTGCCACCATGTGCTGCGCTGTCCCCACAGGGCTGGTGGTGCAGGGAGCCGGCTCCTCTGATGCCTTCGTCACCGCATTCCTGCTGCAGTTCAGCGCCGATGGCACCCGCTGGCACCGCTACCGCGACCTCACCAACGGCACCACCAATGCCCAGGTGCCACCGGCTGCACATGCAGCCATGAGTGCACGTGCGATGGTGCACATGTATGTGCGTACATGCATGTACACCCCTGTTTTCGTCTATGTCCCCCCACCAGCTCTTCCAGGGCAACCAGGACGCCAGCACACCAGCGGTGCGGCTGCTAGGACGCATGGTGCAGGCGCAGCACGTCCGCATCCTGCCCCAGGACTTCCACAACCGCATTGTGCTCCGTGCTGAGCTGCTGGGCTGCCCCCCAGGTACTGGAGGCAATGCGGGGGAGTGGGAGAGCCCCCCACGCCACCCGTGGGTGCCATTCAACTGCCCATTTCTGCCCTCTCCCTAAGTGCCCCCAGCCCGGCATGAGGCTATGACAGTGCCAGTGACACCGGTGATGCTGCCAGTGATACCTATGACGCCGGTGACACTGACGGTGCCGGTGACACAGACCCAGCGCCCCTGTACCATGGGGGAGTTCCGGTGTGGGAGCGGGGAATGTGTTCTCGGGGGTCCCCGGGGTCCCCTCTGTGATGGTGTCACTGACTGCCCCGATGGCACTGATGAGGCCAGCTGTGGGCCCCCCAGCACCACCAGGTACCATAGCAGGATTGGGGCTTCCCATGGGAGCTGGGGGTCACAGTGGGTAACCCCTATCTTGGCTATACATCCCCAGCCCCGTGGCCCCCGTGGCAGCCGGTGTTCTGGTGCTGAGCACGACCACACAGACACCACCAATGCCCCCAGCCATGGTGAGCCCAGGGGGAATGGGGGCCACAAGGGATGGAGGGCAGCAGGTGACACCCCTCTGTCTCCATGCAGGTGTCCCCTGGGATGGGAACCCAGTTGCCACCCAAAGGTGCTGACCCCACTCCACCAGGTACCTCCTGTGGGGGAAGGAGGGGGGGGGGTTGGGGATTAGATGTGGGGCTGAGGGGGGTCTCTGCTGGGGTTCCCCCATCCTCGCATGCAGTTGGGGTGCTGGGGTCATGTCCTGACCCCCTAGCTGTGTCCTACATACCCCAGGGCATCCAGGGGCTGAACCCCTTCCCCAACCCCCACATGATGGCTGTGGGTCCCCCCACAACCAGAGCCAGCAGCCCCACGGAGTCGGGAGTCATGGAGCCAGCACCAGGGCCCCCTGACACCCCAACAACCCCCAGCACCCCGGGGATAGGCACCAGCATCCCCACAGGGCCACCCTGTACCAGATCCCCCCCAGCACTGACAGGGGTCTCCAGCCCTAGCCCCCAAGGTGAGGGGACCCTGGGGCATGGGGCAGGGCCAGGCACGGCCGCCCCAGATGTGGGGGGCTCCCCCAGAGCAGGATGGGAGGTGGGGGTCCCTGGGGCAAGGGGGACAGCACTCAGCTCACACCATGGGGCTGGGTACCAAAGGGTTGTGGATGTTGTGGACTGGGTGCCGTAGGTTTTGGGTTGCCGTGGGGTTAGGAGTGCTGTGGGATTTAGGGTGCTGTGGTTTTGGGGTGCTGTGGACTGGGTACTAAGGGGTTTGGGGTGCTGTGGGCTCAGAGCTACCACAGGGTTTGGGGTGATGTGGATTTAGTGGTGCTGTGATTTTTGGGGTGCTGTGGGTTTTGGTCTTCTGTGGGTTTAGTGGTGCTGGTGCTGGGGAGCACCATGGATGGGGAGGACCAGGATGAGGGTCCAGGTTTTGGGGCACCATATCTGCAGGAATCTAATGTTGAGGGGACTGGGGACCACCCCAACAATCCCTGCCTCCCCGCCAGGCACCTGTGATCCGGCTCCTTGGGGGAACTGGGGTCCCTGCAGCCGCTCCTGTGGGCTGGGGGTCACCCTGCGGCTGGCCCTGCCAGGGGGGGGCTGCACATGGACCCCTCCTGACACCCGTGTCTGCTTCCTGCGTGCCTGCCCAGGTACCCCCAGCACCTCTGGGGACCCCCATCACCCACAGGGAACCCCAGGGTCAGCCCAGGGACTGTTTCCCACCCTGAGGATGGCCCAGAGATCTCCCGGGTACCCCCATCCCCGGGTACACTCTGCCACCCCTGGGACCCCCAAGGGACCCCCTCCCACACTAGAGACCCCCATGTACCCCCCGTCCCACCTTGGGACCCCCCAGCTACCCCACGGATGTTACCCGGGATCCCCCAGGGACCTTCCAGGGACCACAGGGTACCACCCCTCACCCCAAGGACCCCTGACACCCCCATTTGTTCTAGATGGCCCCAGGGCTCAGGGGACCGGACCCTCTCATGGAGGGAGCCGTGGCCGAGCCCTGGGGCAGGGGAAGGCTTTGGGGATGTCTGGGGTTCCTCACACGCTGCTGGCTCCCGCAGTGCCTGGCGGGTGGGCAGCCTGGGGGTCCTGGTCCCCCTGTGACGCCACCTGTGGCGGGGGCGTGCGGAGCCGAGAGCGGAGCTGCAGTGACCCCCCTCCAAAGAACGGGGGGGCTCCGTGCCCGGGGGAGCACCTCCAGACCCAGCCCTGCAGCTTCCAGCCCTGCGGGGACCCCCCAGGTACGGAGGGGGACGGGGACACAGGAAGGGGACCGGGAGATCGGGTGCCCCTTGCATCCCTGAGCACCCCCTGTGCCCCCGCCCCCAGCCTGCGGCCCCCGCATGGTGCTTGTGCGGGCCGAGGACTGCGAGGGGGGACGGGACCCCCCCTGCACCCAGAGTTGCGGTGACCTCGGTGGCAACGGCACCTGCGAGCGGCCCTGCCAGGCTGGTGAGTGATGGGTGCGGGGTCTGGGTGCTTGGGGTGGGGGGGTCTGGATGCCGAGTTCCGGTGCTGAGGGCGCCCCGGGACAGGGTGCTGGTGCCCGCCGGGGCTGTTCCTGCAGGACGGCGGCTGTGTCGATGCCGGTGAGTGCCGGTGCCATGTGGCCGATGAGCAGCGCCGGCCCGGCGAGGTGTTCCTGCAGGGCTGCCGGCGGTGGTGAGTGCGACCCCCGGTGTTGCACCCCAAGGGGTTTGGGGAGGTTTGGGGGTGCCCCTGGGTTGCCCGCGTGGCTCATCCCGGTGCCGGTCTGCAGCACGTGCCACAACGGGACTGTGACGTGCGAGGACGCGTCCTGCGCCGTGGACTGTGGCTGGTCCACGTGGTCACCGTGGACCCACTGCAGTAGCAGCTGCGGCGCGGGGACGCAGGAGAGGTTCAGGTGTGAGGCTGGGTCGGGGCTCTGCCCCATAGCCGTGGGGCGGCTGCACCCCACGGACGGGGTGGCCACGTGGCGGCTTCCCGCAGGTCACCCACCAACCCCGCGGCGGCTGCCGGCGGAGCGCCCTGCACCGGGGCGGCTCGGGAGCTGCGCGAGTGCCACGAGCCCTGCGGCACCGGTGGGTGACACCGAGCACATTGACCCCCCCCCCCCCCCCTTTGCCGCGGTGACCCCTCAAGCACCACACGTCCGTCTGTCCGTCCCGGCAGAGCTCGGCAGTGCCTGGAGCCCCTGGGCGCCCTGGTCCGAGTGCTCCGTGTCCTGCGGCGCCGGTGAGCAGCTGCGGCACCGGACCTGCGCCGCGCCCGCACAGGAGGAGTCCTGCACCGGCCCCCACCTCCAGACACGGGACTGTAACACCCAGCCCTGCCACGGTGCGCGCCCCCCAACCTGACCAGACCCCACCCGCTGCTGGGGGGCTTGGGGGGCTGTGGGGTAGGGTGATATGGGCTGGGTGCTGTGGGATTAGGGGAGCTGTTTGGTTTGGGGTGCCATGGGCTGGGCGATGGAGGCTTTGGGGTGCTGTGGGTTTGGGGGTGCTGTGGGTTTGGAGGTCTCATGGGTTTCAGGGTGGCTTGAGCTTTGGGGTGCTGTTGGCATTGGGGATCTGTGGGGTCAAGGGTGCTGTGGGCTGGGTGCTGCGTGTTTTGGGGTGTTAAGGACAGGGCGCTGTGGGTCTGGGGGCGTGAGGCTGCCTGGCTGCAGCAGGATGAGGAGACGCCCCGAGATTGGGGTCCCACCAGCTCCAGGCCCTCCATCCCTATGGCACCCACCCACTTGCCAGCCCTGGTCTGGGGAGCTGGAGGGGCACCAGAAATGAGAGGTGCTAAGACTGGGGAGCACTGGGAATGGGATTCCAGGTTTGGGAGGCACAAGAGATGGGGGGGAACAGGGACTGAGGTCCAGGGCCGCGGGCTCCCTGGGGACGGGACCCCCTCCACCGATGCTGTCGCTGGTGCCCGCAGCGCGGTGCCCCGGGCACGCTCTGTACCGCACGGCTGCCCAGTGCCGCGCCACGGGGGAGCCCTGCCCGCGCCTCTGCCTGGACCTCGGCGCGGGTGTGGAGTGCGCTGCGCGCTGCCGCGACGGCTGCGCCTGCCCCGCGGGGCTCCTGCTGCACAACGGGAGCTGCGTGCGGCCCGCACGCTGCCCCTGCTACCACCGCGGCCGCCTGTACCTGCCCGGGGACACCGCTGCGGGGGACGCCTGCAATAACTGGTGCGGGAGCGGCCCGGGGGGGGCGGCCCTGGGGCTGACGCCTCCAGCGCTGACCCCCATCTCCTGCAGCACCTGCACCGCCGGGGCGATGGTGTGCGGCACCGAGCCCTGCGCAGGTACCGCGGTGGCTTGGGGGTCACGGGGTGATGGGGGGACGCGCGAACCGCACCGGGCTCCAACTGCGCCGCGTGGTGCCGTGTATGGCCTCAGTTATATGGGGTGCTGTGGGGCTGAGCACCCCACGCCCCTTCTGCAAGGGCTGTGGGTGTCGGGGGTCACCGTCCAAGCCAGTGGCCCCGTCCCGTGTCCCACAGAGGAGCCGTGGGGAGCGTGGTCGCCGTGGGGTCCCTGCAGCGTCTCCTGTGGAGGTGGCGAGCGGCTGCGCCGGCGGCAGTGCCACCAGCCCGAGTGTGTGGGGCTGGGCCTGCAGAGCCAGATGTGCAACACCCATGTGTGCCGCGGTGAGTGCCGGCCTGACCCACGGCCTGACCCAAGGCACGACCCACGGCCTGACCCATAGCCCTGATCTATAGCCCTGACCCATACCCCTGCCTCGCAGCTCTGCCTCATAGTCCTGTCCCTTAGGCCTGCCACCATGACCCTTCTCCTTTGCCCTGATCTACTGTCCTGCCCCACAGCCCTGCCCCATGGACCCGATCCACTGCCCTGACCCATAGGCCTGACCCATACACCTGCCCATGCCCGTGCCCCACAGCACAATCCCTTAGGCCTGCCGCATAGTCCTGCCCCCCACACCCTTGCTCTATAGCTGTATCCCTTAAGCCTGTCCCATGGCCCTGCTCCATAGCCCTGCGCTACTGCCCTCACACAGCGGCCCATACCCACGCCCTGCAGCTCTGCCCCACAGCCCAATCCTTTAGACCCGTTCCATGCCCCTACCCCACAGCCCGGTCCCGTTCCCCTGCCCCACGGCTCTGCCCCACGGCGCCGCCCCACAGACTCGGGCTGCCCTCGGGGGCGGGTATTCCGCGAGTGCGTGGGCGGGGCCTGCCCGTTCAGCTGTGCGCACGTGTCCGGGCGCGTGGGCTGCGGGGGCGGGGCCTGCGCCCAGGGCTGCGGCTGCCCCGTGGGGACCTTCCTGCACCGCGGAGAGTGCGAGGGGGTGAGCGCCGGGACGGGAACCGGGATGGGGATAAATGGGGATGGGGATGGAGATGGGAATGGGGTGGGAATGGGGGGGGGGAATGGGATGGGGTGGGAATGGGGATGAATGGGGATGGGAATGGGGATGGGGGGAATGGGGGGGAATGGGGGAGGAATGGGAATGAATGGGAATGAATGGGAATGGAGATGGGAATGGAGATGGGGGGGATGGGGTGGGAATGGGGGGAATGGGATGGGGTGGGAAGGGGGATGAATGGGGATGGGAATGAATGGGAATGGAGATGGGAATGGGAAGGGGGATGAATGGGGATGGGAATGAATGGGAATGGAGATGGGAATGGGAATGGGGATGGGGTGGGAATGGGGGGGGGGAATAGGATGGGGTGGGAATGGGGATGAATGGGGATGGGGATGGGAATGAATGGGGATGGGAATGGGGATGGGGTGGGGATAATGGGGATCGAAATGGGACGGAATAAGAATGGGATGGGAATAGGGGTGGGAATGAATAGGGATGGGGATGGGAATGGGGTGGGATGGATCACACCTGGGGTCATGGAGGAGCCCAGGACATGGGCTCACCCACGGGATGTTGAGGGATGCCCAGGTCCATGGATGCTTCTGGGGGTGGTGGATGCTCCCTGAGGCCATGGGTGCTTGCTGCACGCTGGGTGCTCCGTGGGGCGCTGGGCGCCCCCGGGTCCATGCTGTGTTCCCGGTGCTCCGGTGCCGGTGCGCAGGAGTGTCCGTGTGCGCTGCCGGCCCAGCTCCTGCGGGAGCTGCGCAACGGATCCACCGGCACTGCCGAGCCCCGGCTGCTGCCCGGGCAGGAGCTGCCCGCGGGGGGCACCGTGCGCACGGCCTGCGCCAACTGGTGAGCGACCGCGACCCACACTGCGACCCACAGCCAGCGCCTGCCCCACCGCCCCTGCACATGTGGTGCTTCCCTACCACCGCCTACCCCACGGCACTTCCCTGTCACCCCGCTGCCCTTCCCCACCCCTCTCTAACACCACCACTACCCCACATCCCTTCCCCACAGCCCATTGACCCTTCCCCACCACCACCTACCCCATGGTCCTTCCCCTCCCATCACCCAGCCCCTTTCCACCCTCACCCAGCACCCAGCTCCCCTTGCCCATCACCCCATTGCCCTCCCCGCCACCCTGCTGCCCCCCAGCCCCACAGCGACCCTGTCGCTGCCCCCCAGCACGTGCCGTCACGGCCACCTGAACTGCACGGAGCTGGAGGGCTGCCGGCGGGATGGGGCTTGGGGGTCCTGGAGCCCCTGGAGCCCCTGTGCGCCCACATGCGGGGGGCTGGGGCTCAGCACCCGCCAGAGGGGCTGCACCAGCCCCACACCAGCCCATGGCGGCCGGGACTGCACCGGAGCCCGCACTGACACCATGTACTGCCGGACCCCCGACTGCCCTGGTGCGTCACAGCCCCGTCCCAGCCCCTCTAATGGGTCGCAGCCCCATCCTGTCCCCTCTGCTATGGGTCACAGCCTTTCTGCAATGTGTTATGGCCCATCCCTCCCTGTCCCCTCTGCCATGGTCACAGCCCCTTGTGTCCCCTCTGCCGTGGGTCACAGGCCATCTCCATTCCTTCTCCTACGGGTCACAGCCCAGCCCCAGCCCTTCTGCTGTGGGCCGTGGCTCATCCCAGACCTTCTGCCGTGGGTCACAGCCTCATCCTGTCCCCCTGCTGTGGGTCACAGCACATCCCCATTCCCTCTGCTGTTGGTTCCATCATGCCAGGCCATAGGTCTCAGCCGTATCCCCTCTGCCCTGCAATGAGTCCCATCCCCATTCCCATGTCACGATCCACATGAGTCGCAGCCCCGTTGCCTCTGCCCTGCCGTGGCTCCCATTCCCATCCCCATCCCCATCCCCTCTGTCCCACGGGGCCATGGGTCCCACGGGGGTTTGGAGGTGTCACCGTGTTCTCTACCCCCAGCCATGCCCACCCCCACACCGAGGCCCAGCCCCACATCCCCGAGCGCTGAGGCTGAGGGAGGCTTTGGGCCCTGGTCCCCCTGGAGCCCCTGCTCCAGGAGCTGCACCCGCCCCGAGGCACCAGCCACCAAGAGCCGCAACCGCTCCTGCAGCGGCGCTGGGGACTGCAGCGGGGAGAGCGAGCAGCAGCGGACCTGCAACCTGCCCCACTGCGACGGTGCGGCGTGGGGGCCTGACCCACAGCGTGTGGGGCTGTGGGGGGAACCTGCCCCACGGCATGCGTGGGCCACGGGGGGGAGCCTGCCCCGTTGTGTGAGTGGGCTATGGCAAGGCGGGATGGACACCCAGCCCCACTGCACAGAGAAGCTACTGGGGGGGTCCTGCCCCATCTACAAGGGTGGGCTATGGGAGTGAATGAACACCCTGCCCCACTGCAGCAGTGTGCTATCTGGGGAACCTGCTCCAGTGTGCGGGTCAGTTATGGGAGGGAGACACCGTGCCCCACTGCATTATGGGGGGGGACATGCCCCACTGAAAGGGTGAGCTATAGTAGGGGGAGACACTTCCTGCCCCACTGCACTGGGGAGCTATGGGGGGCCCTGCCCCACTGAATGTGTGGTTTATGGGGGGGGGGGGACATCCTGCCACGCTGCACTGGGGGGGCCATAGATGGGGAGCTGTGTCCCTTGGCTCATGGGGGCGGGGGTCCCACAGCACCCCCCTGCCCCGGTGGGGCCTGCGACTGCGAGTGGATGCCGTGGGGCCAGTGGGGCGGCTGCTCCCGCAGCTGTGGGGGGGGGCTGCAGCTGCGCCTGCGGGCGTACACCCCCCCCGGCCCGGGGGGGCGCTGGTGCCCCGACATCGGCAACGCCAGCACCGAGCATCGCGCCTGTGGCCTGCGCCCCTGCACCGGTGTGGGGCTGGGGGGGCTGTTGGGGGGCTCGGGGCGGGGGGGTGGGGGGGCTGGTAGGGGATTGAGGGGCTTCTTGGGGTGTTTGTTGGGGTGCTTGGGGTGGGCTTGGGGAGCTCGGGGGGATTGTGGGAAGTTGGGGGGTCTCAGTGGGATTGGGGTGTTTGTTGAAGGGTTTGGAGAGGGACTGGGGGCTCAGGATGGGTTTGGGGGGCCTCTTGAGTGGCTCAGGAGGCAATTGGGGGGGTCTTGGAGGAGTTTGGGGGTCTTGGAGGACTTTGGGGGCTTGTTGGGGTGGGCTTGGGTGGCTTGGGGGGATGTTGAAAGGGATTGGAGGGCTTGGGGTCTTTGGGGAGGTTGTGGGGGGTCAGAGGGGGCTGATGAGGGGACATTGCAGGGGATCTGGGGATCCCGGTCATCGCCCCACACCTGACACCCCCCCCCCCCCCGCCCCATGATGCAGTGGACGGCGCCTGGTCCCCCTGGAGCCCCTGGTCACGGTGTGACCGGACGTGCGGGGGGGGCCGCTCCCTGCGCAGCCGCTCCTGCACCCGGCCCCCTCCCAAGAACGGGGGTGAGCCCTGCCCCGGCGAGCGGCACCAGCTGCGGCTCTGCAACCCCCAGCCCTGCGGTACGGACACGGCACCGGGGCACCGGGAGTCACCGGGAGTCAGTCGCTGGGATCACCGGGGTCACCGGTGTGTGTCGGTGCCGCCCCCAGGGCAGAGCTGTCCCCCAGGCACGGTGCTGGTGCCCTGCGCCAACCGGTGCCCGCGGCACTGCGGGGACCTGCGTGCGGGGCTGTCCTGCGGGCCCGAGGAGCGCTGCCGGCCCGGCTGCCGCTGCCCCAACGGTGAGTGCGGCCCCGTTCGGCTCGGGGCCCCGCAGCCCCACGCCGGTGCCGTGTCCCCACGCGTACCCGTGCCCCGCAGGGTCGCTGGAGCAGGACGGCGGCTGCGTGCCCCTCGCCCGCTGCGAGTGCACGGATGCGGCCGGGCGCGGGTGGGAGCCCGGGAGCCGCCACCGCGACGGGTGCGAGAGCTGCGAGTGTGACAGCGGCCGCCTGCGCTGCGTCCGCGACGGGTGCCCCCAGCCCCAGTGCAGCTGGAGCCCCTGGGGCCGGTGGGGGCCCTGCACCGTCACCTGCGGGCACGGGCGGCAGCACAGGCACAGGTGGCACCGGCCGCGGGGACACATGGCGCGCACAGGGGAAATGGTACCCTGGGGGACACACAGCACCCGGGGGGGAAGCGTGACACTTGTGGCAGGGGGAAACGGGACCTGGAGAGGACACGAGAGATACGGCTCCCAGGGGATACAGAACCCATAGATATGGCACCCGGGGGATGTATGGCACCTGGGAGGGGACACGGCGCATGGGGGACACATATTGTATGGGTGGGACACAGCATGAGAGAGGTACGTATGGCACTCATGGGACATGGAAGGAAATGGCACGTGGGGGAACATAGCACCCGGGTGGGACACATGGCACCTGGAAGACATATGGCACTTGGGAAGGGATGGCAGCACCCCAGGGATACACAGGGTACCTAGGGGACCTTGGCACGAGGCGGGGGACACAGCACATGGGGGACACATGGAACTGAGGCAGGACACACGGCACGTGGGAGGCACTTACAGCACCCAGAGGACACTTGGTGGGGGACATGGCGCCTGGGGAGGACTCGGGAGACACAGCGCCCAGTGGAGACACATGGCACCTGAGGAGGACATATGGGATCATATGGCACCTGGGGGAAGGGGACATGGCACATGGGGGACACTTATGGTACTGAAGGGGGACACAGCACCTGGAGGGCACACGTGGCACTTGCAGGGGAGGAAATGGCACCTGAGGGGGACATGGCACTCAGGGGAGACGCCTGGCACACCTGTACCCAGGAGATACAGCACCCAGGGACATGGCATGAAGGGGACATGTGGCACCCGTGGGGGGACACGGAGCACCCAGTGGACACCCGGGACAGGTGCTGCCGTGCCGCTCCATGCAGTGGGTGACCCCGGTGTCCCCCCAGGACCCCCATCGCAGTGGCGGGTGCTGTGCCATGCGAGGGCCCGCAGGAGCAGAGCCGGGAATGTGCCGAGGGGCCCTGTCCGGCCCTGTGCCCGCGGGAGGGCGGCAACGGGAGCCTGGGGGAGAGCTGGATGCAGGGACCCTGCCGGCAATGGTCGGTGAAGGGACTGGGGTGGGGGGGGGACGGGGAGATAGAGACAGAGATGGTGATCAGGATGGGGGCCACCGCGGTCCCCACCCACCCGTGTCCCCACAGCACCTGCACCCCCGAGGGCATCCAGTGCCAGGACATCCCCTGTGATGGTGAGTGCTCCCGCTGCACACTGGACCCAGTGAGGGGACGAGGGTCAGGCCGGGTCCCCGCGGTGCCAGTGACCTCCGTGTTGTACAGACCTCTGCCTCTGGGGGTCGTGGGGGCCCTGGGGACCCTGCCAGGACCCCTGCAGCGGTGGCTACCGCCTGCGTCATCGCCGGCCCCTGCACCCGGCGGGTGACCGACAGTGCCACGGTGCCCGTGCCCAGACCCAGAGCTGCAACATCGCTGTCTGCACAGGTAATGCCCGCATGCGGTGGGTGCTGGTGGCGATGCCGGTGCTGGCGCCAGTGCCTCACCCTAACACTCGCCAATGTGCCCAGGCGAGGGGTGTGATGAGCGTGGACGGGTCTTCACCGTGTCCTGCGCCAACCGGTGCCCCCGTGCCTGCGCTGACCTCTGGCCCCATGTCGAGTGTCTGCAGGGACCCTGTGAACTGGGTACGTGCACGGAGCTGCAGCAGACCCTGACCCATAGGGTGGTGTCCCGCCCCATAGCACAGTCCCCTGCCCTATATCACGGCCTCCTGCACCATAGCACACCCTCTACCCCACAGCACATGCCTGTGCTCCGTGACACAGCTCCCCACCTCATTGCACAGCATCCTGCCCCATAGTATGGCCCCTTGACCAATAACACATCCCCAGCCCTCTAGCACATCCCCCACTCCATAACATGCTCCCCTGCCTCATAGTAGACCTCACTTCTCATAGAATGGCCTCCTGCCTCACAGCACAGCTCCTGCCCTATAGCACAGCCTCTACCCCATAGTACACACCTGTGCTCCATAGCACAGCTCCCACCCCACAGCATGGCCCCAGCCCCGTAGCAAACCCCACCCCATAGCATGCTCCCCCTGACCCTAGCACAGGCCCTCCCCCATCAACCCTGCCCCACAGCACCGGCTGCCCCCCAGTGCACCCATGTACATCCCCATGGTGAAGCCCCCCTGGCCCACCATGTCCTTGGGAGCACCCACAGCACCCATCGTTGCAGCCCTGCCCCTCTGTGCCCGTAGGGTGCCGGTGCCCCCTGGGACAGCTGCTGCAGGACGGGCTGTGTGTGCCAGTGGACCAGTGTCGCTGCGGGCTGCCCACTGCCAATGGCACCCGGGAGCTGTGGCCAGGGCAGGCAGTCGAGCACGGCTGCCACAACTGGTGGGTGCCACCATGGTGCGATGGGAGCCTTGTGCTATGTGGCACAGCCCGTGGGCCAAGACTGATGCTGGTGTCACTCCTGGCACAGCACCTGCAGGAACGGGACCTTCACCTGCCCGGCACTGTCATGTCCTGTCTATGGGCCCTGGTCCCCGTGGAGCCCCTGCTCCCGCAGCTGCGGTGGCGGCAACACTTCCCGGCACCGTGAGTGCCAGGAGAGCACTGGGGGGGAGCCCTGCAGTGCCACTGACACTGAGGAGATGGCTGAGTGCAACCTGCAGCCCTGCCCCAGTGAGTGCCAGCGTGGTGGGATGATGGTGGAGTAATGGTGGGACCGCAAAAATGTTGGAACAGCAGGATTGTAACAGGCTGATGGGGCAATGCTGGGATGATAGTGGGACAGTGGGACAGCAAGGGATGATGTGTTGATGGTGGAGTGGCGGTGGGATGGTGGCTGACAAGGGACAGTGGGATGGTAGCATGATGGCAGGACAATGGTGGGGCAGTCACGATGGTGGGACAATGATGGGATGTTGAGATGGTGGTGGGAAGGTGGATGGTGACGGGATGATGGTGGGATGATGGTTGGATGGTGGCGGAACAATGGTGGAACAGTGGGACGATGTTGGGATGGCCAGCCAGGGGCTGTGGGACAATGGTGTGGTGACGGTGGGATGACAGTAGGATGGTGGTGAGACAGCAGTGGGATGATGGCGGGACAATGGCAGGACAGTAGGGCAGCAGGAGAATCGTGAGACAGTGGGATTGCAAGTGATGGTGGGATGACGGCAAGATGGTGGGACAATGGTGGAATGGTAGTGGGACAGTGGGATAACGGCAGGATGATTGACACCAAGGGACAGCAGGTTGGTGGGACGATGGTGGGACAATGGAGGGATGATGGTGGGACAGCCAGGGGTGGTAGCACAGTGGGACGATGCAGGGATGATGGAGGGATGCCAGGGGGATGGTGGCCATCGAGGCCCGTCGCTGACCCCGCACCCCGCAGGCGGCTGCCGGCTGAGCCCCTGGTCCCCGTGGAGCCGCTGCAGCACCACCTGCGGTGGAGGCACCTCCGAGCGCCGCCGGGAGCTGCTGCCCGGGCCGGGGGAGCCGTGTCCCCTCCTGCCGCCGCCGCTGCTGCTGCTGCACCGCGTCTGCAGCGCCCACAACTGCTCCCCGGGTAAGGGGTGGGCGCCGGGCGGGGGCGCGGGGCCTGGGGGGGCCGGTCCTTGTGCCGCAGCCGCCGCTCGCCCCGCAGAGTGCCCCGGCGGGCAGCGGCTCGGTCCCTGCGCCAACGCCTGCCCCCGGCACTGCGCGCACCTCGGCCCCGGGGCGCGCTGCGTGACACAGAGCTGCCAGCGCGGCTGCGCCTGCCCGCACGGACAGGTACCGACAGCGGGACCGGCACGGGCACCGGGACCGCAGCAGCACCCGGGGGCCCTGCTGCACCCTGGGACCCCTCAATGTCCTGGGAACCACCAGCACCCAGGGACCTCACTGCCACCCAAGGGGCACCACTGTACCGTGGGGAATCCCCACCACCCAGGGACCCACCCTCATCACCCCAGGGACACCACTGCACCCCAAGGACCCCACTGCACCCCAGGGACCCAGCTGCCACCCAGGGACTCTTCTCCACCACTGGGGACCCCTGCCACCCTGAGGGCCCCAATGTCACCCCAGGAATGTCACTGTAGGGTTCCCACACCACCCTGGGGCTCCCACTGCAGCCCAGGAACCCACCACCACCCCAAGTACCCCAATTTCACCCCAGAGATCCCCCCCAACCCTGGGTACCCCGATGTCACCCCATGGACCCCAGTGTCACCCTGGGGAGTCCACTGTCACCCTGGTGACCCCACACCATGCTGAGGAGCCCTGCCACCCTAGGGACCCATCTCCGTCCCAGGGACTTCACCCCAGGGAACCTTCTCCACCCCAGGCAGTACCCCTATGCTAGGGAACCCCCATTACCGTGGGGACCCCATTTCCACACCACTTCCTCCTGGGTGGGGGTCTTGTGTTTTGGGGTCCGGTCAAGGGGGGCTTCCTGCGTCCCGTTCCTACTGGTGTTCACAGGTGCTGCAGGACGGGGCCTGTGTCCTCCCTGCACTGTGCCGCTGCCACCTGCCCCCCGCCCTGGCCGCAGCACATAACCTCTCCCTGGCACTGGAACTGCCACCAGGCACCAGCCTGCAGCACGGCTGCACCCGATGGTGAGTGCTGGGGATGGGGGTTACCGTGGGATGGGGGCTGGCAGGGGAGTGCTGATCCGTCACCTGTGTCTGCAGTGTCTGCATCCACGGCACCTTCAACTGCTCCCAGGAGGAATGTAATGGTGAGAGACCCAAAATCCCAGCCCTGTGCCCGCACCATGGTCCCCATGCCATGGTTCTTGCATCCCTGTGCTATGGTCCACATACTCATACCATGGTTCCTGCAACGTGGTGCCTGTGACATGGTCCTTGTGTTGTAGTTCCTGTACCGTGGTCCCCATGCCTGTGCCATGGTCCCCACAATGCCCTCTGTGTTCTGGTTCCCATGCCATGGTCCCTGTGCCATGTCACTTTTCCACAGTCCCCACACCAGGGTCCCCGTGTTGTGGTCCCCATGCCTGTGCCATGGCCCCTGTGTGGTGCTCCCTGTGCCATGGTTCCCATATCCATGCCATGGTTTCCACACTGTGGTCCCCATTACTGTGATGCACTCTCCATGCCACTGTTCCTGTGCCATGCTCCCTGCACTATATTCACTGCACTGTGGTGCCCATGCCATAGTCCCTGTGCCGTATTCCCTGTGCCATGCCCCCATGCTACAGCCCCACATCTCCTGCCTGTGGTCCCCATGGTCACCCTGGTCCTCCTGCTTGGTGACATGTGGGACGGGTGAGCAGCATTCCCAGCATCACCCGCTCTGGCAGTACCAGTGTGCAGGGGCAGAGTGCCAGGGGCCTACCATGTGCCACAGCCCCTCCAACCTCCCCCCTGCCATGAGTGCCCCCGGCTCCACTCCCTGCCCTGGGCACGTTGAGGCCACACGGTGCCGGTGCCATGTCCCTGTGCCACACGCAGCCTGTCCTGCCGGTGAGCGCTGGCAGGGCCCTGAAATGCCGGACAGCTGTGACCAGAGCTGCGGGGACATTGAGGAGCCTCGGCATAACTGCAGCATCCCCCTGGCCCCTGGCTGTGCCTGCCAGCCCGGGTACTACCGCAACAGCACCCGACATTGTGTCCCGGCCGCTCACTGTGAGTGCCGGCATCGTGGACAGCTGCACCAGGTCAGCAGCGACAGGGGCTGCGGGTGGGGGTCCTGCGTGTCTGGGTGCCCCTTGTGTCCCCCCATGGCCGGGCTGAGCCCTCTGTTGTCCCCCCCAGGCCGGTAGCACGTGGCAGGATGGGTGTGAGAAATGCCGCTGCCAGGATGGGAGAGTGACCTGTGCTGCTGCTGGCTGTGCCCCACTGGCCTGCCCTGAGGTGTGGGGGGTCAGATATAGGAGGGACACATTGAGGGGGAGATACACGAGAAGAGGGGACGTGTGGGGAAAAAGAGCATGTGTGGAGCAGGTGCATGTGGGTGCAACACGCATACGGCGGGGGCGTGCATGGGCAGGAGGCATGTGTGGGGAGGGGACGTATTTGAGGCAGGAGAACACTTGGGCAGGGGTCACACATAGGGAAGGGGCACATGGGGATGGGGTGTACGTGGGGAGGGGACATGCGTAGGGAAAAGGGCACTTGTGGGCAGTAGTGTTCACGGGGAGGATGCATGTCTAGGGAGGGCACATGTGTGTGGAGAAGGCCCTGGTGGGGAGGGGACAAGGGTGGGAAGTCTTACAAGAAGGGGACACGTATGGGGAGGAGGTCCCTTTCTTGGGGGTCCCACACGGGGAGGAGGTCCCATGGGTGCAGGTCACACGTGGTTCGGGGGTCTCCCATGGTGGGATCTGACCCCGCCATCCCATCAGGGCACAGTGAAGGTTCGGGAGCCAGGGGGCTGCTGCCCTGTGTGCCGGGAGAAGTGGCCGGGTAAGGTCCCCACATCCCACGGTGGGTCCAACACCCGCCAGCACCCCGCGGCACTGAGGCATCGTGGTGTCCCCCACACTGTGCCACGTCCCGCAGAGGAGCCGCCCGCCGCGTGCCGGCGCCTCACGGAGCTGCGCACCATCTCCAAGGGCCCCTGCGCCCTGCGCCATGTCGAGGTCTCCTTCTGCGCCGGGCACTGCCCGTCCCGCACCACCGTCACCGCCGAGGTCAGCGGGGCCTGGGGGAGGGGGGGGGGGTGTCGGGGTCCGCGGTTGGACCCGGTGCAAGCCGCAGCGCGTCCCGGCAGGAGCCGTACCTGCAGAGCGTGTGCGAGTGCTGCAGCTACCGCCTGGACCCCGCCGGCCCCGTGCGCGTCCTGCGGCTGCCCTGCCCCGGCGGGCAGAGCGAGCCCGTGGTGCTGCCCGTCATCCGCAGCTGCCAGTGCAGCCCCTGCGAGGGTGAGCACCCCTGAACCACCCCCCCCCCCGCTGCGGGGCAGCACCCAACGCCTTGCACCCCCACCCGGCTGTGAGTGCAGCACCCTGAGAGCCCAGACCCCTCTCCCACAGGTGGGGATTTCTCCCGCCGCTGAGAGCCCTCCAGGGTGCTCCAGACCCTGCTCCCCTCTGCAATAAACCTGCGGGAACAGCCCCCACATCCAGCAACAGGGACTGGGGGGGCACTGGGGGGGCACTGAGGGTATTTTGGGGGACTGGGATGGGTCCGGGGGATACGGGGGGACTGGGGGGAGGACGCGGGGGGGCTTGAGGGGACTGAGAAGGGATTGGGGAGGATCAGGGGTGGGAATGGGAGGGACTGGAGAAACGGAGGGACGGGAAAGGTTCAGGGGGCAGTAGGGAGGGCTGGGGAGAAACGTGGGAGGGTTCAGGGGGTAATAGGGAGGCATGGCAAGGGACTGGGGTGACTGGGGAGGGCTTGAGGAGGACCAGAGAGGGTTCAGGGAGACCATGAGGATCCAGGGGGGACTGGGAAAGGACCAGGAAGGGACTGGGGAGAGCAGGGCAAGACCAGGAGGGGTTGGAGGGAGACAGAGAGGGACACTGGGAATGACTATGAAGGGCTCAGGGTGGGCCAGGAGGGACTGCAAGGGGACATGGGAGGGGACCAGGAAGGGCTACGGGGGGGGGGGCAGCAGGGTCTTGGGAGGAACTGGGTGGGGTAAAGGTTTGGGGTGATAGGGGGGCCTGTCCCCAGTGCCGGTGTGCAGGGGGTGTCATTTCCCCATTGTCCTGCTGCCAGCCACTGCTGCCAGCCAAAGCCTCACCAGGCCTGTCCCACAGGTGTGAGGGTTCTCCAGGGGCACCAACACAGCACAATGCTGCGGTTCAATTAAAACTGCCAATCGCTTAATTGTGGTCTGTTCATTAGAGCGGTGCGGGATGGGGGGGGGGGGGGGGGGGGGGGGGCTGGAGGGAAAGGGGGGTTGCTGACTCTGGGAACCAGCATCGCTTTTGCCAACCATGGCACGGCCACGTGCTGCCACAGCGGGAGCGAGGGGCTTGGGGAGCTCCATCAGGCAGGGCCATGGGGGTGGGATGGGATTGGGATGAGATGGGATGGGGACAAGGTGGGACACAGCTGGTTCTGGTGAGCTCTGGCACCCCAACATGGGCAGCGCCTCTCACCAAGACAAGCCCACATCCCTCCAGCTCCCTCGGAAGCCCACAGGCAGATCCCAACCTCTCACCATGCCCCACCAGAGACAGGGATCTAGGGATGAGCGAGGGGACGCCAGCCCCCTGAGCCAGGCGCATGCACTGCTGCAGCGCTTGCTGCGTCATCACCACCCATCAGCTTTTTACTCACTGTCGGGGTGGGAAAGTAAAGCAGCCACTTCCCCCGGCCCCAAGCACCATCCTGACTGCACCATGACTGCTTACTGCATCCCCCCACCCCAGCAGATGGTTGGGTCCCCATGACCTCCCCACCAACTGCGGTTGTCCAGCGTTCCCAGGAGGATCCAGTGTGGATGCTTCAGGGCAGTCCATGATGGAAGAGCTGCCATTCACTCCCCATTCACACATGGGTGCTCTGGTGAAGCTGACATGGGCTGCTCAGCAGCAGTTCTGGGGGGCGCCAGGTCATGGGCCAGGGGTGCTGTGGGTGCTGTGGGTGCAGCATCTGGTCCCCACATCCCAAAACCGCTTCTCACAGCCACTACATGGAAGGGCTTCAGAGATGGACCCGCACGTGCCATCAGCCGGTCCTGGTGCACCCACTGGTGCTGCCCCTGGATGCAGTCCTTGCCGCATCCACCACACTGCGGGACCCTCTTGACGGTGTGGCCATGGTGGGGGACGGTGCTGGTGTTTCTGCTGTGGAAGCCCTTGCGGCAGAGAAGGGCCGCTTCCCACTGCGGATGCGCTGGCGGGTGACTGGGAGGCGCTTCTGGCTGAAGGGATGGCCGCGGTGCATGTTCTGGTGCTGCATCAGATCCCGGCTCTTGCCGAAGCTCTTCCCACACTCAGCGCAGGCACTGGGGCTCTGGGGGCCAGTGTCAAGGTCCACCTGGGTGACGTGGCTCTTCTGGTGCTGCTCAAGGTCACCGGAGCAGGGGAAGCTCTGGGTGCATCGGGTGCAGGTGAAGGGCCGCTCTCCTGAGTGGCTCCGTGCATGGACGTCCAGCGCCGCGCGGCTCCGGAAGCTCTGGTTGCACTCGGGGCACGTGGGGAGCGGCTTCACCCTGGACAGACCCCGCTGACGCCTCCCACTGTGCTTGGGCACTGCTGGGAGCCGGGTGGTGGGCACTGGCAGCACTCCAGGGACCTCCGGTTGCATGTGGGTGACTCCAGCAGCTGGGGAGGAGATGTGGGGTCACCACTGGGATGGGGAATCCCAGCCCATCCTGGTGACCAGAGCTGCTGGGTCTGAGGGCAGGGGGTGCTGCTCCTGGTACCTGGTGCAGGAGCTCGGCGCCTGCGCCGTGGCAGGGACAGGGATGTCGCACATGGAGTCAACTCTCGCTCCAGCTTGGCAATGATCTCTGGCTTGACGGTGAGATAGCCTGTGCCGGCAGAGAGAGCATGCGCTCCCATGGTGCCCCCTGGCTCCTCCCGAATCTGCTCCCTCACCCTCTCCTGGCTGCAGCTGTGTCTGCCCTCCCACAGTCATTCCATTCCATCCCCATCCTGTCCCATCTCCATCACATCCTTATCTCTAACCCATCCCTATCTCATCCTTACCCCAATCCCATACCCATTCTGTTCTACCCCATCTCATTCCATCCCATCCCCATCCCCATTCTGTCCCATCTCCATCACGTCCTTATCTCTATCCCATCCCTACCTTACCCTTATCCCTATCCCATCCCCATAGCCATTCTGTTCTACCCCATCTCATTCCATCCCATCCCCATCCCCATTCTGTCCCAACCTTATCCCCATCCCATCCCAACCCCATTCCATCCTATCCCCAACCCCATTCTGTCCCATCTCCATCTCTATCCCATTCCATCCCATCCCCATCTTCATGGCATTCCATTACATCTCCATTTTGTTCCATTTTCATCTCCATCCTATCCCACCCCCATCTGCATCTGATTCCCATCCCATCTTCACCCCATTCCCATCTCTATCCCATCCCACCAGAACCACTCTCCGCAGGAAGCACCACCAAGGCGAACCCTCCCTATGTCCACCACAGCTCTGCCAGCACTCAAGCCACAACAGCCATGGCTGGATTTCCCTCCAAAGGCCTCCTTTGGCCAGAAGGGTGCACACCCAAGGGGATGAATTCCGCCCCAGCAGCACCAGGAGACTCCTCACCCAGCGAGGCAACTGCCTGGTAGTTCTCCAGCATCACCTCCCGGTAGAGCTGCCGCTGCCACCCAGACAGCAAAGCCCATTCCTCAGGGGAGAAGTGCATGGCCACGTCCTCAAATGTCACCAGCATCTGCAGTGGGAACCACACTGGGTCAACATGGCTGGGCCTGACACCTCTGCTGAGATCCTGCGGCCAGCACTGAGGGCTCCTGCATCCCGGGCAGCACCGGCAGAGCTAGGAGCACCCCATGCCACAGAGGGGCAGGGCACAGGGCTGCAACATTAGGCTTGAGGCCAGGAGCCGCCACACTCTTGCCTGTGCCACGGCTCCATGGGCCACTGGCATTTTGTGACAACCACACCAATGGCACCAACCATGGGAATCCCAGCCCTGGAGCTGGCTCATCACCAGCGCCTGACCCCCACCTTGCCGGAGCAGCCTGGCCCTGGCATGTCACAAGCAGATGGATTCACAGGTGATGCTTATCCAGGCAGACGGTGGTGGGATGCTCCAGATCCTACCAGTGATGCCAGTCCA